CCCCCCCCCCCCCCCCCCCCCCCCCTTTTTCAAGCAAGTCCCCGGATACACTTGGATTTCCACAACAAGAAAAAGAACAGAGGAATACCCAGAAAGAACCTCGAGCCAAGCTAACCCTCTCGCGTGCGAAACCAACCAGGCCAAGACCCTCGATGTAATCACGCTGTTCCACAAGCCATCCCTCCCCGCGAGCGTGCGGGCGCAGACGCTCCTGAAGCAGGCCTCGGCGCAGGCCTCCGAGACCGCGACCGAAGACCAGGCCTCGGACCACTCGCACCAGAACACCACCGTGACCCGGGACCCGTTCGAGCTGGAGATTACCGAGCAGCCGCCCACGCCGGACCAGCTGAAGAGCATCTTCGAGTACGTCGGCTCCGGCCGGGCGGGCGACCTGGTCAAGGGCGCCGCGAGCGAGAGCGATGCCCTGAGGAAGGTCAAGCAGGACGGAACCCTGTTTACACGCCCCGTCGTCGTGGACTGGAGTGCCGGGAAGGCCGTCATCGGGGACAAGGACAGCGAGATCTTGAAGCTGTTGAAGGCCCAGCAGAAGTGAGGAGGTGGTGAGATAGCGGATGTTGCGTTCCAGTCGTCAGAGGACCAACAACAGGAGCTGCCACTGCGAGGATGAGCAGAGTGGAGTGATGACTCTCAAGAGAGCACGGCAACTGTATGAAAATACCCTCGAACTGCCGGGGGAAGTGGCGGACGACTACGCTTTGTGTCAAGTGCGGTTGATGAAGTTCACGGGGGAGGAGAAGCATGCGGCCACGATGGACATTACTATGGTTGATTCAAAGACGAAGCAAGGGCATGCCTTCTCGAGCTCTGAAAAGTTCTATGGTTGGTTTCCTCGGTGGTATCTGATTTTGACACGATAATTACGATTTCAGCTTTCCTCTCAATCCATGATCCCCAGTGGCTCGAAGGTATCAATCCAACAGCCGGGAGCGGTGAACTGTGATGAAACCGCCGACAGCAGATGATTCCGTGTTTCTGGAGTGCCTGTCTCGCGATCGACCCGTTTCTATGATTGGGTTCTTGCGAAAGATGTCGAACTTTTTTCAAAACACCAAGTTCTTTCTTATCTCTTCGCTGGCTGAGTTATCGCTCTTTACAAGTCAGGCTCGTCACTCTGGATGAGAGAAAGTGTTTGGCTATTGCTTGCATCGATCTGCAACATCATGCAGGCGCCTCTGATTTTAGCCAGGCCTCCTGTATATCTGTACTCCCTATTCTGCGCCACCGATATGAACCATTCGCCAGCACCTTTACAGAACCAGGAGATAGTGAAAAGCTGCGCTACTGATCCACCCATGTCATCGGAAATGCAACAAGGTCAAGGACTTCCTGGTACAGCTTTTCCAAATTGGACATCCTTCTCTTGCTGCATCCTCCGAGACTGATATTGCAAATGCACTTCTAGTTGGGAAATTGCGTGTCGGAAGCCCTGTCATATCTGTGCTCCTGGTACCTGCGGCGAGTTGTTCCACAGAAGCGAAGCGGAATCACAACGTCATGCAGGCCTCTGAGCCGGAGCGGTCAGGTCAGCCTGGTGAGCCTGGTCTCGGCTGCGGCTAAGAGGCACAGAGGCACATAGATAACGCAGCTAATATCACAATATCAAATCAAGAGCCGGGAGGGTGAGACCTTGGCACTAAGGAAGGCTGTGCAAAGAAAGGAGATCCACCCCCGCCGTGGGAGTTCAGCCTGGCAACTCACAGGGAGAATGCATAAGCATCCGGACTGGGCTTGACAGTAGCTCTAGGCTCGGAGGCACCAGGAGGAACCTGACGTCTTCATGTAAGGTACGGCAGGCCGGATTCCACTCGGTGCCAACTGCGAGACGGAGAGCAGCGGGGAGGATGGCTGGAGCTTCGCATGCTCGGTACTCCGTGGTCTTGGATTCCGTGGGCCTATTGGTGGCTGCAACACCTCCCGACATATACGTTGAGACATGGCCGGAATGCCTGCAAATCGGGCGTGCGAGACTCTGGTCAAAGGGGCAAGCCTGATGAGTCGGTATGGCTGTCTCGGACTGGATGTAATATGTGAAAGGGCAGAGGAACAGGAGGCACGAGGGAACGTGGGCTTGCGAGGGATACCGGGATCCTGAGGATCTTGCTCGGAGTCGATTAAGGCCGATAGCCTCGAAGATGCCTTGCGAGCATCAGTGGTGACGTGTACCAAGACGCAGGCTGGTTGAAGCTTGCGATAAGTGTCGTCTGGGCACGAGGCTCGGCGGCTGGGCAGTAGAGGCCGGCGGCGATGGAGCGGTGGAGCGATAGATAACTCGAAGAGGCATTCGATGCGGGCTTCGGCTGCAGATATTCTGTACGGAGGGCTTGTGGATGCGAAGGAGCGGCAGTAAGGGAATCACAGAGATAGACAAATGTGAAGAATCGAAGGGGCTGGGGTTGGTGTTTGTGCACTTTGGGTAAAGGCAGATGCACCAGGTGGCCAGGTGCGCCTCTAGCTGCATTCCAGAGCCCTGGGTTGAGGCATTCCTGCCAGAGCGCCCGGCAAGCCTGCCCAGTCCAGGCGTCATAGCTGCCAAGGTTGCATACCGATGAACCCACCTAGCAGCCTAGACACCGCCCAAGCTTCCGCCACCTCCCGCCTATGGCCCAAGGGCATGGGGAGCTGTCGTTGGGGGTTGCAAGGTCACGCAACATGCATTCCCGAGATGCAAGACAAGACAAGGAACAACCGGACGCAGAAATCAAAGAAAATCCACTCCACCTTGGTGACTTTGGTGCCCTTCCTGCATCTTCACTGTCCTGCAAGTTCTTTCTCTAGGTGAACTAGCAAACTTGTTCTGTACAATAGACTCTCTCTCCTGCTCTCTCCCTGACCGAATCAACCTGTCACTCGCTATTCTGCTCCACCAGTAACGGCTGCGCGCCTCGTCACCTGCGGATCTGGGATCTGCGGCAAGGATCAAGATCGCCCCCACGTCAACCGAGCCAATCCTACAGACCGACATCATTCACGCTCGTATACGAGAACAAATAGTTTGCCTGGTGATTCTCTAGCAATAGACGGATAGAGCTGCTTCTCCAGCTTGCTCGCTGCCGGCGCAAGTCCCTCATCCTCCTCACAGCGCATCTGCCACAACACAATGAAGCCCTTCCGAAGAAGACAATGCCTGCATGTGGCGTTATCGGCCATTCTGTTGACGCAAAATGCCCTCGCAATACAGCTCGACCTTTCAAACACCGACTCAATAAAAGCCGCCGCCAGAGTTGTTGCCGATGAGATGGTGTCCTATTACACTGGATATCGACCTGGAGATGTCCCTGGGAATCTCCCTGCTCCATATTACTGGTGGGAAGCTGGTGCAATGTTTGGAGCACTGATTGACTACTGGTATTTCACCGGGGATGATTCATTCAACGAGATCACCACCCAAGCCATGCTCCATCAAGTTGGCCCTGACAACGATTTCATGCCACCCAACCAGACAAAGACCGAAGGAAACGACGACCAAGCGTTCTGGGGGATGGCCGCTCTCTCTGCGGCAGAGAACATCTTCCCCAATCCCCCAGCAGACCAACCCCAGTGGCTGGCACTCGCTCAGGCTGTTTTCAACACGCAGGCAGCGCGCTGGGACACGACCTCTTGTGGAGGTGGTTTGAAGTGGCAAATTTTCGCGTTCAACAACGGGTACAATTATAAGAACACCATTTCGAACGGATGCTTTTTCAACATGGGTGCTCGCTTGGCGGTTTACACCGGCAACCAGACGTACGCCGACTGGGCGGATCGCATGTGGGATTGGGTGTCGGCCATCGGTCTGCGGGATGCGCAGTACAACTTTTTTGACGGCAGCGATGACACCATCAACTGCACCCAGCTCGACCATATCCAGTGGACATACAACGCCGGTACATTCCTTGTCGGGGCTGCCAACATGTACAATTTCGTAAGTCATTCTTCGACTCTCACTCTAGGGGCTGCTTTACTGACCTTTTCAACGCAGACAGGGGGGAGTCAGGTCTGGGAGGACAGAATCAACGGGATCATTGGGAGGCTAAATGTTTTTCTGCAGAACAATATTCTGAAGGAAGTTGCCTGTGAAGGCGTCAACCCGGATGGTTCCGATACCTGCGACGTCGATCAACGCTCCTTCAAGGCTTACCTCGCTCGATGGATGGCGGCAACGATGGTCAGAGCTCCCTTCACTTACCCGCTCTTGAAACCGATCTTGGAAACTTCGGCTGCAGCTGCGGCTTCCGTCTGCACAGGAGGTGTCAATGGCACTTCATGTGGGTTGAAATGGTGGACGGGCCAATTCGATGGCAGCACTGGAGTCGGCGAACAAATGTCGGCCTTGGAAGTCATCCAATCCAACTTGGTCACCCAGGTCGCCGGTCCTGTCACTCAGGGCTCTGGAGGAACCAGTAAGGGAGATCCCAATGCCGGCACGTCAAGCCCGATTGGCCCCGAGGATCTGAACAAGGAGGAAGTTACCGCAGCCGATAAAGCTGGAGCGGCCATCCTGACTGTTTTGTTGGTTTTCTTCATTGTGGGAGGCGCATGGTGGATGGTTCTCTAAACCGGAGATTCTTCTGTTCGAAACGGCCGGCATTGCTTGCGGAAGCTAGACGGCGGAGGACGTACGTTATGATTTGACGATTGGCATTAAACTTGGCGTTACACCGGCTGAGGTCGGCGGCTGAGGGTCTGTTTGTGTCTAGCAAGAACGGTCAGGTGCTGGGGGGATATGGGAGCATTTAGACACTGGGACTGAAGAGGCGGCTCTGGGAAGCTGGCATTCCCCGTGTGAGAAAGCCTTTGCTCAAACCCGGCCAAGAATTGGCGCTCAGGCGATCGGCATTGAGCGCTCGGTGTGAACGGTATCGGTCCATCCAGCTTTGCGCACATCTTATGCGAGCGCTGGCAACGGGAGACTTCTTTCAACGCATCGCTGATTGCAGATTTTGTACAGATCACCTGGTCCAAAGATCATCCTCCAGATACAATGGACAGACTTTTACTTTCCTTCTGCCTGTGCACGTCTCATTTGCTCCCTAATAGTCTCCCTCTCCATTCCCTGCTCCGCTGCCATTCTCATTTTTTCGGCCTTCTCTCTCTTCTCAGCCTCCGCAGCGACAATCCATACAGGTTTGTCTGATTTGGAATACTCGATTAATTTGGAGACGAATTCCTCGTTGTTTTTGAGTCGTTGTTCCCGCAGTTCGAGGTTGCGCTTTTGGAGATCAGGATTGAAGCGTTTGAAAACTTCGCCCTCGGCAGGTGTTACGCTGAGGCAGGTGTGTCAGATAGGTACGCACAAAGGGTGGACGCTGGAGCAGAAAGGCCGTCTGGGGGGATGCAGCAGATGGAAGACAACGAGGTAGTTAGCAGGTTAGGTCAAGTCTTACTAGTACATCAGTGCTGGACCTCCAACGCAGCAGAGTACGAACCTGGCATAGGTGAACGACGTCAGCATGGTATCTGTCGAAGCAGAGTTTTCTTACTTACACCCCAACCATTTTGGTATACATCCATCCCCTCGAACCCATGATGGGTTTCAACTTGTATTCTCGAGCACTCTCAATCGACTTTCCAAAGACAGCTCTGGACGCCTCGGTCCTGGCTCAATTACAATCCACTCGCGAGGTGTACATCGGACCGCGGCCGGGACAAGACGCTAGTCAGACACAGAATCGCGGGCGGCACGTTTTGCACCTTGAGCAGATGAAGTTGAAGGTTGCGAGATTCACGTCGAGGTCAATGATGCGCAACCTTGAACTATCTCCATGGACTTGGCGGGATCTGATTGGCGAGCCACCTCGACCGCCTATTTTCAATTCAAGGGGCATTGGGACCCGTCACAGCCACCGACAAGAAAGCCTCAAGGCGATGGATCGATGTGTTAGGGGCAACAGACTTCATGATCGGAGTCTAGGCTGCACTGAAAGAGCCAGCCGCAACATGTCATTTGCGCCAATTCTGGTGTCCTAGCTGGTGCCTTGCGAACGGACGCATCGGTCGGAATCAGAAAGGCATGACAGATGCGCGTCAACATGGGGTGAGTGCGCCATTAATGCACGCAACTCGGCCAACCGAGGCAGTGATCAGTAGTGTACGGAGTACGGAGTAGTAGTTTGCAAATGCGGCCTTTGGTCAACTACAAGCAGGACCTCGTGCAAGTGCTAATACTAGTAACGAACAAGCGGTTCTGATGTAAGGTCGCCTAGAGCACAGCCTCTTCTGGCTAGGGGAGAACCATCATCTGTCAGCCAGATCTGAGGGTTGCCGGCGTCAACTTGCCACCTTCTCCGACACGGACGAGGAATTGCGTCTTTATTCTGGTGTATCGCAGGTTTATATATTCTGTACCTTGATGGCGAGAAAAAAAAAAGGGGGGGTCTTGGAGTATATGTTACTTGGTTCTTGTATCTTGATGTTTAATCTTGGAGCAGTTGGGTGAGCATCACGTGCTTCTGCTTTGTGCTTGTGCTGTGAAACGAAAGAAGTCGGTGGCGCCGCTGCTCGTCTCAGAAATCCAGAATCCCTTGTCGGGGGCGGCCTCTTCTGGCTGCGGTGGTGCGTGGTGCGTGGTGCGCTTGTCGCAGGTCCAAGCGCCAGATTTACCAGCCCTCGTCAGCTTTGCACTTCCAACCTCCGTTTCCATCTATCTTTCACCCCCATCAGCACCCCAGAATTCTCAACCTGATCCAACACTTGCTCTCTTCGCACTCACTCTGATCAATCGGCTGCTATCCACATCTTGCCGTCCCTGACATCCCTATCATCGGCGTCTCTCCTTTTCCAACTTCGCATCCTCCGTCTCCGACATAAGCTTTACCAAAATGGCCTCAGAAGCACCCTATGATCCCTATATACCTGCTGGCGGACAAGGTGGCGCACAGCCAGCCAGCAACCAGAGAACAGCTGCCTTGCAAGCGGTACGTGAATGATGACTTGGACGCAAGCACAAATGCGAAGAAGACACCGGTTGTGAGGTTGGACGATTCTGAGGCCTGAAGTGTCGCAGGTGGATTCTGCACTGCGAACTCCATCAGCGCACCCTAGGTGAAATCTACAGAATCGAATGCCATCCATGACCGGAGATTCGTCGTTGAAATGATGACTTTACATGCACTGTTGACCCGCGCATTATTGTCTCCGTTCGAGCTGGATGCTGACAGGATCATCTCACACAGCAAATCGATGATACCGTCGGTGTCATGCGTGAAAACATCAACAAGGTGTCACAGAGAGGCGAGCGACTAGACTCGCTGCAAGATAAAACCGACAACCTTGCCGTCTCTGCACAGGGTTTCCGCAGAGGTGCCAACCGGGTCCGGAAACAGATGTGGTGGAAGGACATGAAGATGCGCATGTGTTTGATCGTCGGCATCATTGTGCTGCTCATTGTCATTATTGTCCCAGCTGGTACGCTTCTACCATTTCCCTTCTGTGCCATAACATGGCGGCTAACTTGTTTCAGTGGTCGCCACCCGATAAATGCGGTACCTCCGTTGAATGAGACCTCAATTCTTTTTACTTGGAACATTACGACAGCACAGTCTTCCCAACGTTGGAGGAAACACTTGAAAGCGAGAACAACAGCGAATGCGAAAGCGTGATGAGAGCTCTTTTCTGAACCTTGCTCGAGAGCGCTTACGGCTGGACGATGGATGGGATGGGATGGGGCTAACTCCTGTTACAATAATGCACACTGGGCTTTTCCCCTTGCCAATTGGGCGTTCAATAAAATGGATTCTGCCTTCGATTCTGCGATTGTTGAATTCTGCGATGTTTCTGTCTTGCTGATCCCTCGATAGAAGATTCGTGCATGGTCTATCCGAATCGTCAGTGGCTACATGAAGCTCAAGCATACTTGGGACGTCGTCTAAAGACGATGCTGCTATCTCATACGCCCTCAGCGCAAGCTGAAAGTCTTCCTCGCGTTCCTCGTTACGAGTGACTTTTGACCAAAGGAATCTCGACCCGGGGAGGCTCGAGTAAAAACTTCTCAACACGTGCACCAGCAAATAGCATGGTCCAGCTCCGCTAGATAGATAATGAAGGCTCGTGAGTGACGATCCGCCGCTTCAGGCTAGAAAGCCAATGCCATGCGTTCATCATGCAGCAGGGCGGCGAAGAGAATTTTGCAGACAAATTTTTCCTTCAGAGTCAGCCGGGGCGTTGGTTGGCAGAGCCTGGCACGCCACCCATTATCGGAGGAGCAGCGGTGGCAGCGGTGGCCGCCCAGGCAGCGCAGGCACTGGCTTCTGGCTGGTGGGCTTCAAAGTTGGGGTTGTGGTTGGTTCTGCCACTGGCAAACCTCATGCACAACAACCATCACCCCGCAAAATATTTTGCTATCGAGTAGTTGGGAAATCAAGAAAATTTTGACGCAAGACGACGCTGGTGAAGTTTTTTCTTCCCCTGCTCTGATTCCGGGCATATGGTTCTTTGGCGTTCCTCTCAATAGACCTGCCGTTGGGTTTTCTCTGTTGGTTTCCCGTGTTTCGCTCTCCCCTCTTCGTCCCTCGCACTCGACTGTCACACTGCGTCAAACACGATCCACGTCACCGACACCGGACGTTGACTCCAGAGTCCTTATCAGCTGCCGCATGAACTGAGCGCAACCATGTCGGCATTGGGAGCTGCTACTGCGCGAGCAGTCACTCGACGAGCAGCGTCCTCGTCTCTTCGTTCTCGAGCTCTCCGCCTTGCTAGGCCTTCATACACCCCCCTCGCTGTACAGCAGACCTCTCCGCAACGAACATATTCCTCTCCCTCGGGATCCTACCCCTCGACGAGGTCGACGGTGGTACAGTTGCTCAGTAATATTGGCTCCAAGAGGGAGGTTCAACAGTACCTGTCACACTTCAGCTCAGTTTCGTCCCAGCAATTTGCCGTCATCAAGGTCGGCGGTGCCATCTTGACCGAGCATCTGCAGACCTTGTCCTCTGCCCTTGCATTCCTCAACCATGTTGGGCTCTATCCCGTTGTCGTCCATGGTGCTGGGCCGCAGTTGAACAGGATTCTGGAAGACTCGGGGGTCGAACCACACTTTGAGGATGGAATTAGAGTCACAGACCCCAAGACATTAGGGATCGCACGAGCACTGTTCCTTGAAGAGAACTTGCGGCTGGTGGAGGAATTGGAGCGTCTAGGTGTCCGAGCCAGACCGATCACTTCTGGGGTTTTTACCGCGGACTATCTGGACAAGGAGAAATACAACCTGGTGGGCAAGATCAGACGTGTCGACAAGAGACCAATCGAGGCTGCTATCCAGGCGGGATGCCTACCAATCTTAACGTCCATGGCCGAGACATCAGACGGGCAGGTCTTGAACGTGAACGCGGATGTCGCAGCCGGTGAGCTAGCTCGAGCACTTCAGCCATTGAAGATCGTCTACCTCTCCGAGAAGGGCGGTCTGTTCAACGGTGACACGAAGGAGAAGATCTCTGCTATCAATCTGGATGAGGAGTACGATCACCTCATGCAACAATGGTGGGTTCGACACGGCACCAGGCTGAAGATCAAGGAGATGAAGGAGCTCCTCATGGACCTGCCTCGCAGCTCGAGCGTTGCCATCATTCACCCGGCTGATCTGCAGAAGGAATTGTTCACGGACTCTGGCGCTGGTACTCTGATCCGACGGGGCAACAAAGTCCATGTCAACACCTCTATCGACCAGTTCAAAGACATCGAGAAGCTCAAGGAAGTCCTTATCCGTGACCGGGCTGGACTTGATGCCAAAGCCATTGTGGACCGCTACATCAAGTTCCTCCAGACGCGGGACTTCAAGGCTTACTTCGATGAGCCGATGGAGGCCTTTGCTCTTGTGTTGCCCCCAAGTAGAGAAACAACGCTGGCTCAGCTGGCTACCTTAACCATCACGAGGAACGGCTGGCTCACGAACGTGGCAGACAATATCTTCGCCGCCATCAGGAAAGATTTCCCCAAGTTGATGTGGACTGTCAAGGAGGATGATGAGAACTTGACCTGGTTCTTCGACAAGGCTGACGGTAGTCTCTCCAAAGATGGCGAGGTCCTCTTTTGGTACGGTCTTGAGACTAGCGATGAGGTTAAGGACCTTATGGTTGAATTCACAAAGCATGGACGTCAGTTGTTCGGCGATATCAATCTCGAGGCTAAGCTGCACCGTGCAGCTAGAGCGGCGTCCAGTGCAGCCAACTCTACTGCTCAAGGGATGACCCAGAAGCGAACATTCTCGACTTCGGCCAATCCATTGCGCTCAGCACGGCAAGCAAGATTTGTCACCAAGCCAGCTCTTTCTATCCGTACGTACTCCACGACCAACCCAAACCCGCCCCTTGGATCCAAAAACAGCTCCAACAGCAAGCCCTCACGTATAGCCCTTATTGGAGCTCGAGGCTACACCGGTAAAGCCCTCATCGACCTTCTCAACCGCCATCCGCACATGGATCTGCGCCATGTATCATCACGAGAGCTTGCTGGCAGGAAGCTTGAAGGCTATGACAAACGAGAAATCATCTACGAAAATCTGACTGTCGAAGATGTCCGACAAATGGAAGAGAACGAAGACGTAGACTGCTGGGTGATGGCCCTGCCAAACGGCGTATGCAAACCGTTTGTTGATGCCATTGATCAGGTTGGCAAAAACAGTGTCATTATTGATCTCAGCGCCGACTACAGATTCGATCCAAACTGGACTTACGGTCTTCCGGAACTGGTTGACCGATCCGCTATCGCAAGGGCCACAAGAATCTCGAACCCAGGCTGTTATGCTACAGCCGCTCAGCTCGGCATTGCACCTCTCGTGCCGTATTTGGGTGGTCAGCCAACGGTATTCGGCGTCTCGGGGTATTCAGGTGCAGGCACCAAACCCTCTCCGAAGAACGACGTCAACAATCTTACCGACAACATCGTTCCTTACAGTCTAACAGACCATATCCACGAACGAGAGATCTCAACCCAACTTGGCGCGCCGGTGGCATTCATTCCCCATGTCGCTGTGTGGTTCCAGGGCATTCACCACACCATCAACATTCCCTTGAACCAGGAAATGAAGTCTCGCGACATCAGAACACTTTATCAAGACCGCTATGCCGGAGAGAAATTGTTGAAGGTCATTGGTGAGGCGCCCCTTGTGAAGAATATCGCCAAAAAGCATGGCGTGGAAGTTGGTGGGTTTGCCGTGCACAGCAGTGGAAAGAGGGTGGTGGTTTGTGCAACGATCGATAATCTTTTGAAAGGAGCGGCAACGCAGTGTCTTCGTAAGTTCCAGATCCTGTTGTGACGTCAAGATCGGGCATATACTGACATTCTACTTTACAGAAAACATGAACTTGGCTCTGGGCTATGGGGAGTACGAGGGTATTCCCCTCGAGTAGAAAGGGAGCTAGATTAGAGTATATGAAGGCGCCGACGGCAAGATACAATACCCCAAAAAGCATTCGAATAAAAGTTCCGGCTTAATAATACGAGATCTATCTGTGAGCAATGTTGTTTCTTTGGTCATGGACGCCCCTTTCCTCCACCGCTTCTCTCCATGGGCGACGCGAAAGTCAACGGCGGAGATACGGGACGAGAGACTCGAGCTCCTCTCCAACAAACACCGTTGTTATGTCTTCTCAGCATTTGGTACAATCTATGATTTCGAGTCCAGGGTGTGGGCCGGCATGCAACATGGCAGTTTGGTAAAGGCCGAGAAGATTCGTGAATGGGTATTTGTACAGGTGTTGTCTGGTTTTGATTCTCAAGGGAGACGTTGTAAATGCGCTGAGAGGAGGGCCAGGGTTCCACAACGGTAAAGGGAAGAAGAGAAACGTCCATGACTATGGCCAAATTTGCCTGTCAACTTCCTGAGTTTTCACATTCCCTTTTTGTCATTTTCCTGGGAGTGGCGATGAGATTGGGATGACAAAGGTCTGGCAGAGTGGCCTGAGTTTGATGCTCGTGGCGTCCTCCTGCTGGAATTCACTGTCTGTCTTCAATTCACTTTCAACTCGACTCCAATCTGCCAACCGCTCCAAATCCTGTCTCGCCGTGCTTCCCGTTGGCTGATTCCTCCTTCTTTACGCCTCCTGCTTGCCGCAGTCACAGTCACAGCCACAGCCCACGTCTCGGAGTCTCGCCATCCGGTCGATAGCGACGAGCTCGACTAGAGAATTCTTATCAAAGTCTGAATGGGCGGAATCCTTTCGGATTGTTGAGGTGACATGTTCTACAGCCACGAAAGTGAGTCCCCCTTCTGCTGAGGCGGGCGGCGAGCTACGACAGACCAAGCTGACGCGACTGTGTCCTACGCAACAGTCCTGACGAATCGTCAGTACGGTGTTGCGACCATTTGGTAAGAAGCTCCTTCACACTGCAGCCCTCACTCGCTGCAAGTTGCTGCTCTAGAAGCGCCCTTCGTTTTGCACGCGCTCACTCCTCCTCCTCACCAGGCTCGTGGCAACCCTCGGCTCCAAGTCCAACCTGAAGAAGATATCTCGTCGGGCGATCCTTGACGTTGACCTCCAAAAGGCATGCAGGACCATCACGGAGCCCGAGCTGCCCTTAGCATTGAGGTTGCAGGGCAGCCTGCTATTTGGAGTCTCCCGCGTGTTCCAGCAGCAATGCGGCTATGTATTGACGGACGCCACGAGCTTGAGAGACAAGATGAGGAACACGGAGCGTGTCTTCAAAGAGATGGAGTTGGATCCTGAGGTGGGAAAGACAAGGTCAGTCGAGAGGAACGTTTGATCCCCTGAAAATGACCTCAGCTCATCGAGATTGCAAGACCAGAACAACTTAACCTCCCAGAAGACCCCTATTTCATTCCGGATCTTGACATCCACTTCGACCTCTCTGTCTTTGGTTTCGCATCGGACGGCTCTAGCTCCTCCACAAGCCCCTCGTCCTTTCTCACACTACCTTCGAGCCAGACAAGTCGCCCTCCTCACGATGAAGCAGGTGATTCAGGGTTGGAGATGCCGTCTTTTGATACGCCTGCCGGGGCCCCCGGTGGCTTCGACGTGCCCTTGGCTGGAGGGACGAGCTCCGCCGTGAAAACTGGCAGCAAAGTCGACCCTTACTCTGTCTTTGAAGAGGAGCCTGCCATCATGGACGATCCACTCTTTGACGTCGACGAGGATGGTTTCCTTCACCCAGCCATCTCGAGGAGTCCTCTGGGCCTTCAGCAACCATCTGACGCAGGGCAACTACAGCAAAGCGAGGCCCAGGCTAATGATCAGCCCAGCAGCGTGCATCTACCAAGCGCAAGAGACGATGAACCAATGCCAAATTTCGACGAGATGGACAATCTTGTAGACGAAGAACCAACCCTCCCACCTCCAGCTCCTCAAGTTCCGTTGACCCCGGAACCTGCAGATGAGGAAGTCCGCCAAGGGACACAAGCAACATCTTCTGTCCAGCCATCCGAGGAGAGCTCAGAGACAGCAGAGGCACCTGAGCGTCGCGCACGCACCGTGAAGGCGATCCTGCCGGATCGACAGACAGAGCTGAGTAATCGAGATCTGAACGAGTGGAACCAAAACTACCTTGCCAATATGGCAGTCGCTTCGCGCACCAGACGGAGCCAGCTAGCACACTTCGAAGCCAAGAAGAATGCCGAATTCTGGATCATACAACAAGGACTGGGGAATGTCGCATCTTGCTTTGGAAACGACAGAGTCCCACACCCGTTCAACGTGTTCAGTGGCCAGTCGCTGTGGGACATGTTGGGTGGAGGACTGAATTATGGAAAGAAAAGATCACGAAGTAGTTCCCTGGCGGATGACGAGCGAGAGGAAGACAGACGGGTAAGAGCCAGAACAACATCCGAAGGTGGAGTCGCTCGAGGAGGAGAGGGCGAGAGACTTCCCCATGCTGATGACGGCGGATTGTTATTTCAAGGCGATGACTTTGATGTTGAAGTTGAGGTTGGTCGGCGAGGTCCTCCATCCTTGCCTGACCAATGGTCCGGCATGCCATGGAACATCTCTGGATCTCGTCAGAGCTCCGCACAACCTCTGGGAAGCGGCCCTATCTCGAGGCTGAGTTCAAGCATCGGTGGGCTTTATGGTGGAATGGAGTTGGGGCCACCTTCTGCTCTAAGTAGACGAGGGTTGCGTCTTACCTCTGCCAGTCCACTTCTCGGGAGAGGACTGGCCTCGCTGTCCAGACAGAGCAGCCGGGGACCTCTCGACACTTCAGGACTCGCGAGCAATGATGACGACTTCGCGGATCTAGATGCGCAGCTAGGGGCAGACATCGATCCGGATTTCGAACTGTACGGACCTTCTGTGACCGTGGACACGCAAACGGCTGTACAATCTCAATGGATCGCTGCAACTCTGGAGAAGGAAGCGTACAATTTCCTTTCCTTCGTCCATACGAAGATCCAAGAGAAAGCAGAACAGCAAGATGTGATTGAAGAGGAAGGTAGTGCAAGAGAAGCGGGAAAGATTACATTGGACGAGCTCCTTCCACCGACCCAAAACTCACAGATTGTGGGCGCGCAAGCTCTCCTTCACGTCCTTGCTTTGACCACGAAGGGTTTGCTCAAGGTCTACCAGGCCAAGGGATTTGCTGCTATTGAAGTCTCGGTCGTCATTGAAGGGAATCGAGCGGGCTGATCCAGAGTACGGTCGAAATAATGTTGTGTCTGAAGATTGAGGGTCAGGCGGAGCTGTCCGGGACCTGTTCGTTGACATTGTGGTGTACGCAATCTCTGTAAGAGTACGTGGAAAGAGCATCAGGGTTCGGGTATCAGATGACGAGCGACCGAAATTTCGACAGGATCTAGGGCCTGCGAAACCAATTCGGCTGGGGAGCATCGTGCGAGGATGTCTGCAACCGGGAAATCATGAGCCGAGTTAAGGGATGGTCATGCGCTCGCCAGACGGGGTTCAGCCTTGCTTCTCCTCGGATAGGAGCAGCTTGAAGCCGTCAGGGATGCAAGGATCATCGCCTGAGGAGTGCGAGCACCAAACCACCGCCGTTTGATCACCATCAAAATTTCAGTAAGGGGAGAGAGCTGTGGCGCAACCAGTAGATCGCTGGGTTGCATCTTGCTTTTCAAGCCACAACCTTGTCGCGCTTCTGTCACAAATCTTGTTTCAAATCAAAGCGTCGATGACCCGATATGTGTAGTCATAGGCTAGCCTCGAGAGGCGACGAAGTTCCCAGAGGAACGCGCAAAGCCGAATAGCGATTGACATTTGATCTCCTTGCATCTTGCTTGCACAGCCCGGCAGCCTACCATCTTCGAGAGCAGCTTTTCCAGGATATCCAGTGGCCCAGCAGTCTGGACCGCTTCTCGTTACGCGGAGATCGGTGGCTTCGCAGCCCGCAAACCCCGTTTGAGAGGCTTCATTTAGCGGGCGATCGCCGGGAGGCCGGCTGCCAGCAAGGACTGGTTGCGGCGAATCATGGGCTTGTGCCTGGCATGAAAGGTTGGGGTTCGTTCTTTGTTCTCATCGACTTTGTCAAGGTCAATGTCCGTTGTCTTTGCCCATACCACATTGTTGCACGTACCTGCAGGTCTATCCGACAATTCAACAAACAGCTGCCGTTGCAACAAGTGGATGGTGCCGAAGACAGATTGATCTGGAGCAAGAAAGTCCAAAATATTACGTTGGATTGCAGCTCTTCTGGCTGCGCTCACAAGTATCCGGCCACCCCTCGTCTCCCCCTTAAGTTAAGCAAAAGGCCTTAGGCGAGCCGGGTGATCGCGTCCCGATCCCCTGCAAAGCCCCTCCGGAACTTTTAAGCAAGTCTTGTGCCGTTAGCAGCAGTCTGGGCCAAAACAGCCCAAACTAACCCGCAAGGGAGGTCAACGCGGGCTAAGTAGAGCGGCGTCCACCTGCAACAAACAACCCGACCTTGGCTCACTCGACACTTATCTGGACCTCTCTGGTCCCTTGAGTTGTCCGCGGTCGCTGTGGCCACTCCTCTTACTTGCGCTGAATTCGTTCGCTCAGCCTGTTCGTCGACTCTTGTCGCTCGGCTTCGGCTGGAGCTCATTGTTCGGCATTTCCCCATGTTCCTCGCGCAACCCATTGAACGGACGACACTGCGAACCAGCCTCTAATTCCAGCTTGAGTGTCGATCACATCCTCTCGCACGGTTCTTCTTCGTCAAAAAGCAAGTAGTGGCTGTCGATGCAGTCAAGGGAGCACCAGATTGCCGGCAGCGGGATTTATCCACGGTCCTGTCACAGGCTCTTTCTCCACGATGATGGCCGGCAACCAATATGGCCAGCAATGGCAACAAAACCCAACACCCTCGTCCCAATATGACGGTGGAAATAATCAGAGGCAATGGCAAGAGAATGGGAGAGGCCAGGGTCCTTACAATCAGGATAACCAGCGCTACAATGACTATCCAAAGAGTCGCAATGGCTATGGCCCAGGTCAGGCGCCGGCGCTGGCGCCGACTGGGTACGCCCGAAACGCGCAGTGGGAAGGTCAAAATCAATACCACCAACAAAGTGGTCATGAGGCGCAATACTATGAAAATGGCGAGGGATATTCACGGCCGTCCCAGCCAAGCCAATACGATCAAGGTCCCCCTCCCAGTCGGCAGTATCAATATGATGAACGCTACCGCACCCAAGGGCCAGGTAGACCTCCACAGCCTGATCACGGCTATGCCAACGCACAGAGGCCACCAAGGAACCAGTGGTCGGAGCCTTCCACACCTCAGAAGAGATCCAGAGGTAAGAATTGAGTGGTGATGTCCAACCGATACTGAACGCTGATGCTTTATAGCCCGCGACCGCATCTTGACTGAACCCACGTCCCCCAAAAATTTGGCTTGGGATAACCCCTTTGGTGCTTTTCCTCCCAAGAAGAAGCCAGGAGACAAGATGAGGCACGAGAGACACGCCAGTCTGGACCACGCAATGGCGAGTCTCGACATGAACGAACACCATCCTGGCGGTGGCTTTGAAGCAAGACCTCATACTTCCAACAGTCAAAGAAAAGAACCCCCCCGTCCTAGTACTTCGCATGACCGCCACGACCGTCACCCCGATATTGGACAGCCGCCGCTTCCGACGCAAGGCTATCCTATGCCACCCAGTCGAAACTCGCCGGAGATGACTTACCAACAGCCACCTATGCCCCGACCTCAGGGTGGAATGGGCAGTCCGAGAATGCGACCGGCAGGACCTCCGCGAGGACCCCCGCCGCCGATGAATAGAAATGGACCTCGTCCCGGCCCTCAGGGTGGAATGGAGGACTTCAATCCTCGGGCGAACTACAATGCCCCGGGTAATTATCCACTGCCAGATCGTCGGGGAAACAATAATGTCTATGACGAGGGGTACGCTTCAGACTTCATTCCACAGTCAAGAGCACACATCTCACCAATAGATCGTGCTCCGCAAGGGTATCAGTCCAGACCTCCAGCCCAGGAGGATTACCATGCCAACTCAAACCGAGGATTTCCTCCTAATGGTTCCGCGGAGACCACCCAATTGAGAAGTAGTCAAATACCGAATTTTGATGCCATTCCGACCGGTGTGAATGAGAAGACCGAGGACCACATGATTGCGAATCAACCGTCTGGGTTTGGTCAGAACATCTATCAGAAACCAACTTATCAAGTACCCGGCTCGTTTCCCAGTCAGATTGATACAAAACAGTCTATTTCTCCTCCAAACCAGACCACTTCTCCTTTGGCCGAATTTTCGTTCGATTTGCCTGGCTCCTCGCAACCGGCAATGGCTGGCAGAAATGACAGTTCTGCACAAGGTGCATCCTACCGCGGAGTCTACACCGGACAGGAGACATTTGGCGCGGGAGGGCCTCCAAGGGGTGTATATGGGGACATCAAGGCTCAGGATCCGCCTGGTGCGCAGTATCCCCCGCCTCGTACTGCCAGTCGGAACGGCATAAAGCCGTCAATGGAAAGTGACGCCTCAAGACCTCCGCTGCCAAACAATGGCCAACCCTATCGATCATTTAGTCAGGATCAGTATCCCATCCGACCACATACAAGCAATGCGCAACGGCCACCGCAACAAAGTTACGAAATGATGAACCCATATGATCAGGACTACGGGCCAGTGAACCGGGCTCCCTCAGCACCTGCTGCACCTCCAGGTCCCGTTCCATCTGATCAAAGCTATGTTTATCCAGGACAGGGCCAACAATATCAACAGCCATATGGACAGGGCCCACCGTTGCGCAAGGCATCCCAGGACAATTACAACGGCGGCCCTGTTAGGCCGAATGCTTCCAACTCCGCACATCCAGTACCCGTGAGACATTATCCAGCTCCCAATGCAGAGACCAACCCTGATGCATTGCCAGCACACCCTACTCCAGTGAGAGCAGGACTAAAAGACAGCAACGGGTATCCGGCGAATCAAACGCCACCGGCTCAGCCAAACCAGCGGCGTGAAGTTTCAGGGTCTTCGCCGCCCGTCACTGCTCAAGAGCTGAATAGCCTCCGCGAGATGTACAGTAGGAATCCAGGTGACCATGCTCTCGGTCTGAAGCTCGCGAAAAAGATGGTCGAAGCAGCTAGGGTGCTCTCCGATGAGAACGGGATGGCGGACCAGAAGACCACTCAAAAGAACCGTGAAAAGTACATATTCGATGCACACAAACTGATTAAGAAATTGGTGGCAGCCAGCTACCCAGACGCAATGTTCTATCTGGCCGACTGTTATGGACAAGGAATGTTGGGGCTTGCCGTGGACCCTAAAGAGGCCTTTTCTCTCTACCAGTCGGCGGCGAAGCTCAATCATCCTCAGAGTGCATATAGAGTCGCAGTGTGCTGTGAATTGGGCACCGAGGAAGGTGGCGGAACTCGACGTGACCCCTTGAAGGCGATGCAATGGTACAAACGAGCAGCAACGTTGGGAGACACCCCCGCTATGTACAAGATGGGAATGATTTTGTTGAAGGGACTGCTTGGGCAACAGAAGAATCCCCGTGAAGCAGTGTCGTGGTTGAAAAGGGCTGCCGAGCGGGCGGACAAGGACAATCCTCATGCGTTGCATGAACTGGGTCTCATTTACGAATCAGCCTCGTCCACGGACCATATCGTGCGCGACGAAAAATACGCTTTTCAGCTGTTCCAGCAAGCTGCCGAGCTGGGATACAAATACTCACAGTTCCGTCTTGGGTCCGCCTACGAGTATGGGCTGCTCGGTTGTCCTATTGATGCTCGCCAAAGCATCGCATGGTATACTCGAGCTGCCGCCCAAGGAGAGCACCAGTCAGAACTGGCACTGAGTGGTTGGTACCTGACTGGTTCGGAACCCCTGCTCACGCAGAGCGACACCGAGGCATTCTTGTGGGCACGAAAAGCTGCCAGTTCGGGGCTTGCCAAGGCAGAGTACGCGATGGGATACTTCAACGAAGTAGGTATCGGCACGCCGGGCGACATTGAAGAGGCCAAACGTTGGTATTACAGGGCGGCCGGTGAGTATTCTTTATTGTCCATTCTTGTCTTTCGACGAACATTGCGACTAATTGATGAATTCTTTACTTCCAGCGCAAAATTTCCCAAAGGCACGAGAAAGGCTCGAGGAGCTGAAGAGGGGAGGTCCGAAGCAGCAAAAGACCCGGGTGTCGCGATCGAACGTCAACAGGCAGACTGACGGGGATTGTGTGGTCATGTAATAGGAAGAGAGGAAACACGCCGGAGCAAGCCATTCTCGCTGCTTTCCCTTTTCTCACCCTCCATCTTTCTCGAACTTGGTCGCTTGTTTCTGGCCCCCTTTCCACTTCCCTTTCGCGTCTACCGCCCCTTCGACATGAGATTCGAGATTGGGAAAGTTTTCCTGTAAATATTATCCCGAAGAGAGGAGGAACGGACCAAAAAAAGGGAGAAAAGTCCCCAGGTAATGCTGCGAGGAACATCGTGTTGAATGTGTGGAACGCCGAGGAACGAACGAACGACGAACCGGGTGGGTGGTTTTGTTGTCGGCCCCTGCCCTCACGTATGCGTGTATGTATGTACTTGTATGTACGGACGGAAGGAAGGAAGTTAATCCGACTCCTGTGATGTGATCCGGCTTTTTGTATGCCATCATGTGACCTGGGCTATATACCGCTACCTACTTCGAGCGCCCCCTCCCCCCCCCCCCCGGGGGATATACACGAGTACCAAGCTAGACAAGGAACCTCGCAAAGTACGCACCCAGATCCGGCCCGCTGTCTAGACCGGTCGCAAAGCCCACGATCCCGTCCGGGCGGATGACGACCACGGCACCGCCGCCCACGCTGGCGCCGTACCTCGCGTGGGCGGTTGAGTCGTGGTCGTAGTATGCGTCGCCGAACCGGGCGACGCCCAGGGTTTCATCGGCCTGGGGCCTGTTTCCTGCGATGATGGTCACGAGACGCATCTTTTCGAGGTGCCTCTTGATGCCGTCGCCGTCGTCGAGATATTCCCGCAGACTCCGCACCGACGCTCCGGTCAGGAGGGGTTCGCCCGCAAACACGACGACCCAGAACAGACCCACGTTCTTCATCACCGTGTGCAGCCTCGTGGGGACCCTCGCGCCGGGTGCGTGAACCACGACGTCCGGCGCGCGCAAGCCGCAAGGCACCGTGGCCAACTTGGTCGCCACGTTCAGCGTGTTCGCGCCGTACCGGATGCCCAAGCCGATGTTGAACTGGACGTTGTCCTCCAGCGCCTTGGCGAACAGCACATTCGGGTCCGCCGAGAGGCCTGCGACGGCCAGCTCGGGGGGCACGGTTCCGGATATCAGCGCGGAGAAGGTCTTGTCCAAGTTGATCAAGTGCTGTGCGACGGGCCGCCGCTCGCTGTTATACGTGTCCAGGATCGAGGCGTGGTACCAGCCCTTCAGCACACCAGCAAGTTTCCACGCAAGGTTGCACGTGTCGTGCACGCCCGTGTTCATGCCCTGCGCAGTCCCCGAGGAGTGGCTGTGGCAGGCGTCGCCGGCGAGGACGATCCTGTCTTTGACAAAAGTATCCGCGAGGGAGTGTCGGACGCTGTTTTCCTCGAAAGTCGGTTTTCTGGTTAGCGCTGTGTAGTTGCCAATCCGTTGCAAGCACCCGTAAGGAACAACACGGTCTTCCGTGTTGAAGGAGAAGGGTTGCAAACCGGCTCGTGTGGTTTGCGGAAGGGTGCCTCACTTGTACACAGTATACCAGTCCACACATTTGAACTCCAAAGTGAATGGCTTGACGGCCAGTTTTGCCTCCTCGATAGTCTGCTCCTGCGTCATGTGTTCGCCATATCTATCCATCATATCCCGTGAAAGGGCGAATCCCACCCTCGTTCGACCGTGGTCTAGCGCCACCCACAGCACGTTGCCGTGTGTGGGAGATTCCAAATTCGCAAACCCCTCGCGAGCGTCCGGCATATCGGTCTCCACGACACCATCGATACGCACCCAGCGGAGGGTTGTGCTATCTGTTGTCGACGAGATGCCAGAGAGGTGACGGATGGTGGAGCGGGCACCGTCAGCGCCAACAAGGTACTCTCTGCAAGGTTCAGTGTCATCGTTGCATAATAGCTCGTCTGTCGCAGGTCGTATGTAGTGGCGGGAGCGGAAGAAAGGGGACGGTTGCCATGACTTACCCAACAAGTGTCCGCGTCTCTGAAGTAATAACATTCTTGATTTCCACCTTCACTGGACAGGGGCTGGCCTCGCCTTTCCCCCCTTGATCGATCTGGGTGGTCAAACTCGCCACATCCCATCCACCAGCAATAACTCCACCAATTTTCTCGTACTCGTCCCTTACAATGTCCTCGGTGTACTTCAATCGGATGTTAAGCACATAATCCAAGAAGGTATGCCCTTGCATGGCGTCAAATACATGGCGCATGCCCCGTGTGTTGTCTCTTTTGCCATCCTTAGCGTAGTTGACACCACTCCTCGACACGAATCCCACCTGATTGAGGCGTGTGAGAAGGTCATACTGGTCGAGCATCTCCAATGTGCGCGGGAACACTGTACAAGCGCGGCCGTACATGGGTAACTTCTGCTTTTCGAGTCGTTCTTTGTCCACAGAAGTGGAAATGTCATGGTTAGCAGAAGACGAGCAAATGGTTCTCTGAAACGTCTAGCAATCCGCTGGCAGAGAGTCGCTCTTACCGACGACACAGGTTTCAATGCCCATGCGTTGCAGCCCATAGGCCGTCAACAAGCCCACTGGCCCCCCGCCACAGACTACCACGTCGTAGTGATCTTTGAAGTCAGCCATCGCAGTAATGTCGAAGTCCACAGAGCTAATTAGGAGAACAGATGTTGAAGATAGAGTCGAATATTTGGCTCGGCAGGCAATCTCGATGCAAGCAGCATCGCTGAGAGAAAATCGCCGAACAGTCCGCGATGGGGTGCTCTCCAAGCGTATTCTCCTAATTGCGTATCCTCACCTTTGGCTTGCCCACCAGTAGGGGTTTCGTCTTTGGACTGCGCCACCTTTTAGCTTGCCATGCCCTATGAGAGAGGATGTGTGAGGGTGCTGCTATATTCCGTCCACCTCATGGAAGGCTGCCGCGACGTGGGAGGCCTTGGGCCACCCTGCGATATGGACCGAGCTCACAAGCACACAGGGTAGGCCAAAGAGGTGCAAATGGCCTCCGAGAGACCGGTTGCCTGTTGTAAGCGAGCCGCAATGGGATGGATTTTGAAGGGCGTCGAGAGTAGTGGTGACAGATTCGTTGCAAGCCATCTGAAAGGGAGCCTTTTTGTCGGCGAAACAGCGGCGTGTGCTGGGCAGGACATCCAAAAAGGAAAAGGCAGCAGCCTCGCAGATGGATGACTGATGATAGAGTAATAGCTCGAGAGTGGGAGAAGGTGTGTTAGGGATCATGATGGATTGCATCAAGCAGCTCAGTCCAGGAGGTACACGAGGTAAAGAAGCAAGTTATTGTTCGCGTGCCATGTGACATCTGCCGCCATTTCTCAAACTCCCTCCCGCTACTGGTTCTGCCCCTTGCCCAGTTCTGTACATTCGCTATATATTATAAGAAATAGATTTAGTCCCTTGGGTTACGCCTTCTTTTCTGGCTTACCCTTTTGCGCCTTGTTTTTATTATCCCCAGCATCCTCATAATCGCCTCCAGCAGCTTCGTATCGCCGGGCCAATTCGCCGGCTTTCCAGGCGGACCATGATCCTTTCCCTCCACCTAACGTAAACCAACGGCACGTCAGCCATTTGGGACGGCGGAGGAAACGATGGCATAAAGGAAGCACGACGATGCTCCAAAAAGATGGCACACGTGTAAACGCGTCCAGCAGGAAGGGCACCAACCTTTCTCCATGTTCTTCACTTCCTCCTTGATCTTCTCGCGCAGTTCAGGATCTATTGGATTTCCCTTGGAACTAGGCATCGTCCTGACTTCCTGTAGCAAGGGAATCTGATATGAACTAGATGATCGTTGCGCAGATTTTGGATGTAATTTCGAGAGAAGCTCTGATGACGGTGGCGGCTTTGGCGCAAGAGGCAGGGGCTGATAGTGTCTCGAAACGTCAACTGGGTTTGGCGACTGGTTGTGGTAGATGGTACGCCACGTGTTCGATATAAAAGTCGAGTGCTGGCTCGCCTGGAGTTGGGCCCTATCGCTACCGAGCAGCAAAAAGACTGAACTTCCCTGAGGTCGAGGAGGACTGACTGCTTCTGGAAGTCGACGTTCTTGAACTCGTATCAGAAGTTGACGTAGTGGATACTGAGCTTGTTCTTTCTTTGGTCTGCCTGCCTCCTTCCTGGAACGACGGGGCCGGTGAGGAGGCGTCCGAGGCTTTCTTTAGGATTTGGCGCAGGGATTCCTGTGCTGACGAGGGGTTTTCAGGATTACTTGTAGAGCGGAAAGTTGGAAAACGGATCATGGTTGGAATGAGGTAACGAGGAAAATGGCGTTAGTTGTTTGAGAGCTTTTGCTTTGTGCTGAATGCAGGATCGATGTCGTTGTCGATCTGGCTTTCAGCTGGTTTAAGATTGGGATCCGAATGCGGGACAGAGCCAGGAGGGCCAGAATATCTGACGCTCAGATGGTTGTGATATGCGATATGCGATGTTATGCACCCGGGTGGAGACTTGATTAAATAATGACGACGTGGATATCAAAATCCGAACAAAGGTATGCTGGGCACAAGGCAATCGAGAAGATATATACGTCACAGGAGCGATCAGTGTCTCTGTCGATTGCGTGAGAGTCGATCTGCCGCCTGGTGTCTCGGGTTATGGCTGGGATCGTACCGCAGGATACTCTGCATGCGACAGAGACAACCACGGACAGACGAGGCCTTTTGAATATGTCAGTGTTTGGGTGTGAGGGCCCCGAGGAGAACAAACTAGAAGCACAAAATTTGCCAGGCTGAGGCTGAGTACTTGTAGCCGGATGTTTTCATGCTGGTGGTGCCTCTTCCTGCGTCCCCTCCACCTCATCCATTTTCCTTTCTGGACTCGATCCATCTGATCGAATGAGGGATCGCGATTGGAGAGGGCAAATCCGCATGCGCCAGCCACCCAATCGGGCAGAATCACGCTGATCTTGCCTCAGCGCGAAAGGGCCACCAACAAACCTGGCGAACCTGGCGAACCTGGCGGGGGATGTCAGTCGCTTCGGCGTGAAGAGTCGGGGCTCTGGAACATGCATCCGTCCAGAGAACAGCCACACAAGACACCGCGGCCCTGTTCTGGCGTGTGCGGGATGACGGGCCCGCAAAGTCACTTGACAGGCAAAAAACAAAGAGGCGACCCCATGATTCTCTCCACGATTGAGGGTGGTGTTGCCTTGCAGGTTTTGCCAGGCTTCTTGGACCGACCTGTGTGATCCATGGCCGTCATGAATGAGACGAAGAAGAGATGGGGAAAGCAAAGCACTACCGAGTACGATGTATGACCGACTGTTATGACCTCATCCATGCGCAGCCTCGCGTTGGCTGACGCGCGGCCAATGGGAGTGGGCGAGGCTGTATGCACCACCCTCCAGCCTGAGGCCTTTTCTAAACACAGTACAAGTATGTCGGTGGCATTTGAGTGCACCTACTTGTAGACTGTTCTCGACCTACGTGGTCCAGAAGCCACTGAAACAGAATGTGGCGATGGAGGAGTTTACACAGAACAAGGACAAAGTGGCTGTGCAAAGTGTATCCCGTGGTGGTGGTGGGGCTGCGACTGGTTGCATGGCGAGAAAGTCTGCATGTATGGTCGAGACTTGTCTCTATGCGACACGACAATGCGGACATGGCGGCCACCCGTGTTTCCTTTGAGAACAGGTGTGCCTGGTCACGGCGAGTCTTGCATTGGAAGCATCTTCCCGTATTGCCAAGTGCACGTCCGTCCCGCCATGGCCTTATCGCTCTGCATCTGTAGCAATGATGCATGACGCACTGTGTGCTCTAGACTCCAGACCCAATGCTTTTGAATTGGCAATATGTGCGATCAGATGAAATGTCTAACCTTCTCTCTCCAGCCACACGCCCACAATACTAGAGCCAGTATCTTGCTCTAGATCTGAGGTCGGGAGCATGGGATGACATCTTGCTGGCGGAAGAGAAATGGAGCCGTCAGACTTGCTAGTATCTGTAACAATAGTCATCTCGCCTTTTGAAGGAAATTCCAGAAGCATTCCAGCTTGAACGGATGGCAACCGCCGTCTAGCACAGTGACTTTCAACACAAACCCTTGTGCTCGTTCTCGCCTGAGTTCCCCTCTATCCAGCCCATCCTGAACGACCCGCGATCGTTCCGCACACCTCGTCTCGCTCAATTACAACTTGGCTTCCACCTTCTTCTCCACCACTTTCGCCGAGCTCTCGATGTCCTTCTCCATTTCCTTCAAGGCGGCGGTGGTGCTACCATCTTGCGAGCTCCGATACATGAAGATCCGACTGCATTGGACGAGACCTACAAGGAAGAGACAGAAGTTGACAGCGGCGAGACTGTTGGCATAGCATTCAACGTCAGTATGGTCCCGTTCACAGGTCAAAGTCTTGAACCATGTATACAGCCATGGGTCAATGGGAAGGTCAACAAGTCTTACAGCATGTTCTTTGGTCGAATGACAAAGCACCATCTCGTCCAGATGGAACCTGTGGCCATGAGAGCCAAGTTCTGTGTCAAGGACAGTTTTTCGGCGGGACGGAGGAAATCTGATGCGCCCGCAAGGACGACACCCCATTTCATGATAGGGGCCCTGGCATCGTGACCCGTGTCAGCATCCATAAATCTCTATTCCCTAATCCCGACTCCACATGTCTCCAGGTATTTAAATCTGGGCAAGCAATATTTCATATAAAAGTGGTAAAGTCATACCAGAAATGCACGGTCCGAATGCCGACCTCACTGGTCCAAAGTCTCTGGAACAGAGACTGCGGTGGCGCGCCCTCGACCGCCGGGTTGGCAGCTGTGCCCTGCCATCGTCGAAACACGGGATTTCTCAACTGAAAGGGTGCTCGTGAGGTGAATGAGGTTGTGGATTGTCGGGCGGTTTGCTGCGCGAAGCGCAGTCCGAAGCGGGCGGACATAATGAGGGTAATCTGGTGCGCGTTCTGCTACGGGGCGAGCTTTGGCCCTGGCAGTGCTATGCGGCGATGTTGATGCAAGGTCTGGCGACGGAGGTGACAGTAAAGGAGTGGAGATTGTCACCCTTGACGGAGTTGATGTCGAAAGGATGAAGAGAGGTGAGTCAATTGCTGGGATCTCAACGGGGAAGATGGATGAGGAGAAAGTCAGATCTCCGGTAAATCGTTTTCACAATCTCCGTGTTCGCAGCGCCGAAGGCACCGTGGCCCTGTCTGACATAACAAAACCAGCATTACCTTCCAAAACCAGGAATCAATTCCTGTCAGACTAATGAATTCCCATTGTCAATACCGCCAAGGTCCAATTCGTCGTCCCAACGAGCACTCGTACATTTGCTCACCAAACATCGACTCCATGCGCCAGCAGCTTTCTCCGGACCATAGTTGATACTCGACCAGACTGGGAGTGCCGAAATGGCAACCAAATATGCCTTCACACAAGGCTTGAGGGAATTAAGATTTCACCTGAGCAATTCAGGTCAGGGAAGCGATGCCTGCAGGTATGTGCCATTCTCGCAGCAGTAGCAGCAGCACCACCACCACCACCACCACACCACCACCGTTCAAGCTCTGTTACAGAAAACTAAGCTCTGATTTAGATCCTTTCTCAAGCGAGCATACCCTACTATGAAGCATCACAACCCTCACATTCCTATTTTAATACGCGAAGCTACTGGCGTTGAACCAAAGGTGTGGGCAAGATATGGTATGAAGATTTGGACCGGGACACATTAGTACTGCAAAAAGACTGACCGTTGGACGATGCAGGATTGGGAAAGGAGAAATCAGAATCATTATCAGGTGAGCTGCAATGTGTAGAGAGGGGCTGCAATCGATGCTTACACATGTGGCAGGTCTTTCAGACAAGGAGATAGAGGACAAAGTCACGACCTTGGTCAAGAGCGAATAAACCCTATGACGAGCCCGAGTCAGCCGAGCTCGTTCAACAGGGAATGTATAACACCCAGTCTACTTGGACATGGAGGGAAGCTACCGACATGGCTCGACTACGCGAGACAGAAGAACAGGCTGGCAAAAGAATACTCGATTGTACATACGACTGCATGCCAACAGCCCAAAACAGATGATTCAATTTTCTTTTGACTTGTCCCACAGTTCAAGCTTGCACCTCTCCAAATCTGTATTGCGCCCAAGCCATGCTCGATTCTTGCATTGTCCACAGTTGCTTGCCCTGATCCGTGTCCGCGGCGCCCACGGCGATATGAATCGGCAGGAGATGCTCAAAGGTCGGATGGGCCTGTCTCGCATCGTCCCTCTCTAACAACTCAATCATCGTCTCATCCCTCTGCTCGCCCGGTTTCGTTTCCGCCGCGACCTTTAGAGCTTCGTCAAACGTCGCGGCGTAGGGCATTGTCCTATTCGAACTCCTGCCCAACATCATGAAATGTCGCAGGTTATGCACGCTCATGCCGGAGCATACGATGAGGATGTTCTCCTCCCGCAGTTTCTGGACGGCGCGACCCAGTTTGATGTGCGCCGCCGCGTCGGTGTGGTCGTCGAAGAGACTGACCTGCACGATGGGCACGGTCACGGGGTTTGTTTCGGGATTGAACATGACCTTGAAAGGGACGAAGACGCCATGGTCCAGCCCCCTCTCCGCCTCCTGCGTCTTGATCCCATGCTCCCCGAGGGCGTCGATGACTTGTTGGGCCAGCTTCGCCGAGCCCTTGTTCGGGAACTTCTCCATGTAATACTTGCGGGGGAACCCGTAGAAGTCGTAGAGCAACGGCTCCTCTTCCGCGACGTTGACTTCAATCATGTTGGGTCTTTCGGCCTGCCAGTGCGCCGAGAAGACCACGATCGCCGAGGGCTTTACCTGCTGCGTGATCTCACGCCCGAGACTCTGAAGCTGTGCATAGACCGGGTGTTTCGTGTCGTACATTGTGTCCGGCCCCTGCCATGGAGAACCTGTTAGCAAGAACGGGCTTGCTCGCAGGGACACTTTCAAAAAAACACACACACGAGATCCTAGGGGTCGAGGAGAACTTACGCCATGGGAGACAAAGTATACGGGCGTTCGTTTGGCCATTGCTCCTGTGCCGGCTGTCGAGAAGAGCCTGGTCAACCTGGAGAGCGATTTGAGAGGGCTCCAAATGCGCGCGGCAGCCACCTCGTCGGCCTCAAAGATGCGCGAATACTCGGAGAAGTTGAAGGGCGCAACTGCTGCTGCTGCCACGAGGAGGACCAGGATCGATATGAATGCGATTGTGGCGCCGGAGGTGGTGGTGACGAAGAAACGGGTGCTATTTCGAAGCATTCATCCGACACGAGGCTGCCCTGCTTTTTGCTCTCTTTTCGCCTTCCGGGCCCTTTTTCTTCTCCTTCGGTACTGCTTCTAGATTGACGATGCTTTGGGATCTTGGCTCGTTATTGCTTCCCTGGATCTAACGACCCTTCTATATCATACGATGATATGTGCCCGGAACGAGGACCGACCCGGCACTGGCTGAATGGGCGGGATCAGACACTTATCTAAGCGGTTCACTGGGGGCACCAGGGGCTGCGGAACGCCTCCGTTCTCGCTTTGGTAATAATATACCAACACTTTTCGATTCGGGACATAATACGGAGTAGTACCAAGCATACGGAGTAACTGTCTGAAGCCGGGAAGCTCACGAATCGCCACTGAGCCCCTTTCCTTCTCGGCCGATAGGGAGGCGTAATCTGGCTTCTCAAATACCGATAAATTTCCCTCGTCCAGCCTTGTCCAACCCAGCATTCAAACGAGTGGCTGCCCTTCTTTTCCTCGCCTGCAAATATGTATGATTCAGTTGCCACTTTGGATGACCTGTGCCCCGTCACTCCGCGCGCTCTCCTGCAGCCAGCTTGGCCAACCTCTCATGAAAGGCACAAAGTTGAACCGCGCGGGGAGAATAAGCTGGTCGCCTTCACATTTAAGCACCTGCGAGACCACTGCTTCTGCCACCGTGCCGGGCTCCAGCAGAACTTGATTCGAAGCCATCTTCCTGACTAAGCCGTGAGAAAGGGGCGTCCGTACCCACACGGGATGCACGATCCTATGCATCATAATCATCAGTTGTGAGATGCACAAACCAAAGGTCAACTTACGTTGTGCGGACTTTATCAGCACCGTATCTCGCCCTCAGCTCCTGCGCCAATCCCTCATGGAACGCCAGTGCTGCTGCTTTGGTCGCGGCGTAGCTGGTAACCCCAGCCCATGTCGCAAAGCTCGACATGCTCGCAATCGTTACCACATGTCCATGATTTTTCTTGATCATGTCCGGCAAAAATTCTTTGACCATTTTGAAATGGGCCAGAATATTGACGTCGAAGGTGCGTTGAAGTTGCTCCTCGGTTTCGTCAAGGATAGTTTTCCCGTTCGCGACGCCAGCATTGTTGATGAGCACTGTTGGATCACCGACGTCCTTGCGGATTTTCGCAGCGACATCTCGAATATCTTGAGACGAGGTCACATCAGTCTTATAGAACGTGGCACAGGTGGGTAATGGCGTTTGAGGGGGGTTAACGTCGAGAACCACGACTTTGATGTTCCGTTCGCCAAACTGTCGAACCATTTCCTGCCCAATGCCAGACGAGCCGCCACTGATCAGGACGATTTCGCGCTCCCAGTCCCACGACGTGTCTTTCACGAAGTTGTTGAGCACTAGCCGGCTGAGGTATCTGTTCAGTTTGTACAGGACACCAAATGTGAGGAGTCCCCCGAGCGTCCGGGTAATGAATCTAGGTTGAATGGCACTCGTTACAATGAGCGGAAGGGCTCGCTGGAAAGCCTCAGGGTATCTCAGGTGCAGTAGAAGAAGGGCGGCGGGGACAACAGGTTGCAGTAAAACATGATGCACGGGTCTGAAGAGGTATTCGAGAGTAATGCCTTCTCTTGGGGGGTGGAAGACAGACATGACGGAAGCTTGGACCTTCCAAGGTGTAGCAACTGTTCTCGAGGCTTTCCGGAGGCATTGTAGAGGACATGTTGTCAGGCTGCGAAGGAGCTGAATGAAGCCGGAGACACTCCGCATCCGTGTGCCAGGAGTGTGCTTCGTCTCGTCTCCTCCGTCTGGAGTGCAGAGATGATGCACCCGGGGGGCGAGGAGGGCCGTGGAAGGCCTGACGAGCTGAGAAAAGGGATGGGTGGTGGATGGTCTGAGTAAATTTACTAGCGCGGTTTCCTAAGGGGCTCTGGGGGTAGGTGGGGGGCGGGAAACGGCGCTGAGCCTGCGCAGTCACGGTTTGTCAGAGGAGGAGCAGTGCCCGTGACCAAACTGCACCCGGGACACAAGCAATCTCGCTGGTAAAGGGCGCTCATCTCTCTTTGAAGCAGACCACTTCACCCGCGCGCCGTACCGATCACGCAGCTTCTATCGAGTGCCCCAATTCCAGTCTCGTCGACGCCGTCTTTTTTCGAAGCATGGGGCGTAACGTTGACCAGGATGTCCATGCGGCATTCGTCGAGTTCAAGGCCAAAGGTACGTATGAAGTATTGTCACCTCCAGTATTGACTGTACTATACAACTTGTATGCTTGTCACGATACAACATACCTGTACTGTGACGATAGACGAGAGGAGCAGCTGACCGATTCGCGTCTCCACACAGAGGACGATAAATGCATGTCTGTTCAATGCATCTATTGCCAACAGATCCGTGCAAAGAACACCTCGCGCCAGAAGCAACATCTGCTCGAGTGCCCTGGCCTGCAGAACCATCCCAATGCCCCTCGCCCACAACCTTCTCCCAAAGATGCCGTCGGCGCTTCCAACGGCTTCGGCACGCCCTCCATCTCCCACAGCTCGACCACCCCCATGAACAATAGCCTCGCTGGCAGTAGCACTCCCATGCAAGGCATCTCAAACGGTACCAAGATCCCACAACCAGCCGACTCTACCACCCCGATCCAACGCCACACTCCAAAGCCCCCAAAGACCCCCAAGAGTACCCCTGGCTCCGGCCTCCCCATCCTGCCTCTCGACGACGTCCACGCTGCCTTTGTTGAGTTCAGAGCCAAAGAGGAGGACAAATGTCTGTCGGTGCAATGCATCTATTGTAACCAGATCAGAGCGAAGAACACATCGAGACAGCGCCAGCACCTCCTTGAATGCTCAACATACCAAAATGTCATGCAGGAATCAATACCTGCCAACAACCTTCTTCATAGATTCGATGAAAGTGACATTGCCCGCTCTCTTCGCCTACCGACCCCGTCTCTTGACCTCGACTTCCGCATGAGCATCAAGGTCAATCCCAAAATTGGTGTTGGACGAGGTCTGTTTGGTCATCGCGACTGGGTCAGCATTGTCGGGGGACAATGGGCTGGACGATGGGGTAAAGGCATTGTCATTGTAAGTTCCACCAGACCTCTGCTCAAAGAAATATTCATCAACTGACCCTGCCCCCAGCCTGGCGGACAAGACAATCAGCTGATGGTGGAGGACCTTTCAACACACAGCGATGCCAGCTACCTGCTCCAAACCAACGATGACCCTCCAGCGTACATCACAGCGAAATCCAGAGGATGGCGCACAGGTCCTAAAGAGATTCTCCAACGGCTCAACGACCCGGCGGTGACAGACTCCGTCCCAGCCAACCAATACAAGTTCCGCACCACTCTCGAGCTCGAGACCGGCGATGAGAGGTACGCGTTTTTGAACACCTGTCTTTGGGTGGGATGTGGATGTCGGAGAGTTAGTGATAGTAAGTCGTCCTTGATGGGCAGACACATCCGTTTGGAGGGAGAAAAAAAAGGAGAGATCATGCTGACGCCTGTACAGTCGTTTATGATGCTTATCGGGTCGGCTAGAGTCCTGAGCCTGAAGACCTCACTCCTGCAGGCGCTTCATTGTTATTTTTTGAGGAAATGCTTCGGGCCTACGAGGAGAGTGTAAGTCTGGCCATGGTCGAATGCGAACCCGGGCTGTATTTGTGAAGTGTGGAAATGGTTGATTCTGCAGGGCCAAGCGGTGATGTTCGAATCATGTCCTCATTATGTATTGCTAGGGCGCTCAACGGCGACAGGGCAACAGCCGCACAACAGCGGCGGCACAGGACAGTCTGCTTATTCTCCAGTTACGTCCGCTCTGTCTGGCGCCTTGGTTGTATTTTACGGATGCACAACAGTCTGTTAGCGAGCAGGCAGGACGGCCCTTTCGTCTCGATCTGAGGTTATTTATTACATGAGCAGGGCGGCCGTGTCCGACCGCCATTACAGTAGCATATTATGAAGCACAGGGTTCAATGACGGGCAACAATGTATGAGTCGGAAACTTGTTCATCAGCTCCCTTTCCGCCGATCCGCTGGGACTGCCTGTTCCCAATTTTCCCTTTCCCTTGGCTTACAGTCGAGAAAAATCGAGAGGTTGTTTGCAAAGTGACCTGATATTACATTTTGCGTCTAGCCCAACTAGACGCATAAGGAATTAACAGAGCGCCCCTTTCTATAGTAGGGAGCTAGCTCTTCCGCTTCTTGCCTTGCCTTGCCTTTCCTTCGGAGAACGTTGCAATCGACAGGAGCCAAATCGGGGGTAGTCGCGTCTATTGCCGCCTCGCGCGCGATGCAAGTCTGCCGTTCACAGTGTCCTTTCTTATGGCTCCGGTTTAACGCTCGGCCTTGGGAATTCTCTTTTCGTCGTGCCCTGTGTCCTCACTCTCCTTATAACTGCCGTGCTGATCTGTACTCGACCCCGACCCTCAGTCAGTTCCGGAAGCGAAGGAGATATCCATGTTCTTGCCACCCAAATACCGCCAAAGACGCCAGGTCTCTTCGATCACGGCCTTCGGCGGACCTGGTATGGGCCGTATTAGGAGAAGGTAGCCTCCCGGACCGCCCCTGCTGCTCGACGTCTTGTTGGGATGTTGCAAGATTGACTCTTGACGTATCAGATTTTCGAGTTCTTCCAGGTCGAAAGTTCCAGGTACAGAGATATTCGTGAACAGGTGATTGATGGAGAAGACGGGGAACCGATATCTATCCAGGACGGTGATCATGGGAGGGATCAGGGGGTTGTTTGACGGCAAGGGTGGGAGGGACGATGATGAAGAGGCCGAGGAGATAGGGGTTGCCACGTCCTCGTTTCCGACGTGTAGGAAGATGCTTCCTGGGAGCCACTCTGAATGGCCCAGCACGTGGTATTCTGGTTCCTGGGCCATGAGAGGACTGATCTGGGTCGGTACAGGAGGATCGGCGTCCAAAGTGGACGACGAGTCACCGTTTGGAGATGGACTCTCTTTGCGTTCGCTTGCAACGGCTCGAATCCTCGAGCCTGCAGAGGCGGTCACAGAAGATGTTCCCCTCATCAAACGTCGTAGCTCTTCACCTTTGAATATGCCATCCTGAGGGGTTGGCAGGGCAATCACACCCGATGGCCTCACGGGCAAGGCCTGAGACCTGGCAGCGGACTCCGCATGTGCCAGTAACTTCATCGCAATAAAGATCCGGTTTCGCATGATCTCTGCAATCCGCAGATATATATCAGGCTGCCATTGCAACCTGTTTAAGTTGAATCTTGCTTTCGCTTGCACGGTTGAAGGTGCACCAGAGCCCGTTGGGTCCTTCCTGGCCGCATCTTGATCGCCAATCGTCGAGTGAAATCGGTATTTATTTTGGAGGTAATGCTGTGCTGTTGAGGTGGACTCACGCGCGTCGAAGTGGACTAATTTGCCCACCTCCCCAGATATCGTCTCGAGTGTAGTTGGCGATGGAAATTTGGATGGTTTCTTGGCAGGTTGGGTTGTTTTGTCGGTCACGAGGCGGAGGAAAGTGATATTGGATAACAGACGGCTCTGTACGGGGATATATCTTCGAGTTGGTGCTAGATGGTCGGTAGTCTTTTGAGGAGCTTCTGTTGAGCTGCTTGGAGAACCGTCTTCGGCGCCAACACCTTCAGTCGCGCCATCCTTGATGGCGGATTGATTGTCTCCCTTCACTCCCGTCCCGCCTTCGAGTATTCGTGGTCGAGCCTCCGATGTCGCCAGCTCTGCTGCCAGTCTTGCTTCGAAAGCATCCAGGTCCGCAAGTTCCGCCGGCATCAGGTATATCTTGCCATCCTTTTGATTCTTGACGTATCCAAAGTCCAGCAACAGGTCGGATGGCAGTCTTGCGCCACTACCTTGACATGCTCGGAGGGGGCTTGCGATCACCTCCGCCCACGGATTATTCTTCAATCCTTTTATGCGTCGGTATGATGGGTGCTCTTTCCTTTCCTCCCGTCGCCGCGCCGCGTCGGCGACCTGTGCGACAATGGGTGATTCAAGGGTGGGAGGTGTCTCTCTTTCCGGAAGGTGTGAACCGGCGCTATTTTCAACCCTGCGGTGGACGTTCTTGCTTATTTCCTGGAGCCCCGAGAGCAAGTCTTCAATAATTTGCTGTCCCTCGACACTGTTTGCATCCGGGGACTCTCCTTGCGTGGAATGATATTTGCGCAATGGTACATCGGTCGAAAGACGTAGTGACGGGCTATCTTGCGTATCTGCATCCCCGGGTGGATCAAGAATCAATGACTTGTGTAGTCCAAACGGGTAGGATTCTACATTCTCTTTGCCCAACTGAATCTTCTTGCTTGCTTTCTTCAAGTCCGATAATAACTGCTTGATGGCTTGACGGCCAGGCTCGCTGTAAGGACTGAAAGTTCCGCCTGGCTCGGTGTCTTTCTTGCCTGATTCTGTAGCAGGGGGAATCGCTGGTGTTGGTCCATTACGTTCAGTTGCACTATCCCCGCGCTTGGTTGCGGATCTAGAAGTGCTGGCATTCGGTACGGAAGGTTTTTGATATCCTCGTCGCGGCAGGGCTGATGGTCTGAGATGGGGCTCGTCGAGGGACTGGCACAGAGATCGAATGACGTCCAGGCGCCATGTCGCATATGAAACGTGCCGGTACGGGCATGGCAGGCTCATCCCTTCGGCATTGTTTGGAGGAAAAGCGAAATAGCTTGAATCGAGTTGGAGGACGGCGCAGTTGGAGGTCCGGCTTGGCGAGGTGCAAGGCCGTATGGACTGGCAGCCTTGCTTAGTCAAATACCCCTGAATACTTCCACTATGTGATCTTTTACATGATGCATGGACAACGACTGGGATGTAAAGTAAAGGGCAGCCCCAAAGTATATCGTATCGCGCTGACTGGCACATGAAATGGAATGCACGGCATTCCAAGGTCAAGTCTTATTATAGGTTGAGCGTTGCCCGAGCACAGCGCATTCTATCTTACGCAACCAGATCGTCAAGAAACAAATCTCACCACTTCCTCAAAAACACCTTCGGGGTTATCCTCATGCATCAGGTGCCCTGCGGCGTCAATATACGCGATCCTCTTCTTGGTCGCGCCACTGACTCTGTGCAGTTCGTGGGCATTGTACCTCTGATGAGAGCCGCTCTCCTTCCCGGCCATCACTAGCATTGGCACTTTGGTGTTCTGTGCGTCCTCCCCCAAGTACTTCGGCATGGTGTTGTATCGGAAAAAGTGACACAGCCATCTGGCGTTGTCCTCGACCTGTCGCAGACGGTCCGGATTTGCCTGAATGCGAGGCCAGAACTTGGGGCCCATGACCCCGCTGCAAAAGACAGACACGGCCTGGTCGAACTCTCCCTTTTTGCAGTGCGCGATTGTCGGGCCTGTCGTTGTGGCACCGAAATACATGACGGGCCAAAATGTGATCGGATGCCAAAGCAGGAAAGATAGCACTGATGTCAAAGGTGGGGGTAGAGTGGGGAGAAAGAGTCCAACGAGAGGAGGTTCTTCGACCATCAGATTTCGGAAAAGGTGAGGTTTTCTGCGCGCTATGTAGAGCGTAATGACCGCCCCAGACGAGTTGGCGAGGACATGGACCGGGCCAATCTTCAAGGTCTCGATGAAGGCAGCGAGGTCGTCGGCGTCTTGTTCCCAGGGAGTGTCTTGACCGTCCTTGACGGGTTCATTGGGCCAGGCATAGCGTCGACTGAAATTGAAGACATGGAACCGGGTGGCGAGTCTATCCTCGAGATCGATCCAGGTGCGTTGGTCGGAGATATGGCCATGGACCAAGACCAGGGGTTCGCCTTGGCCACTTTCGCGGTAGGAAAGTGAGATGCCGTTGACGTCGATGGCCTTGGAGGCAACCGGTGTTGAAGCAGACATATTTCCCGAGTTGGTTCCCCAAGAGATATGCTGGCGCTCCTCGTCCTTTTTGAAGTCCACGGCGGAGGATTGCCGTTGCCACCGCGTCAGCGACTACCACGAAAGGCGGTCTATGAACGACCCAGCGGCACGTAGAACACGAGGTAGATGGGGCTGACGCTCGAGGGCATGTACCTGAAGAGGCGCCGGGGCTTCGATGGTCGACATTGGTGGGATAAATCCCAAGCCCGTATTCTCGGAACTTCCCAGGGACATAACAAGTGGTGGCGGCGAGGTGACGAAGCCTCCACACCGTAGGTATGTAAGATGATTAATCGCAGCGAGCCATTACGGGAAACCCTCAACTGCCCTGGGGAGTGTTTTCATCCTGGGGGGATCCATTGCCAGAGATGAGGCCTCCTTTCGCCAATAGTTGCCTGAGCCGCTGTGGTGGCTGGGGAAACATTGAATTGATCTGAGTCCAAGTGGCTACAGCTTCTCGCGCCGAGCCAGTTCCCCAGGGCTGCTGACATCTTCCCCCGGATGCCATTACTGAGGCCCAATCCGCAAATAGTCAGTGTCCCACATGCCGCACCAAGGAGAGCGAACGAGTCCTGGTCCCGCAAGGATCAGGCTAGCCAAGCGAGCCTTACAAGAGGAAGTAGTAAGCAATCCTTTCATGGGGATTCAATCAAGCCCATTTCCACGCAATCACTCAATGGCCAAGTAGCCCAGGAAGATTGTGTAAGCACCTGCTAATGAATCCATGCTGCCAAAATACGAGAGCTTCGTAGTCAGAGAGGAGAAGGACGAGGACAAATTACAAAGTGAGAATATACCGACTACCCAATACTCCTACAACACGTAGCCTTGCTCCTTAGAGTTTGCAGGATATGATTAGTTGCAGCGTCTCCACTGCTGGGCGGCCATTCGCTGGACTTTGCAGGCAAGGCTGAAAGGGGTTGGGACTTCGATGGATTTCACATTATTATTTCCTTCAGGAGAAATTAATATGAAATGATAGCCTCTTTCTGGTCATCTTTGGGTGCTTGCTCGGCGCCATCCGTTGTCCCCCATAGCATACTCGTGCAGGATCACGTCAGATTCCAGCCTTCCATGCTTCCAGGCCCCATTCGCTAAGCAGAGGGTGTATTGGCACCATTGGTTTGCCGCGCAGATCATCCACGTCGGAGCGGCCGCACTCCCGCTCAACATGGATGCATTCTCTCAAGCTTGACTGAACGGGCAGATGTTAATTCGGGTGTGCTTTCGAGAGGCTACGGTTTGCTCACAACTGGACCTTGTTCTGGCATCAGAAACGAGCCTGGGAGCCCCTCACACGACCTGTACAGTTTGTATCAGCTTGTTATATATCAGAGCTGTGCTGGGCGGAAAAGTTGTTCCCTTGCCGGGCCCCCTATTCGTCTTCAGCCTCGTCAGCTCTTTTCGCTTCCACTACTACTTGCACTTGCACTCGCACTCGCACTCGTGCTTGTCTCGCTCTCATTCTCGCTCCCACTCGAGCTCCCACTCGAGCTCCCATGGCCAGCCACGTTCTTAAATTTGCATCTAGGAGCCCCACACCGGCACGCTATGCCCAGGTTCTGAAAATAGTACCCGCCGTAGTCGACCGTGATCTCCTCCCCAAAGGAGATCTTGCGCTTCGCCTGGACGATAATGCGGGTGCGCTGCCCGAGGTTCATCAGCACGTACTGCGTGTTGGGCGTACATGAGTGGTTGACGTACCGCGTCCACCCGCCCCGGTGTGCGGCGTCGACGGTGTACTGCGGCCTCGCCGCGCCCGTGTTTGTCGGGGTCGTTGTTGTCGCTCTCGCCCTCCCCTTCGCCTGCCCCTTTTTCGACCTGGATCCGGCGGTCGTCGTGGCCACATAGTCGGCCGCCTGCGCGATGTCGATATTCATGTGGTACGTCGCGAGTCTATACCGGTGGTTAAGCATTGACCTCGTGATACTCTTGTCTTTGGGCTCAACGGCATAGATCTCGCCCAGATACTCGCCCAAGTAGGTGCCGTCGCGAATCGGTTGGAGAGCGCGGACTCCTCGACCCTTTTCAGCAGTGGTGTATAATTCGACAAGAATGTTGCTGTGGTTGTCCTGCGGCGGTTTGTTGCACCACCTGCAGAGATCCGCGAACGTGCATTGGCATGCTCGGTCTGGCTGTTGATCCTGCTGCACTTTCTGTAGCTGCTTCTTCCCTGCACTCACGGCAACGATAGTGTCGGGGCCGGTGTCGGTATCGGTGTCGGAGTCGGATTCATCATCGCTAGTGAGGCCGGGTGCTGATTCTTCCGCTCCACACGCTTGACAAGGATTGTTTGGGAACCCACAGAAGCTTGGGTCTTCGTAGACGCTCCCATCTGGGTGAATAACTTTGTGTGTCGACGTCGGCCAGACATAGTTTGGAAGGACAATCGATTGATCGATGTTGAATTGTTGGAGTACTGGTTTCGACTTCGGCGGAAATAACGCTGCTGGGTCAACTTCAAGGTTATTCCCTTGTTCTGGGATGCCTGCAATGGCGTTCTCGCCGTGCACAAATCCGGCCTTGGTGAGATCTTGTGTGATGGTGCATTTGATTGATGGCCAGACAGCTGGGGCCCCATCTTCCAAGGGCAGAACCCAGTGATGGTGGACTTTGTGCTTGTCTTCGTCGCCGATCTGGTGGGTTTCTTTGAGGTCCTCGTCGCCGATACCAAAATTGGTACCGTCCTTGCCACGAGAGTCTCGACAATCTTTATATACAATTATGAGAAGATCTTCAAAGTGGTCATCGAAGGCGAAGAGGGCATCCGTCCAATCGAATTGGTAAGTTCTGGCAAAGAGTTCCAGGCTTGACGCGCACTCTTTGATCTTGGGTAAGATGTGGCTCCATTCGGGCTCACCTTGTGCCCTGCTCTCTCCGTCGCTGCGGCCAATTGCGTCGCGAAAGCTTTTCGAGTGTGCACAAATGGTCAGGAGGAGAAGGTTCGGGTCGTCACAAAAATCGGTCAACCTCTGAGCATGGCCAATGTCGACGTCGTCTTTCGCAAGGTTTGCAACCCTCTTCTCCCTGGGATCATTACTTTCAAACCTATCCAGCCTTGCTCTTAAGCGTTTGCGAGTGCTTTGCGCGGGAATGTCAAAGAAACGGAGGGTTCGGGCTTGTCGAAGCAGGTGCTGTGTCCAATAGCGCTCCCATTGTCCAATCGTCTTGACGGTAGCCGCATGGTGGATTTCGGCGTACAGTTTGATCATGAAGCCCTCCACTGAAGCACCAGGTCGAGCCACTCGGCGCCTCTTGTTGGGGTTCCCGGTACCATCAGGAGCGCTGCCATCGACGCGCTGTCGGATTCTTTTTGATCTCCGAAGCCCTCCATCAGCATTGCCAGGTCCAGAACTAGAGCCATTAGTAGTGTTGTTTGCAGCAGCATTGGCCACGGCTGATGCTTGAGCGCTCCGGGAGGTTGTCCTTTGAGCAAGGAAATCTGAGTAGTCGCGACCCCTTGCAGTTTGCTTCCGCACCCTGTTGCCTCTCCTTGGTTGTTGGGCGGAGCTCATTGTGTAACACGTTCAGCGGCAGCCTTGGAAGAATGAGAATAAAGTAGATGCTTCGATGGAGAAGAGGAAAGTGGGAGCAAGGCCAAGGAAGAAATGCAAGGGAATAAGAGAAACATTTTGCAGCAATGCATCTCTGAAGTGACAGGAATAGCAGCCAGGAAAGTGCAATAAAGCGCGCCATTGTTGAACATGTTTCCATAAATGGACACATTAAGGACAATAAGTATGAGTAAAGACAATAACAGAGCGGTCCAGGAATCCATCCAGAGTTGAGAGGTCCGGCACAAAGAAGCCATTTCACTCCAGTCATTGTTTCGTTGCACAAGTCATTCAATAGCCTCGCGCTATCAGCAACAGGAATCTCCTCGTGAAAACAATGGGAAGACACCATTTCCTCTCGCTTTACCTTCACAGAAAAACAATGGAGAAGGAAAGGGAACGAGACATATTGTAGGTACAAACTGTCTGTCAGGTTGCTTTGCTCGTATACCTCAAAAGGTGTCTCCCGTATTCGGGCGGCTGTCAGGCGTGCATCGTCACCAATTCTTTCTGAAGTTGATCTGGCGCTCTTTCATGCAGTGACAGTTTCTTGTCAAAACAGGCGCCTCAGTGTTCAGCACGGTCAATCTGATGTTACCACAAGCTGTGCTGTTGCAAGCAGCAGAGTATGCCGGTTCCTGTAAAAGCCGCCTCGGAGCTTCGTATACCAGATATATCATAAGATCCCCTGCATCGTAGGGGTAGCGTTGCTCAAATCGTCCAGCGGGTATCGTCTCATACGGTCTCAATATATCTTCTTACCTCCCAATCCGTGACAGCCTCATCCCATAATCGGAGCTCGTGTTCTCTGGTACCACCATAGTGCTCCACAAACTCGTCGCCGAACACTTCCCGGGCGACACTGCCTTTCGCCGTGAATCGTGCCGTGCTGTCTCTAAGGTTCTTGGGTAATCGCTCACCCTTGTCGCTGAGACTCCCAACCTCTTCACCTTTACCGAGCGGTGGTAATTTGATTTCCAGCTTCTTCTCCACGCCTCTCCAACCGAGGGCGACAATAGTGGCCAGCACTAAAGACGGATTGGCGTCAGCCCCGCAGACTCGAATTTCGAATCTTGTGGATTTTGCTGATGCGGTCGGAGGAGCGATCAAACGAATAGATGCAGCTCGATGCTCAAGACCCCAAGAGACCGTGACTGGAGCCCAGAAGTTCTCGACCAGCCGCTTGTACGAGTTGATCGTGGGTGCAATGATTGGCATGACATCAGCAAGACCATCCAGTAGTCCTGCCAGAAAATGTCGGCCCAGGTCTGACACATACTCGAGGTCCTTATATGGAGGGTTGGGGTCCTTCTCGCCTCGGTAAAAGAGGTTTTTCCCAGAAGACTTGTCCACGATGGAGCAATGCATGTGTCCACTGTTCCCGGGGAGCCCTTCTTTGGGCTTCGCCATAAATGTGGGGGTAATCCCGTACTTGCTTCCCATGGCTTTGACGACGTATTTGAACAGACTTGCCCGGTCTGCCATCTCGGTGACCTCCCCAAACTCCAGGGCAGCTTCGAAAACTCCCGGTCCTGATTCTGTATGCCAGCCTTCCACATTACATCTGAACTTTTCACAGGTATTGAAAATGCTGTAAAACCAATCCTGGTTGTGTATAGGATCTGTTAGGGAGTAGCCGAACATGCCTTGGGTCAGGTGCGGGAGGGCGGAGACGGGATTAGTCTGCAGAAAAGGGGCTGTCGTGGAAGAGGAATTGTGGCTCGTCTGGATGGACTCGTCTCTGGGAGCGCGATATGTGAAGAACTCGTACTCCGCGCCAGCCATCGCTCCATAGCCAGCCTTGTGCAGCTTCGCAACAGCCGTCCGCAGCAGACTTCTGGGGCACGCGCAGATGGGTTTGTTGGTATCTGGATCGTGGAAACTGACAAGGAAGAAAGGCACACTATCCTCCCATGGTATACGCCGGTAACTGGAAAGGTCGACTTTGGCCACCAAATCTTTGTATCCATTCTCTTTATTGCTGATCTCGAGCTCGCGGAAGTAGGTCATGTCGTGCATATCCCAGCCGAAGACGACGCTGCAGAAGCCGAATCCATCTTTGGCGACCGAGAGAAACTTCTTCTTGGAGACTAACTTGCCTCGGAGGACCCCTGTGGAGTTTAGCAGGTATCATGCGATGGTGTGAAAGGGACGCGTGCCGTCAACATCAATGCCTGCAAGCTTGACCTTTGTATCGGAGGCCAGCGCAGTTTCCAGCTCGTCCAGAGTCGGTATCCCATCGTCTCCCTTATTCGCCATGGCAAGAACTGAGGAGACAAAGAAAAGGAAGAGGCGGAGCTGCACGGAGCAGGGACAAAGGATAAAGGACGAAGCGTCCAGCAGGTGAACTTGGTATGAGAGTCTCACAGAAAGCGGGGGGGAGATGATTGGTGATGTAGGAGGTGCTTGTAGCTAGAAGTGGAGGTGGCGCTGATAAGCTCCCCTTGTCCAGCCCACGCTTCAGCTCTGGCACCGCAGGCAGCTCGGTGTTGGGATACCGAGATGTTGAGAAGCGAAAACAAGGCACAAAGCTACGGGTTTAACACCAGCGTCTGGAGAACCATAGGATGTGCCTTTGTCCGATAAGGCTACACACGCAGGGGCAATGTCCTTTCCGCAGGCGGATATTTCCTTGCCTCCATTGCAGCGCCTATCACCTTCGCCGTCTCGAGATCTGAGTGCGGATGAAGCTACCGGGCCACGCCTCCCGTTACTCATAAAAGCAATAGCTCAAGTGCTCCGATCGACAAGGATACTCAGGAGCTGTCGGGGAGTGAAGCTTAAAAAATCCCCCATTGGGCATCTCATCGCATGCCTGGCGGGTTGCTTCGGAGAGGGAGAGCAAAGGGAGGAGCCCACATACCGCCCACAACCTCCAACAAGCATCAGCAGCGCCAAACAAATGGTGCAAATGCGTATTTGATTAGATAAGGAGATCCACGCCTGTGTGACTGTGGTGACTGATATTTCCAATCTCTTTCTCTTCGCCCTCAATCCGACGTACTCCGCAAATCCAAGCGCGACCGTTCACTCGGCGTTCTCACTTGTGGTCAACTGTCCCGCGTTGAATGCACCGGCCCCCTCCAGCCAGCCGAACGAGAAGAGGTGGACAACTGCGAGCATGGCGACTGAATCAAACCCTGGCCGCCTCGCGGGCAAAAATGCAATCATCACTGGTGCAGCCGGTGGAATAGGGCTGGAGACAACGATTCTCTTCGCCAGAGAAGGCGCCTCTGTCCTCATGGCCGACATTTCTGAACCAGCCCTTGAAAGGGCCGTCGCCAAAGTCAAGGAACTCGTCCCTAACCCTCCTCGGTTGGAGACCATCAAATGCGATGTATCCAAGGAATCTGACGTCCAGGCAGCAGTCGAATCCCAAGACCAACACGGCGGCATCGACATCATGTTCAATAACGCCGGGATCATGCATGCCCAGGATGACGACGCCATCAACACGCCCGAGAAAATCTGGGACCTGACTCACGCGATCAATGTGAAAGGGGTGTGGTACGGAAGCAAGCACGCCGTGCTATCCATGCGGAAGCACCAGAAGAAAAGGGGCTCCGTCATCAACGTCGCAAGTTTCGTCGCCTTGATGGGCGCAGCAACGCCGCAACTCGCATACACGGCATCCAAGGGCGCCGTGCTCGCCATGACGCGCGAACTCGCCATCGTCCACGCGCGGGAGAACATCCGGTTCAATTCCCTGTGCCCGGGACCGTTGAATACCCCCTTGCTGCAGGATTGGCTGGGCGATGACTTGCAAAAGAGATACAGGCGAGAGGTGCACTTTCCCATGGGTCGATTTGGGGAGGCGGTTGAGCAGGCCCAAGCTGTCCTGTTCTTGGCTAGCGATGAGAGCAGCTTTGTTAATGCGACCGAGTTTGTGGTGGATGGCGGCTTGACAAAGGCATACGTGACAGGAGAAGGGCCGCCGGCTGCCGCACCAGTAAACAATGTGCGCTGACATACCGTCAGGGACGGAAGTTGTTGACGCGATCCTGCACGCGACCAGCTCGTATGGAAGGCAGGGCATATCAGCGACGGAGCGAGCAGCGGATTCAATGGTTTCTTGCATTGTTATAGAGTTCAGGGATAGACCATGCAACTTGATAGACGACTTCTGAGGCGCAACAACATCCAGATTGAAAGCAGTTACACTTTATGCGGCGTCTACATACTGATCGTATAGTTGCATCCCGGTCTCGCGCCACAAAGAGCTGCCGTACGGCCCGTGTCCTGCCACAGGTCGTAGACTTAATCCCTCGATGGACTTTAGTTGACAAGATCTCTGCATATTTTGTCACATATTTTCCGTGGACCACTGTCAGTATAAGACCACCCATCTCCGAACAATGCCGTTGTGGGAACTGCCATTTTGCAGCAGTGGAGAAAATACCATGCGGACCTGTGACTTGGGACCGGCGAGTTTTGAAGGCCATGGAGAATTGGAAGAGCATCATAGATCCAAAGACTGAAGGAGGAACTCCAGGAGCAGCAGGTTACCTCACTGATAAGGAAGTACCTTTCAAGTACCTCGAGGGAAAGGGGTATAGTGAAGATTTCCCGGGTATTGTACATGCTAATGATAATACAGCTGCCTCGAAAAAGACCATTCGTTGCTTAAGTAGCCTCTTCATCGTGTGCAACCCGAGGGATATAAGCTGTAGGCCAACAGATCGTGGTCCAAACATCCGAGACTTTACTGTCAATTGACATCGGTGTCTGATATGAAATTCATCGCTGCGTGGCTTTTGGTTTGAACCGACCTGCATTTCCTGCTGGAAGGGCTGAGCCAAAGTATCTAGAGCCGCTTGGGTATTACAATATCCCATGAAACTCTGTCCGACATTCTTCTGACCTCAAATGGCTGCCCAGAAGTCTGCTGTGAATCTGCTGCGAGTCGGATCCATGGCTTTCCTCTGGCATGTGTGGCAAGAAGCTCCAGAATAGTTTCTTCGATAGCCCTGGCGTGATAGACGATCAGAACTTTATAGTGCCCATTTCGATAAGATCCTTTGCTCCGTTGGAGAAAAGACCCTGCGTGTCAAGCTTCATCTTGCCACGGCTCCCCTCAAAGTTGACGAACATAAAACCTTCCAGAGTCATTACCCTTCTCGTTGATGCAAACGGATAATAGATTGCTTTGCTGATGGCTCGACCAATACTTGAGGCGAATCCTCTCGAGGCTCTGTTTGCTGAAGACGAAACTTCTGCATGGTCCGCGATGAAAACAGGTTCCTCTAGTTGTTGCACGAACTTTGAGTCCATTTGAAAGCGATAAGGCGCGACAAGAAATTCTTTGGGTTTCAGAAAAGGTAGTGGCCGGCGTACCTGGACCGCCAACTTGACAATCCCGTTTACCGGCACAAGGTCGATTGCTTTGATGAACCTTAATGATCGCATCATAATCAGCCAGCCGACGGCCGAGAAGACGAAAATCCCCAATCGATGTGCGACTGGCACAAACCATGGTAGTTCGGAGTCTCCTTCCCAAGCCCAGATGTTACCGTATGCGAGAAGACCAGCAATCGCCAAAGAACTGCTTCCCATTACAAATGACGCGGCGTAGATCCCAAAGTGAGATGGGGGTCTGTATATAGCTGTTTGCCCTGCCTCGTATAGCTTTTGCGCGTACCATTGCTTTCTCGCTAGCTCCGGGGGCAGCTCCTTTATAAACTGCGACGCTGGGCCGCCCAGCACAGGTATGCTAGGCGGCTGGCTTTTGCCTAGTTGCGTTGAGGATCCTTTCGGGGCGGAGACATTCGCTTTTGATATGGAGTTCGGAGAAGAGATCTTGGGGATACGTTTGGAGCTCGCGGTAGCGGCTGACGAAGAGGAAGTCGCGAAGCGGTGGGGGACGCATGATCGAAGATTCCGAAGTCGAAGGAGAGGTCGGGCTGTGGCAGAGAGTGCAGCCATCTTTTTCACAAAGGTATGCCACCTTTGCCAGGCGAGGAGAAGCTCTAAGAACGAATGGAAAGAAAGATGAATACTCCCGCGAGACTGCCAACCATCGGAGTCAACGACTTACACCAAAGAATACATAAAAGGGCGGATGACTCGAATTATATTGATCTGCGGTAGACTTGAGACCAAACTTCTCAGTTGTAACTCCGCTCCGCAAGGCTGCGAAACCACAAGCTCGAGGAAAGTCAAGCGAATTCCATCAACACTTTCGACCCTCAGGGGGATAAACATGGACTTCCTGGAATGTCACTTTGCATCTTTTGACCTACGGCAAACAAGACTATTGACAAGAGCTTTGATGCACATTTCAAACTTCTTTAATCGTACATGTTCATCAAGTGGCGGCTGATTTCGTCGCTCGTTCCGTACAACATACTCCATATACCAGCGTCTCCGCCCAGTCCGAATGTTTCCAGCTCTTGAACATCGCAGGACCCTTCGGGTTGCCCGCAATCCTGAACGACATCATTCACATCAGATGTCGGTGCCTGTATTTGCTGTGATGATCCATCGCTGTCGACAGAACGCCTGGTTGGATCCGAGAATATCCGGGCCCCATTTCAGCTTCAGAGGTGGAGGCCATCACTTTCTTGATCTTTCGTTGCCGTGATCCCGGCGCCTTGTTGGATTGCCTCAAGTAGCTGGGGAGAGACATTCTGCCTGTTGCTCTCCTCCACCACTCCAAGCAGCTTGACGAAGAAATCTTGACGCAGCACCTCCATCAGGATATCTCCCCTGTCAATCATGTGTGAGGCAGCATATCGGAGGATGCCCCCATATGGCTCACTGCCACCATTGTCTTTCAAGAACTGAGCCTCGATCTGAACCAGTGAAGAAGTCGTTACCGCACTCCAGTCATAAGGAGCCACTCTCGCGATGAAGTCGAATAAGCGTGCCTGTGAAATTGTGACGAGCTGCATACCCTTCTTATTGTTGACGTCTCGTTTCGATTTCGTTAGTGAAGTCCATTCGAAGAGGGTTGCGTACACATCAGGATCGTGGAACACTCTGCGCCAAAGCAGGCCTTGTCCTTGTGCTTCGGCAAAGCTGCGGCCCGCAGATAACACCGTTGTGCTATTTTGGCTGTCGACGGCAAGCAACGCTTCAATCACCTCGAGGGAACGTTCTGCGACCTCGGTGCTTTCCGATGACAGCCAGATTGTGAACTGACATTGAACAAGACTTGAGCTCGTCGCAACGAAAGAGGCGCCGCTGGGCGAGTCTGCAGCTTTCCGCAGATATGCTAGGCAAAGTAATTGTATCGAAACTGAAGGCGAAGCCAGGCCTTCTTGGAGCTTCTCCGCGGATATAGTGGATCTTAGTTCGTCGAACGGCAGTAGTGAGATGACTCGCTCCAGCAGTCGAGTAAGCGGTCGAGGGTCTTGTTGGAGCGTCTGCAATAGCTTTTCACCCGTCTCTAGCACCCGCCACAGTAGGACTTTTGGTGAGGTAGGAGTAAGGTTTCTTTCTGAACGTTTCAGAAGTTCCTCATCTAGTGGCAAGCCTGGTTGCGCTTCGACAGCGGCGAGATGAGCAAAGACTTCAAGAAAGAGTTTGTCCGAGTCTTCCACCAAGGCGTCCATGGTGATCAGGATTCAAGCGAGTCGCCAGCAAGAGAAGAAGTGGAAGGCATAGTCGCTCATCATAATGACTTGTCGTGGAGAAAAAAAAACCAGAGTTACGAATGTGCTGGCAGCCTTGCCGCCCCTCGTTCGCCATGTGAACTGCCCCGCCAACCAACCAGCCCGCGAGGCACGTAGCCAGCAGGCCAAGCAAAATGTCGCCAAGGCTGCCCGCATCGCTTCTCCAGGCCGCCCTCTGATGATCCATCGAGCCATCTCCAATTGAATGAGACTCCGCATCGTTCATTCTCGAACAGGCGTGACAGGTTCACTTCGATATCTTCGTCCCTAACACCTCATCTCTTACTCCGCAGCCATCCTTGCAAAATCTTGACATGGCTGAACCCTCGAAGAATCCCCTACTCTCCTTGAAACCTTCAGAAAGTGATCTCACCGTGTCTCTCCATCCTCTTGTTCTCCTCACCATATCGGATCAAGTCACAAGACATTCGGTGCGAAAACGGCCAGGTCCAGTAGCGGGTGCGCTTCTTGGACAGCAGAGAGGCAGAGAAATTACAGTGGAACATGCTTTTCCTGCGGCATTGGCGTGGAGTTCAGAAGGACGATGGCAATTCAGCTTCGCGTGGATGGAAACAAGGATTCAGCAATGTGGGCTACACTCAAGCTATTCCTGGGATAGATCCACTTACATCCAGCAGATATTGCAGTCCATAAGTCACCCGCGCTTGGGTTCGTCGGCTGGTTCACCCTTTGTCCTCCTGAAGGCCCCCTGCCCGAACATGTACCCGTCCAGGAACATGCCATCAATTTCTACAATGACAACGCCATTCTCCTAGCCTTACACCCCGAAGCAATCCAGTCAGGTGAAACTGGGGGAGGGAAACTGCCCATCACGATTTACGAGAGCGTCGACGACCGAGAACTACCCAAGGATGATGCGTCGATGCAGATTGACGCAGAAGAGACATCCATCACCAAGTTCCGCCAACTACCATACACGATTGAGACAGACGAGACGGAGATGATTGCTATAGATTATGTCGCTAAAGGAGCAGGCGGCGCAACGGCAGTCGAACATACACCATCCCGGGAGCCAGCCTCAAGACCCGCAGAAGTACTGCCAATAGACAAGAAGGGCAAAAAGCGAGCAGATCCAAGCTCAGAGACTCCCGACAAACAAGAAACAAATGGCGCAGAGGAACCACTGAAGGCTCTCAGTCCGGAAGAGGAAGACCAAATCGCTGGTATAACGACCCGGCTCAACGGCGTAAAGATGCTGCGGTCGCGTGTTGAGCTCTTGAGAACCTTTATTCAGTCCCTTCCGCCCTCGTATATCGCTGCCTCAAGCACTGACAACGGAGCTATTCCACTGACGCCGACAAACCCGGACCCATCCCATCTCCCTCACTTACGCAACATTCAAGCCCTGCTCACCCGCCTCTCGCTCCTCACCCCTCCCACAGAATCTCCGCAACAGAATCCTTTAGCATCCGCCTCTCTCGCGCAGTCCAACGATGTTTCACTCGTCAGCCTTCTCGCCCTACTTGGCCAAGACATTCAGGCACTTTCGGAGCTTGGTCGAAAAGCCGTCACGGTGGAGTCGAATAAGACTACCTCAAAGGGCAGGCACCACCAGCAAGGAGGACCCAAAGGTGCTGGTGGTGGTGGTGGAGGAGGAGGAGGAGGAGCAGGAATAGGACCTGGTGGACCAAGCGGCTTTGCGGGCATGGAGGAAGGCGACGTCCGATTTTCCGGGATCGGCGGAGTGAACAATCCAGGGGCGTCGGCCATGATTTAGTCGATTTGCCAGAGGAGCGTTGGTACAGTGGGAGGGTAATCTTATGAATCGGAGAAAGTCCGGGTGTTCAACAAATCAGGCAAGGGATGCCAGCCTGATTGTACTGCGGTAATGGGGAATGAACGAGTAGATAGAAGCGTCCTTTCGCAAAAATGCATAGCGGCGGCGTTGCAGAAACGAGGCAAGGGGGCAAGGCCAACAGCTCTTCTATTGAGCCATGTCGGGAGCTGGAGATGGGCTTGATCACACTAAACGAACTCGAGCATGAAAGTCGAATGATTGTACCTTGTACGCTGGATGGAATATTGAAATGCGGATTATTCCAGTGATTGTGCCTTCGGTCTCTCACCGAGCTGTGCGAAATGAGCACTTGAATTGATAGCAGTCAGCCTTATCAGAAACAGTGTCCACTCATCAGGTGTATTTCTGTGTTATCTGTCAGTGACAAGATCGCTCTTTCCCTTCCTAAAGACTTTTCTAGTTTCCGAGAAGCACTGATCCCATATTCTCTTAGGTTTATCAATATCCTCCGCACGTTTGGAGTGCTCTTTTTGCTATGTGCCGATCCCACTCGACACCATCCGACCCCCCCCCCTCTCGTTGCTGCATAACAAGCTGACCACCCATAGTAATGACATGAGGAAATCTTTCTTGGAGACCCAGTGACACGTATAGGTCCCCTAAAGCTTTGTTGCACATAAATGAAAGGTCGTCATGTGTTGCAGTGACAACACGTCGTGTGTGTGGCAAAAAAATACATTTATTGAAAGATGTCGTCCTCCTCGGGAAAGAAGGATCAGTTCGAGGTCTCCTGGCGTCGATGTCCTGAACGCCTACGCTGCTGGTGTCATGAAAGAATGAGTGTGGTGTGGGGGTGTTGCGCCCAAATGCGAGTATGTCCGGGTCAACGAGCATGTTTAAGTAACCAGGACATCCGCCGGCCGTTGTCTCCTGTGAAAAAGAGGTATCCTGAATTTCTTCCTCGGAGGTTCCTGAGCTGCATTGTCAGTCACTGGTGTTGTCGACGAGTGGGGATATGGAGTTCTCGGTGTAGTGGCGGAGGGCATTGGAGGCGTCGACCCGGTCGAGAAACTTCTGCCTTCTGTCGTCATGCTTTTCTTTTTGCGAATAGTCTTCATCAATCTGCTGATATGGGGCTGCTTCTGTTCCTCGGGAACAGGCGACTCAGGTGGGGGAGGAGGAAGTCTTTTGTTCAGGTCCGGGGCCGAAAACCTGATGGGGCGAGGCTGCTCCATTGATTTGGTACTGCCACTTTGGGGTCGTGATGATCCGTCTGTTACGATTCGCAGTGTCTTTTTGATGGCTTCTGCCTCAGCCGAGGGCTTGCTCGCTTCCATCGACCTGTGAATGCCTCCAGAAGACGTCGTCCGGCTCTTGGTTGTCACCGTGGTTGATTCATTTCGGAGACTGCTGCCAGGCTTCTTGGTGCTGTTAACGGACTTCCGGGCGGCGTCGGAAAAACGTCGCGCTGTCTCGCCAGGAGTGATACCGGCGCTCGTCAAGGGTGTTGAATAATCAGTGGCAGTTATGGTACCACGAAGAGAAACTTCTGACGGTGTCGCAGAGTCGTCTTGTATGTCGAGGAATTGGTGCGTCACGCTGGCCGCGGCCTCGACGTTGTGGGCTGGTTCGGGCTTCCGCTCACGCTTCGCGCCGGGCTGTTTCTGTGCTGTTTTGCCTTCTTGGATCTGAGCAGCAATATATTTGAGAGGATCATCGGACATATCGTCCGAGTGTGGTACATTGGCCAATACCAAGGCGCATATGCGCTTCAACTCCCCCTCCTCTTGTGCGGTCAGCGCCTGTCGGTCGATAAGAGGCGAGTCTGGAATAAAATGCGGATCGTCATCGTCACCCCGATACTTTTTCGGTATCAAAGCCTGTAGAAAGGTCAGCGACGGTCGACAGCTTGCTGGCCAGGGTACCCTACCGAAGCATCCGTCTGGAGGGCAAGTTTCTTGTTCATTGCGTCTGTGAGGTCTGAGTCTCGACCAGAATCGGAAGAACAGAACGGAGAGAAGATTGTCAGAGCAGCCTCTGGGTCGAATCGTCGGTCTGATTGTCTGTCGTTGGCCAAGGCTGAAGGGTAGTCCCGGCTCTTTTCACAGCATATCGCCTCGGAGAGCGAATTTCGAAATTTGTCTTCTGCCACGGAAGCGTGCGTCAAGATTTAACAAAGCGAGAAGGGCACCCGGAGCTTGTGAAACCTGAGGGAGGTGGCTCGACGTACAGCACTGGTAGAGAACAACGAGGAAATAGAAAGAGGGTCAGCGAGAAACGACCAGGGAAAGATAAGGATGTCCCGAGAACAATGATATTATTATTACTCGTACGCAGGCCATGAGCATCGCGGCCTGCGAATGATGGATGGCAGTCAGCGTGAGGTTTCAGCTTCGAGCTGACCTGATGAAGGCGATATCTGTGAGTGGGCCACGTTCGCATAGGTCCATGGAGGGTGGTGGGAGCATCCAGCGTTCTCAGCAAAGGGGTCCGAGGCCAGCCATCCTGTCATCCACGCGAATGGCGGTTTGACCAGTGAGATATGAGGTTAGCAGCCGGCCTATCTGATCCCAAACCCGGCAGTTAGGAGCGTGAAAGACGATTTAGCGACGATGGGACTCCGGGTGATGAAAGGAAGCGTGCAAATCGAGAGTGTCGACGGGACAGGTGATTGGCGGCGCAAATTGAAGAGAGATTGAAACGAGGAGAAAGAGGAAAGGAACCAGACGAGACCAGCCAAGTTAGCGAGTCCAAGATGAAGCCGAGCCAGCCAGAGAGGCCACCGGCGGGCGCGACGCTCACTACCAGCAGGCCTTAGCGAGCCTAGAGCCCATGTTTGCTGGAGCTTTCCAGGGTTGCAGCGTTGGGTCAGGAACAAACTGTCCAGCGGGTTGAGGCTGGCAAATCAGAGGGAGCAGTTGGGAGCATGTCCAGGTGCGTGTCGGGGTCACTACGAGGCCGGGGGCTGGCTGGGCTCCCAAGTGGCTCCCCTGCAGAGCCGTGAACCTGCACCCAGCGCCCCCCACCGAGCCAGCCTTTCCGCAGCCGGACCTTGCCTTAAGGCACTAGGCCATTACGAGCACTCTGGCCTTTCCCAGTCACCGCTAGGCGATCTGTATTCGCAAAGCAGTACCTGCCTTAGGCACCGGGGTGGCACTCATGGCAATCAGATGGTACCCAACGTCCTTACGAGTACCTACCTACAAGTAGGTAGATGGGCAGGCACTGATAGGGTACAAGGGCACCTTAGGCACCTCGTACACTCTCCAGATACGCCCGTACATTGAGTTTCTCGTAACTCGTCCACAAAGAGCTGACCACCTTGAAGAGGCCCTTTCTCTTCCGCACACCCACCTCCCACGTCATGGACTGCAGTCGCTCGATTTCTGCCATCTCCCATACGGAGTAACCCCCAACCCTTCAACTTCTCTGTCGTATAATACAATGCCGATCAAGTACTCGATCCATTGCTTCATATCCTAATTACTTCACCAGGTTGACCCCTGCAGCAAGGCTCAACGCCCGCCCACAATCGCGCATGCAGGTCACTGGAAAATCTCCGAAGCTTGTCAAATCTGCCGAACACCCCAGGTCACCACCAAAACTCAATAATCAAGGCTGCCTTCTCCAGTAAATTACTTGACGTGCCATCTAGGGAGCGTGGTCGCCCTTGGCCATGGCAATCGGATCGGCATCGAGATGCGCAGACCAGGAACTTTGGTAACCCGTCAGCAGTGGTCTTTGTCAGACCCGGGAAGTTCAGGATCCAGCTATGCTGATGACGAGCATAAGATTCGCCGCAACCGGGCCTTTTGATCTCCTCAAGACTTTTTGTGACATTGGCAGTGCGACCGGTACAGCGTCTCAGATTCTCGCTTTCGACCAAATTGATCGATCAACCATGCCAAAGCCACCCAGAAGGCTTTGGTGAGACTCGTGAAATGCACAGGGCCGTTCTTGAGCGACGGGCTGACTGAGCAGTGGATTTCCAAGGTAAGCAAAAAAGAGGATGCTCTTACTCAAATGTCTAGAATTCTGGCCTTTTACTTTGCCATTGTCGACCTTGACGATCTTGAGTTTACAGACTAGAATGGTTCGTGTTTTGCCGATCCTTCTCACTCAGTGATTGAGTTCTGGATGCAATGAGTCGGCATGAGGCGGTAGGGAAACATAAGTGTTGAAGGCGCCTTTGATCTTTCCACAGGATTCTATCTGCTTTCGACCGCACTGCAGTGGCTGTGACCTGTCGAGCAAGCTGTAGCTATGGTCTCCGCGGCAGCCAGTCATGACAGCGTGGACAGATTCCCCCGGGTAGGTTTCGACTTTTTCTGCGTCCCAAGGTTCCAACCCAACAACGGTGTGTGTGATACAATGAAACTTGCTTGTCACATGGCACACCAAAGGTCTTTGATCCGACTGCTATCCCTACTGAAAACGAGCAGAGGCACTCCTTTTTTTTCTTTCAAGGAGATGATGCTGAGGCCATGGGCGGATGAGATCGAGGGTCCGATGGAAGCGAGAAGGTGGACATTAGGCACCTCAATGTGCAATGAACTGAGAGTATGGGAGAGAACAAGCGAACTGCCTCGCCATGTCCACTTTCATTGGCAGTACTTACAGCTGTGGCCGATGCTCTTTCACGGTTAGTTGGTAAGTTGGAGCGTCGAATAGATAACAGCAACCCCCGCAACCTCCGGGGCATTCCAACCCTACATGTCAATCAGAAAGCCTGGAACCAGGTGAGAGACTCAACAGGATAGTGACTCGGGCTGAAATAGTGGAAGAGTACTACTCTGAAAGTTGTGATGCTGACGATCCATTGACCACTATGCCTTCTTGAAGGAGAACAAAATAAGGATTGTTTGTGAACGCCAGATACGACCTGCGAATTTTCGCTTTTATTCTATTTCATATACGATGGCCTTTGAGATGAGTGCCATTAGGGTTCGGGAAGTCGTAAGAGATCATTCACAATAGCGTGACTGACTGCCCTGGTGTCGCAGCCTTACGGTTGCGGGACGAGGCTGCGGCTTGGGTTCCCCCGCGCGAATCATCTCCAAGTCCACACTTTATCGTAGGGTAAATTTCATTCGAGTCTGGCCCCTCGACCCAGCATTCCCGCTCATTGTCTCCTCAAACAAACAAGGTCTACGTCCAATTCATGGACAATGGGGGAAAGCGCGGAACAGGGCTCCCCAGAATCTCAGGATGCCTGGCTTGCCGCTCTCAGACGCAGTTCGACAAACCTCCGCATTGAAGCACTACGCAAATTGCAGCAAAGCATCCAAATCGCAGGTAAGGCTACATGCCAACCCCGTTTCATGGAGTTAATCTCATTGATGGCACAGATGAGACGGTCTCAAAGGAATTGTTGATCGTGTTGCCCGCTCTCCTTGCGACATATCCACGATACCTAGATCGAAAGTCTAGACGTGCGGTGCAGTCATGCCTCCGAGCATATCTCACGACTCCCTCTTCCGCCGACGTTGCCTATCCTGCGATCACAAAATTCCTATTACAAGAGAGCCAAAAAGCTGTTATAGCCCCCGGAAATGCGTTTGTCCTGCTCGAGTGGTGTTGTCTCGTCCAACAAGAAATCCGGCTCAATGAGAAGTCATTCGAACAATGCTTTGGAAAAATATGCTTGGCTGCTGCCCGCCTTCTGGACAAATGTGAAGACAAATCTGTCCGTGGCGGAGTCCAAGGGTCTGCCTTGACCATCGCCAGAAGGGGTTTGCGCGATATGTTCAAGACAACACAAGTCGGAGCCAGAGCGCTGCAACTTGCACTGCAAGACGTCGCAAGTTCCGCAGACGCAAATGCCAGTCATGCCCTTTATGTAGGTGTGATTGCCGGAGTCAGTGCACGTCTAGCGGAGAGGAGAGAAGAGCTTCAAGGGTCAAAAAAGCAGATCCTTGATTTCTATGTCAAGTCGGTCATAGGCTCAAAATCCCCTGTGCCATACGAGCAGTCTATTGGTCTTAAAGACTTTTTCCTCGACTTTGTCACTCTTCAGGATGTCGGCGACGTCTTGGTTCCCGCAATCGAGAAGGCCATCCTGAGATCGCCCGAGGCTATCCTTCAAGGCCCCATTGAAGCGCTGGCTTTGTGTCTGCCATTGACAATCGACGTTTCAGGCTTCGTTCATGGGAAGCTCCTGAAACCTCTTCTGTCAGCCATGAACTCCACTAATGCCATCATTCGTGAAGGTGCAGGCAAGGCTCTGTCAGCCCTGGTTGGCAGAGGAGGGTCGTCAGATGCGCTGCAGAAGATTGCCAGCGAATTGGGATCCACGATGAAATCTTCAAAGGCTGGAAGCTTTGAATTGCGTGGTCTTTTGGCCGATGTCCTGTCAATGATTGCTCCCGAAGTGACGACTTCTTCAGTCATCGCCGAGTCCATCGTCCCCGCGGCATCTAAGGAGGCCAACGAGGGCGCACTACGGAGAGAGGTCGCTGCGTTAGCAACACATCTGCCACTCGTTGTCACAACCTCGCCAATTAATAAGCCGCTTTCGGACCCAATCCTCAAAGGCTGCGCTGACAAGAGGCTCCCTTTCCGCAAACTATGGGTTCTGTGTCTTGCAAACGTCCTCAAACATCTGAAAGTGGTGCCCTCTGAACAAGGGTCACGCGAATTTGTCAAGTCAGCCTTGAAAACATTGAAAGAAGTGCACGACGAGGTTGCCCTCAATCCCCTCCCAGCGACCCAGAATGGTTATGTTGCTGCAGGTTTTGGTCTCCCCGGCGTACTTGACGCACCGGTTTTGAAGACGGAGGAGTACAATTCAAGCATGTTTGATGAACTCAGCAACCAGTGTCTGGCCGTTCAACCCAAACTATCTTTCCTCTTGAATTCAAAAGTCTATACACGACTCTCATCTGCAGATGATTGCCAGTGGGCGCTGTATGCGTTGACCAACCTGACGCAACATCTCGGGCCAGCTTCAGAAGAAGCAAAAACCGCATGGGCACGAGCAGTCTTGCACCTCTTGCTCACACCTGAAGTCGACTCCAGTGTGCGGAAGGAGACTGGAGTCGCATTATCACAGGCATACTCGAAACAACCGGCTTCAGTAGGCCACAGCATAGTCCTTGGTATCTGGGACGTGCTTCGATCCCGTGCTCTGGAGTTAAGTAAGATGGCCGAAAATTCCCTGAACGACAACCGCTTGATTCAGGCAGTGAAATGCATAAGCATACCGAGAGACAGGCTGGAGAATATGACCCAGGAAGCTGCAACTGAGGTGCTAGAGAACCAAGCCATATCGACGATAGTATTATTGCGTCCTGAGCTGATTCTCAACTCCGATTGGATTGCGACCTGCCTCGCCACGGGAATCGATCCAGGTGAACTTGCAAAGAAGCGACAGGGACCACTCTTCGGAGAGATACTGTCACATTTTGAGGCCGGCAAGATGGCACCATTAACGATTTTCGAGATCGCCGCTTGTAACTCTGCAGCCACATTGGCCTTCGTGGCGCCCGATGTCTTTACGTCAGCCTTGATCAGACAGTTTCGGGAAGATCTAGACCCTGTGCAATTGGAAGCCGTGGGTCCCACCGAGGCGCTCATTGCTAGGGCTCCTGAAGGCAGTGTTGTCGTCGATGTCCTGGGCCAGCAGACGAATGGAATCCTTGAAAACAAGAACCAGAAAGACTACGATGTTCTCAAATGGGAAGAAGAGATCCGCGCCCAGTTGGCTAAGAAGAAGGGCGCACCCCAGAAAAAGTTGACTGCAGATCAACAGGCCAAGGTCGACGCTCAACTTAAGCACGAAAGTGCTACGCGAGCTCGGGTGAGGTCAGTCTCGAGCCACATCAGAAGAGGTGCAAGATTCATTGAGAGCCTTGCTCACGGTCCGCCAACGGATGCAGGGCTTTGGATGTCTCCAGCGATTACTGCGCTGGTGAGATCTCTTGAAGGGGGAGCAGCACTCATCGTCGAAAATGAGCTCGTTTCAGCTTATCTTGCCTGTTCGGACAAGATATCGGACCGCCTTGGAAATATGCGCCTTTTTGTCGGCGTTGCTACTCTCAGGTCTCTGCGGAGCGCAAATGTTCCGGAGCACCTCTGCGTGGAACCCCTTGCAGAGCTTGGGACGCGAGTGTTGTATAGATTGAGATTCGCCGCTGAGCAGCGTCCTTTTGACACTGCCAGCACTGCTTACGCCCTCCCTTTAATCTTCTCCGTCCTCGAAAATGGAAAGATAGGCGATGTGACGGGTGACGACGCAGACGCACAAGTACTCCTTGCGCTCGAATTTCTGTCTTTCCAGATGGGATCCGGTGCCGATGAACACCTTCCAAGAGCAGACATTTTACGCCACTTGATCAGTGCCATGCGCAAATATAACCAACACTATCGGATACTGAGAGATTGTCTGTTTGATTTCTGCCGGTCAATGTCAGAAAATGTCACTGTCGAGGAGCGGGACATTCTCCTGTCTGCAGTTACTCTCCCCGAGTCCGCAGTTCGATCTGCGGTACTCCAAGCAATCCATTCAGAAATTGACTTGTCTGAGATTGACAACTCAGTCCATATATGGATTGCTTGTCAGGATGAAGAAGACGAGAATGCGGAGACTGCGCTGGCGATTTGGGAAGAGTTCGAATTCACTGTAACCGAAGGGTTGGTGGACGAAATCCCTTCGTTTTTATTCTCAGCAGCACGATCGACCAGAGCGGCTTCAGCAAGAGCTCTTGCACAGGCCCTTATCCAGATCCCTTCAAAGACGGATTCAGTATTGGCGTCGCTCGAAGTGTCTTATCGCACAGAAGCCCAGCCATTGGTCCCCAAGCGGAACAAGTTCGGTATTGTGCAAAAAGGAGAATTGGTTGATCAGTGGGAGAAGCGAAGCGGCCTTGCTCTGGCCTTCAAAGAGCTCTCTTCCGTCCTGAGCGGGTCTGCTTTGGTGCCCTTTATGAACTTCTTGATTTCCGATGGTGCCCTCTCAGATCGTAATGCTACGGTCCGCGCAGAAATGGTCGAGACGGGCACGGTCTTTGTGGCGGCACGAGGGAAAGAATGTCTGGAGCCTCTGATGGAGCTATTCGAAAAAGTGCTGCAGGCTCCTGATAAAGGCACCGAAGAATCAGATTGGGTCAATGAAGCCGTAATCGTTCTTTATGGGTCTCTGGCAAGACATCTTCCTGATGGTGACAGGCGGATAGGGAATGTCATACAGAAGCTTCTCGATACTCTCAGCACACCATCCGAGTCTGTTCAATACGCTGTCGCCAACTGCTTGCCTCCTCTGGTTCGTCCTCCTTCTATCGATGCTGGACCTTATATCACTTCTCTCCTCGATCAGCTTTTCCATTCCAAGAAATATGCTGCACGCCGAGGAGCAGCCTACGGTCTTGCAGGCGTCGTCAAGGGTAAAGGTGTGGCTGCTTTGCGACAGCACAGAGTGATGGTGGCGTTGCGAAGTGCGACCGAAAACAAAAAAAACCCTGAAGAACGACAGGGAGCAATGATGGCATACGAACTATTGTCCTCGCTGCTCGGACGAACCTTTGAACCATATGTGATTGAGGTCCTCCCTCAGTTACTGATATGCTTTGGTGACCCTGTTGCGTCAGTACGTGAAGCTTGCTTGGACACCGCGAAGACGTGTTTTGCCAGCTTAAGCTCCTTTGGCGTGCGTCGCGTCCTCCCTGAATTGTTGGAAGGTTTGAATGAGACGCAGTGGCGAAGCAAGAAAGGGGCCTGTGACCTTCTCGGTGCCATGGCTTACCTTGATCCGCAGCAGCTCGCTACGAGTTTGCCAGAAATCATCCCTCCATTGACATCGGTCCTGACGGACAGTCATAAAGAGGTTCGAGCCGCAGCCAACAGCAGTCTCAAGAGATTCGGCGAGGTTATCACGAATCCTGAGGTCAAGAGCCTCGTTGAGATTCTGCTCAAGGCACTGAGCGATCCAACAAAGTATACGGAGGAGGCTCTGGACGGCTTGATCAAGGTTCATTTCGTCCACTACCTCGACGCACCATCACTCGCACTTGTTGTCAGGATCTTAGAGCGCGGACTCAACGACCGATCAGCTACCAAACGCAAAGCTGCTCAGATCATAGGGAGTCTGGCACATCTCACCGAGAAACGTGATATCGTCACTCATCTGCCAATCCTTGTCACAGGCCTGCGTCTTGCGGCGGTCGATCCGGTACCTGCAACTCGAGCAACTGCTTCCAAAGCTCTGGGCAGCCTTGTCGAGAAACTGGGCGAGGATGCCTTCCCAGATCTGATACCAAGTTTGATGGCGTCGCTTCGTACCGACACTGGTGCAAGCGATCGCCTCGGGTCGGCACAGGCTCTCAGCGAAGTCCTCGCTGGCCTGGGCACCGGCCGTCTCGAAGAAACTCTACCATCTATCCTACAGAATGTCGCCAGCGCACGGCCAACCGTACGAGAGGGATTCATGACTTTGTTCATCTTCTTACCAGCATGTTTCGGCAACAGCTTTGCCAATTATCTTGCCCAAATCATCCCATCGATTCTCAGCGGCTTGGCTGACGATGTCGAAGCAATCCGTGAAACCGCTCTTAGGGCAGGCAGGTTGCTTGTGAAGAACTTTGCAACTAAAGCAATTGACCTGTTGCTGCCAGAATTGCAACGCGGGTTGGCCGACGACAGCTACCGGATCCGTCTCAGTTCAGTCGAGCTTGTTGGAGATCTCCTCTTCAATCTTACTGGAGTCAGTGCGCAAACAGAAGCTGAAGAAGAAGGCGAAGCTGCAACGCAAGCAGGACAATCCTTACTGGAAGTTTTGGGCGAAGAAAGACGCAATCGGGTTCTATCTTCTCTCTACATCTGCCGCTGCGACTCTTCTGCACAAGTTCGAGCAGCCGCCATCGCCGTGTGGAAAGCACTGGTCGCAACACCGAGAACACTTCGCGAATTGGTGCCGACTCTTTCTCAGATGATTATTGCTCGCCTTGCCTCGTCCAACATGGAGCACAAATTCATTGCTGCCAACGCTCTGGGAGAAGTGATTCGCAAGGCTGGAGAAGGTATCTTTGCCTCGTTGCTTCCGTCACTTGAGGAAGGCCTTCAAACTGCCACCGACCCAGACAAACGACAAGGGATCTGTATCGCTCTGCGAGAGATTGTCAACGCTGCTTCCCCCGAGTCCCTGGAAGAGCACGAAAAGAAGTTGATTGCCATTGTCCGACTGGCACTGACAGATTCCGATCCCGAAGTGCGTGAAGCTGCTGCAGAATCCTTCGACTCGCTCCAACAGATGTTTGGCAAACGGGCCGTGGATCAGGTGTTACCACATCTACTGAACCTGTTGCGAAGCGAAACGGAGGCTGAACATGCACTGTCCGCCTTGCTCACATTGCTCACTGAAGCCACGAGAGCCAATGTTATTCTGCCTAACTTGATCCCGACACTCCTCACCAACCCCATTACCGGGTTCAACGCTCGAGCTCTGGCTTCTTTGGCTAAAGTTGGAGGTGCAAGCATGACTCGTAGGCTACCCGCGATACTGAACAGCCTTGCGGACAATATAGTCACATGCAAGGATGAGGAACTTTTGGAAGAGCTCAACGAGGCATTTGATACGACATTGTCATCTATTGACGAATTCGATGGTCTCAACACCGCCATGAGTGTCATGCTGGCCATGATGAAGCATGACGATCACAAGAGACGTGCACTCGCTGCCAATCATTTAGCGACGTTCTTCGCAAATCCCGTGGTCGACTACTCGCGGTACAATCAAGACCTCATCCGCACCCTCCTGATCTCATTCGGCGATAGAGACCAAGAAGTTGTCAAAGCCGCATGGTCCGCACTGAGCAAGCTGCAATCTCACCTGCGCAAAGAAGAAATGGAGACCCTAGTGACCTCTACGCGACAAGTCCTCCAGCAGGCTGGAACCGCGGGGTCTGTCCTACCTGGTTTTGCGCTGCCAAAGGGTATCCTACCTGTACTCCAAATTTTCTTGCAAGGCTTGATGAATGGTACAACCGAGCAACGGGTCCAGTCTGCTATGGGCATATCAGACATCATCGAGCGGTCCAGTCCTGACGGGCTGAAACCATTTGTTACGCAAATCACTGGTCCACTCATCCGTGTCGTTGGGGAGAGGTCAATGGATGTCAAATGTGCCATCCTGTCCACTCTCATCCTGCTTCTCGAGAAGATCCCTACATTCTTGCGCCCGTTCCTGCCTCAGTTGCAGAGGACATTCACAAAATCCATTGCCGATCCAACGAGCGAAGTTCTCCGTACACGGGCGACGAAGGCATTAAGTACGCTCATCACGTTGACACCGCGCGTCGACCCCTTGATTGCCGAGCTTGTCACTGGTGCGAAAACTCCCGACGCCGGTGTCCGCAACGCCATGTTAAAAGCCCTTCAGGAAGTAGTTAGCAAGGTTGGATCTAACATGTCCGATGGCTCGCGTGAATCCATCCTGGGACTTATGGACAGCCAACATGACGTCCAGGATGATAATATGATGATGACCAACGCCCGGCTCCTGGGGGCCATGGTCAAAGTCCTTCCTGCAGAGAAAGCGGCGACTTTGATCAAGACTCGCGTCCTTGTGCAACCGTCGACCAATGCGTCGATCCTTGCTCTCAACGCCGTGCTCTTGGAAAGCGCCCCGATTTTGATCGAAAATCCGACCTACGTGGAAGAAACCAAGAACGTCCTGGTCAACGGGCTCACTGGGAAGGGTAGCACTTTTGTGCAGCAGAACGCTGTTCTCGCGCTGGGGAAATATCTCCTCTCTCTGCACGAGATCTCCCCCGGGGCTCAAATTGAAGAAACGTGCAGACCATTGTTGAAAGCGCTCGCGTCTACCATCCCACCGGGAGGGGATATCGACTCGCGCCGTCTTGCACTGGTGGTCATCCGCACCATCTTCCGCCACCACGGCAACAGTCTCCGCGAGGACCACCAGCTCTTGGCAATCCTGGTGCCGTCGGTGTTTGCATCGGTCCGAGACGTCGTGATCCCCGTCAAGTTGGCGGCCGAGGCCGCGTTTCTGGAACTCTTCAACGTGGTCGACGAGGAAGTCGCCGTCTTCGACCGGTACATGGCCTCGGAGGACGGCGGCAAGGCGCTGGGCGTGGGGGCCACGAGGGCGATGGGAGACTACTTCAAGCGCGTGGCTCTCCGGCTGGGAAGCCAGGCGCGGGAGAGGAGGGAGGCGGAAGGCGGCGTCAAGGGCGGCTTGGGGTTGAGTTCGGACGAGGAGGAAGACGAGAGGGAGGTCTGGAGCGTGGGACGCGTGGACCTGGGCGACGCGGGATTCAGCGAGGAATGAGAAAAACAAAGGGAAAGAAACCGGTAGAAAGTTTCCAAATGAATCGATTCTGTTGTGCAATGAGGCAGATGGTTGGAAACCCTGTGCCTGTTGTCTTTACTTCTCTGGTTGGATTGGGGGTTCCTCGTACGAGTATGCATGTCTTTCTCTCTGCTATCTCTGTAACTCTACGAGGACTCTCCAAATAGGAATGGCCGTGCATAATGCTGCTGTCAGGGCGCCTCCGGAGCGGGGACGCGTGGTAGGTATATTGTAGGACTGCAATCAATCGCCATGGCCGACAGAGTATTATAGAGCCCATATTTCGCCTGACGGAGTCTCTCGTCACTTATTAGGGCCGACCGAGCAGGCAGGCAGGTGACGGGCAAGCAGGCTCCAGCATCCGATAGAAGCATTTGTTGCTACAGGACCCAGAAAGATACCTCGTACTGCTTGTTGCATTGAGCAAAGCCCGAGCAAGAAACAATCTAGCCCATGGAGAAAAGAGGAGTATTGGTCTGGAATTTGGGTATCCCTCTACACTTGAAGTGAGCTGGACATGGAAGCTGCAATCAAAGACAAGGAGCCTCCAAGCCTCGGCCTATATGTACAATACACGGTCAGAACCCCTTCTTCCCCTCTAAACGCACAGGACGAGCGTCGCCATCTGATCGAAACCACTCAGCCTTCTCTCGCGGCCGAGCAAGTCGTGACTAAAAGGTTTGGTTGAGGGAGATCGACATGGTGGAGATTGTCGTGCTTGTCGCTGATGCCGCGTTTGTCTGGCGATGGAGCGAGAGGCAACAGCTCCGCCTGAAGCTCAATGTACTCCTCCTTGGAACGCCACACGATTTGCGGCCGCGCAGCATCGAAAAAGGAAAGCCTGACAACGTCGGAGAGATTCTTGTTATCTGAAGAGGGACTTGAATGCTGGTGCTGGTTGTTCTGGAATATCCCCGGAAGGTCCTGGTTGCTCCGTGGGTGGTGGTGGCCTAGACAACACACGAAACAGATCAGCATCATTTCCAACACAACAGGATGGATAAGAAGGTACAACAACAAACGGAAAGCCGCGACTTACGGGGCGCTCTTCTGTCCTTGGTCGGGGTTGAAGTATTTCGAAAAGTCGCCCGGATCCTCAAACGGTCTCGGCCCCAGGATCCGCACCAAGTCGTCCCTTACAAGCATTTCTTTCTTCAGTAGCTCCTCTGCCACAGCCTGCATTTGATCCTTTTTCTCCAGCAGGAGATCTTTGCACTGTTTATATGCCTCGTCCACAATCCGTCGGACTTCGGTATCGATGTTTCGAGCCGTTTCTTCCGAGAAAGGTTTGTGAAGCCTCTGCTCATCGTCGCGATAGTGCAAGTACCCAATCTTGGGAGACATGCCCCATTCGGTGACCATGGCCGTAGCCATCCGTGTGACCTTGTTGAAATCATCGGATGCACCGCTCGTGACAGTGTCAAACCAGATTTCCTCGCTGACGCGGCCGCCCAATGTCATGGCCATGCGGTCCATCAATTGCTTGACATTCAGAAGATACACATCTCCACCTCCGGCGGGGAGGTATTGGGCGTATCCTAGAGCCCCTTGACCTCTAGGGATGATGGAGACTTTGAGAAGGGGGTCGGCATACTTGAAGAACCAGCCGCAGATGGCGTGGCCAGCCTCGTGGTAGGCGACAGTTTTCTTCTCCTCTGGCGTCAAGACCAGGGACTTCTTCTCAAGGCCGCCAACGACACGCTCGATTGCTTGTTCGAAATGAAGCATTTCGACCGACGCTGCGTTGGAGCGAGCAGCAATGAGGGCAGCCTCGTTGACACAGTTGGCAATATCGGCGCCCGAGAATCCTGGCGTCAGAGCTGACAAACGGCCAGTAAGGTAGTCCATGTCAACGTGAGTGACAATCTTGCGGAGGTGGACTTTGAATATCTGCCTGCGGCCATCCATGGTCGGCCTGTCGATAACAATGTGTCTATCAAACCGACCTGGACGCATCAAAGCCTTATCCAGGACGTCGGGTCTATTCGTACCAGCAAGGACGACCACTTGTTCAGAGGTGTTGAAGCCATCCATTTCGGTCAAAATTTGGTTGAGTGTCGATTCCCGCTCATCATTGCCACCACCAAAGTTTTGTTTCGCCCTTGACTTGCCAATGGCATCAATTTCGTCAATGAAGATGATGCACGGCGCATTCTTTCTGGCATTGGCAAACAGGTCCCGCACTCGAGATGGGCCGACACCGACAAACATTTCGACGAATTCGGAACCAGAGACTGAGAAGAAGGGAACGCCGGATTCACCAGCGGTCGCCTTGGCCAACAGCGTCTTACCAGTACCCGGAGGGCCGGATAGAATGGCGCCACGAGGAATCTTTGCTCCCAGCCTCTGGTACTTTGAAGGATCTTTAAGGAAGGAAACGAACTCCATGATCTCCAGCTTTGCCTCATCCATACCAGCAACATCAGTGAATTTGATCTTGATATCGGTCTCGTGATTGAATCTTTTCGCCCTTGATTTGCCGATACCAAAAATACCACTTTGGCCACCTGCACCAGATGCTGCTCTTCGCGACAACCAGAAGAGGGCACCCACAAATAGAAGTGTTGGGCCAAACGAGAAGATGGCGGCGCTCAGTGGGACTTCATCGGAGTAAGCCACAGGTATTCTCTCATTTGTGGGGATTCCCAGTTCCTGTTGTGCCTCATCCAAGTGTCTCTCAAAAGCTTCCACTGAGCCTATTGAAAAGTAGTAATAGAAGTTTGGCTGGGCGGCTGGTGACTCTGGATATCTCTGGGCCACGGCGGAACGATGTAATTCGACTCGGACTCGGTTTCGGTTGATGACGGTGAGCTTGTTGACTAGGCCTTTGTCAAAGAATGTAGTCCTGAACTCCTGCCATGTGATCTCCCGACTTGTCTCGCCAGGATACAGGCTACGGTACAAGTAGTAGGTAATGAAGGCAGTCATGATCATTGTGCTGGCGTCGAGCTTAAACTCGTAAACCCTCGGTCCGCCTTGCTGCTGCTGCTGCTTCTGCTTTTCCTTGCGTTGTTTATTATGCTCCTCACTCTTGTTTGACTGCTCGAACAGGGGGGTCTCTTCCGATGTCTCGCTCTTGCCGTATTTTTGTCGAACCTCTTCCGGGGTCATGCGTGACATCTTGGTAAAGAGTCCCACAAGACGCACCGTGGTACCAAGATCGATGCGCTTGCTGGGATCCTTTCGTCGTGCTTCCAGGACTTCTCGAAGTTCTTTAGGGATTCCGCCTTTTTTCATGAGCTCGGCGGCTTCGTCCACAGCGTCGGCTTGCGCCTTTGGAAGGCCTGTCTTGATCATCTGGGCCACATCATCGATCTGTTTGATCTCTTCTGGTGTGAGAGGAGAAAACTCCTGTGTGCTGGCCTTCTTCGACTCCGGCTCTACATTTGGGTCCTCTTTCCCAGATCCGTCTGCAGGTTTCTCGGCCTTTTCAGCATTCTCAGGCTTCCTTTTCTGTTTCTCTGGGTCTTCGGAGGGCGGCTTTGGATCACCAGGGGACACAGTGGCATACAATCTCAACAAAGGCGGACGTAATGACCGAGTACATCGTAGTCTGGCGAATTGGGTGGAGCGGCGATGGGCACAAAATGCGCACTCGAACGCAGCTTTGGACGAGCGCATCAACTGCGGCCGCAGGTAGCTTGCCGCCATTGCTGGCGTACAACCTAGACGAAGAGATTACCAGCAAAAGGGCAGAAAGGAATGGGAGAGAATGGACTTGAAAGGATAACTAGCCCAGACGGCGAAACAGAAGATCTGGTGAGCTAGACGTGCGCAATGGTTGACGCGAGCACATTTGCCTGACTTTTCTTAGATCCGATGCAAGCATGGCCAGATGCGCTTGTCATAGATTTGGCCCGTGCGGTTACGCCACCGGCCCATCTCGCCATCCGAAGAATAATGCAACTTTCTTCTGTCGTGCAGACCGCATAACATAGCAAAGGGCGTGAGTTCAAATGTCGGATTCTGTCTGAAAGTACAGCTCTATTCTATGGAATCTGGATACATGTATCAGACTTCAATCTGTCGCCACCCAGCTCGTCCCTATGCGATATTCAGCCGACCTGACCGCTTCGCCCACAGCCTTGAAAGACTTAATCCTTCTCCTGCTCAATGTTTACATCCGCCTTCTCCCGTACATGTCATGTCGTAGTTTCCATTCCTCCTCCGACTTGACCTTGACTGCTTCCTTTCCCGCTGGTCGAAATCTAGGATCACGCGCAATCCGACTTGGAGCGCTATAGAATCCACCGGTGTTCTCCTCAAAGAAGCTCGTGCTTCCTATGTTTCCCATCAGGAGCCGACCTCTCTCAATTGCATACTCCGGTGCCGGCTTGTACTTGCAGACCAGGTTGTCCGGATCCGCCCCCAGCTCCGATGATTCTGCAGACTCGGTCAAATTTGCCATGATGTCTCCAACTGCGCGAATCGCTGCGCTCTCGATTCCCACATCTGACGTTTGGTCGCTTACGGCGCCGTCGCCGCCGCCAACGACGGACAGATGGCTACCGTGGCATTCTTTGGCGACCTGCTCAAACAACTTTCGGGTACCTGTAACTGGTTTGCTGTCTCTAGTGGCGATTTGCATCCAACTTTGAAGTCTCTCCTTCCTCTGTCTCCTCGCATCCCGAAAAAAGCCCTGGGGTTCATCAGGACTCTGTGCTCTGGCACATATTCTCATGACTCGACTCATCTTCATACGTTGATTCTTGCTAACAGGTTTGAGCTCGAACCAATCGTCATTCCCGACCCCAAAGATCCCTCGCAGAGTGAAGGCTTCAAAGGGAGACGAGACCTTGTTGGTGCTTGGTGCAATGGTTTGATGAGAGGTCAACTGTGTCAACTGTGAATCAAAACCAGGAGGGGTTTTTTGAATGATAAGAGGTCCTGGGCTATACGTCTGGACGTGGCAGAAACGCTCTGGTGTTGTATTATCACTGATGGAGCGAGCTGGAGAAACCGCTTCACTCGCCTTCACTCGATGTAAATCGGGGTTATGCAGAACGGTTTTCCCTGTCTTTGCTAATGCTTGTTGTGCTGCGACAAAACTCTGCATCTTATTCTTGCGGTTGTAGGGTTCGTCATCCGGTAGGACAAGAATTGGGTGGATGGTCTGCTGAGCAAGTCGATGTGCTCCGTGCTCTGGTATCAATCCCTGATTTGTTGGCTCGCTGACTTCATTAGGGTAGGAGAAACGTCTGATGGCATTCGGCACCAGCAAGGAAGAAGCGTCAGAGATATTTCCATCCATATTGACAACGCTGTCAGAGTTCACGTGTTGCACCACAGGACGCTCAAGGGGGCCGGATGGAAGGGCCCAGGTTTGAGGATGGTTCCCAAGACCAGCTTCATCTTCATAGTGAGCAAAGGTCGTAGGAGCCACCATCGAGTTCCCAATAATTCCTGAAATGGGCATGAGGTGATGATGTGGAGTGACGAAACCAGCAGATGGGCCCATGTGTTCATGAGACAACGAGGCAAGTTTGTTCTCTTGCTTGGAAGGGCTGATGTCGTCTGGTACCATCAAATTGCCGTGATATTGACCCGGGTGGAAGGTGGGCATCGCGGCTGGACCTAGCACGGGCATACCATGTGAGTCAAACCACCATGTCAAACCAGGGTACGAGAACCCACTGATTCCAGAGAGATTGCTCGGGGAGCTATCCACACTGAGATGGCTGGTTTGTTGTGTTTGCTTAACGATTGTGTGTGGCTGGATCCGTCGAGGAGTTGGGTTGACAAGCGGCGAGGATGTCTGCGAGGTCGATCTCAACATTGCCTTGGGCGCCGTTGGAATCGTCGAGCTCGGATTGTTGGTGTCGACCCATGTTGATTGCGGGTTACTCGACACAAGAGCAATGTCAGAATCATGGCTGATAGAGCTACTGCGGTCGACTCCTTTCTGACGGGTTGGAGTCGAGGCAGTGTCTTCATTGTCCTCAAAACTGTCATTGTCGTCTTCAGGGGTATCTTCCAAGATCAGTGGCTTCCATGCTTTGGGACCCTTGTTGCGATTCAGCTGAGGATTCTTGGTGAAGGCGCTCAAAGAAATTGGAGCAGGCTTAGGAGGCAATCTGTGCTCTTCTGCTTCACGGCTCGCTTGTCTTGCTGAAGCGGCTTTGAAAGCATGATACTCGGCAGCTCTGGCTCGGGCACCCAACATGTCGGGATTTCTGTAGGCAAAAGAAGTTGTCTAGAACTTGTGAGTATGACAGCAGTTGGGAAAGGACATCATGATGTTTGACCTGGATCCAAAAGGTTGCACTAGATTTTGAATATTTCCTTGCGGAATCAACCAGCTTCCAAGTCCAGCAACCGTGGATGTGGAGTTCCAGATAAGGAAGATGATGTGGGTTGGCTAGGTCCTGTGGCAGATGAGAAACTAGAAGTCTCGAAGAAGGAAGACAGCGACAGCGACCTCCTGGGCCTGACAAAAGCTCACGGCTTGACAGTCTCAAGGGGAGGTAGAGCGCTGAGACCGTCGCTGTCAATCTCTGGAGGCACCGCAGCACAGGTGAAATTAGAAGGAGATTGAGAGCAAAGGACAAGTTGATATAGCAGCGCCGGAAGGAAGTGAGGATGAGGGTAAAGTGAGAGCCTAGGAGGGAGAGGGTGCGGCCGAAGATACTGGACACTGAATACGAAAGAAGGAGAAACGCGTTTTCTTAAGTGGCTCGAAATCAGGAACACTGCATGGCATCTGTTGAGAAGAGCGCTCTGAAGTTGAAATCCTGGGGTGTTGAGCCATCAGGAAGGAGAGACTGATGATGGCAAAGCCATACACAAGCGCGGGCACTTGTCGCATTGTCCACAGTTCACTTTCACTTCAGGTCCCATCAATCAACCTTTGTGTCTGATCGTTTCATTGACTTCACCATCACAGATATCACAAATGCAAGGATGCCAAACCGCTTCGAGGCTCAAACGTCCACAACGAGAAATTCGTCGAGATATGCATGCGTTTATCAAAAGAGGAGGTTAGTCCGCAGTCGTCTTCTAGACACATCTCAGGTTGACCACGGATTCCAGTATGATGGCCAGAACAGCTGTCACCACACCTCCTCCTCACGAAGCCCGTCGATACTTCACGCGTCCTCACATCGAAGAAACAATCACAACACTGGAGAAGAGATCAAGAAAGAGAAGGCTCATAATTCATTGAGGACACTTGAATCGGTAAAACATCGGCGTTTTAGTGGTGGATGGTGGTACATAAGCCTTACAACCTCGACATTCGGACGACAAGTCTTGCCGTGTTTTCGTCTTGCCACCTCCAACGACCCTTCAAAAACAACAACGGATCCCTCGACTACACTCGACTATCCAAGATTCATTGTCTAGCATAGGGAAACTATCGAGCAAGCGCGCATCCCCCTCGAAACCCCTAAGACGAGGCCACAGATGAAGATAGGTGACCCGACATATCGTGGCGTACAAGTCCATCTCCCGCTTGAGGTCGTCCGCCTTATAACGGAACATGTTGCTTCCGGCCACGGCGATGAAGCCCAAACATCACTATGGGCTTGTTGTCTGGTGTCTCACACGTGGTATGCTGCTTCTGTTCCCCAGCTCTACCATCGGCCACTGCTTTCCAGCCGCAACTTCGACCTCTTTGCTCGAACGATATGTCTTACACAACGGTCCCGAAGATCGCGGGTTGGTCTCAAAAATATGATTAAGTATCTTGATATGAGTCGACTCGCATACGAGAGCACCAACAGTCTTACAGCCCGTCTCATCTTCCGAACCAGATTGTCGTTGGAGGTCTTGGCTCCTCCAGCAGTCACCTTCTCGTGAGCCATTCTCACGCTTTCAAGGAACCCTCAAAATTCTGACGTTGTCCGTAGGGTGGCATCGTTGGCTCCGTTGTCTAAATGCGTAAATTTGCGTCAACTAGATTTGTCGGCAGATTCTTACTCGATACCCGTGGTTGATCTTCTCGATGCCATCGCCGAGCTTAAACACTTGACAATTTTGAGTCTGCCAAAGGGATTCCAAATCAACCGCGATATTCATTCCGTTGAAAGCTTGAGATGGCCAGCGAATTTGACTCGTCTCCATGCTAGCGACGTGATGTGTTTTCGTTCGGCGGAGTGGGACTTGCTAATCGAATGTTGGCCCCGGACTTTGAAAACACTGACTTTCCCGGATTGTCCACACTTCACCGGGGCTGACGTCTTCTTACACTGTGAACAGCGAGCCGACTATGTGCAGCGTCTCGAGTTGACTGAGTCGAGAGGTCTGGGCGAAGACAGCTATAACTTGTTCGATATCTTGCAGGTCTTTCCGGGGCTCCGAGAATTGATCATTCCCGCCGACGTGGCACGGAGGACCCTCAACGAGGCTCCAGTAGAGACGGAAGAAGGGGCTGGCAGAAGTTCTCCCCTAGAGATACTCAGAATCACGCCGACATGCCATCCAAAATGGTACATTGACAGCCAAGGTCGTGTGAACGCAAAGACGGATTTCCAAACTTTCAGCCGCTTGGCCGTGCTGCCCCAACTTCGAAGGCTGGAGATGCCAAAGTCACTCACCACTTACGACGTGGAGGGGGACCAAACGTTGTTTGAGGAGCTCTCTGGCAGGATCGAGGAACGCGCCCACCGAGACCACCGGAGCACGTCTGGTATTTTCCTTGTTGACGATTCAGAGGTCGCGGAAATATGAGCGCCATGCGATTATTTGGGGATTTTGGATATCGCAAGCCAGACGTCGTGTCCAGTTCTACACCGGCAGGCCGGCGTTGTTGCTTATTTCTGACTGGTATCACGGCTTGTTGTCGACAGCAGACAAGGGCTTCTATTTGGGGAGGTAATGAGACATTCCAAAACTCCCCTTCGCTGAACCATAGCCGACCCGCTCGTCCAGTCTTATTCAAAGCTGCATTATCATTTCGCTACTCTCACATTACAACGTGGTGAGATACCATGTGAGTCACCAGCCTCATTCCAATCCAGCGAAACCGAAATGAACACATTCTCATCGCTCCGACCGTACCCCCGTTACCCTTTCAACATCAAGTGCCCAGCGCTGTGTTATCACTCATACAAAAATCCTCGTATTGCATCTTTCTTCCATGTTTCATACCGTACCGTAAACAGATCGACGAGTGGCAAAGGAGAAAAGAGGTCAGACATGCTGGCATAGAGCGGATAGCTGCTGGTGCCGTGTCTATGACTCTCTCCGAAACTTCCAGCCGCCTTCTCAGAAGATCGTTCCGAATGTGCCTTCGGTCTCGATCCTCTTCCGCGGGCTTCCTTCGGCATCTGGTTTGCGATGTCTGGACAATCACATCATGAGTTAGCATATTGCCACCACCGCAGTTGGCTGAAATGTGCATGGCTAAAAATGGAAGAAGACCACCACGCACCTGAATGTGAATCCCACAAAAAGACCCTTGCCCATCTTTTCGTCCCGCTCCGCCATCTCCTCCAGTGCTCTCTGTTTATCATGCACCTCCTTGTACTTGGCCATATCCGCTTCATTCGAGAAATCGTCAAAGTACCCAGCGTCCGTCTCCGAATCCAGTTCCGGCACAAACGGCGCTTTCTGCTCTCTCAACTTGGAGAAGTCCACTTCGGCGAAGTACTCATGCTTGTGGATTTCGGAGATGGATTTGAATCGGTGATCTTTGGCAGCAACGAGGCGAGTAATCAGGTCCCAGGTACGCTTGGACAGGAAATAGGTGGGATCATCGTAGATGGGTTTTCGGAGCACACGCTGCCAACGTTTGAGGTTCTGCCAAGTTTCGTCGACGGTGGCACCAGCAAACGGAGGGTATCCTGCGAGGGCTTCGAAGAGCATGCAACCCAAAGACCAGTAGTCGACGGTGAAATCATATGTTTCACCCTTGAGCACTTCTGGGGCCATGTAGTCGGGTGAGCCGACGATGGACTTGGCGTAGTTGATGTCCTTCTTACGGAGGGAACGGTAACCCTCGCGGCGTTGATCGGCGGACCGGTCTTCGACGGCCGGCATACCAAAGGGAACTGGCGTGTTTCCTACTTCTTCGAGCTTGATGCGCATGCTTTCGATCTTGATAGGGCTAAGCATGCCGGCGGCGAGACCAAAGTCGGTGAGCTTCACATGTCCGGTGGCATCAATCAAGAAATTCTCTGGTTTCAGGTCGCGATGGATATAGCCCAGTGTGTGCAAGGCGTCGACACAGGAGAACATCTCAGCAATGTAGAATCTTGCATGGCGATTATGAAGAACGCCGGTGTTGTTGAGCAGAGTTCGAAAGTCACCTCCAGGAACATACTCCATGGCCAGGTAGATTTGTTCTTCATCCTGGAAAGAGTAGAGCAACTTGACAAGCCATTCGGATTTCGCGGCGGTCAGGATGTCTCGCTCAGTCAAGATGTGACGCACTTCATCCAGTTTGAAGAGGAGTTTCTTTCTCATGACCTTAAGTGCGCAGACTTCTCGAGTGTCTTTCTTTTGGGCTAGATAGACCTGCCCGTACCCACCTTGGCCCACTTGGGTGAGGATTTGGAAGTCTCCATGGCGGAGGCGAGTGCGACGTTTGCGCAGGTTGGCTCGCTCACGTCCAAGGTACTTGTGGAGTGCAGTGTCGAACTCTTCTCTTGGTGTCTCAGGTGGAGCAGGGAACGAGGCTTTGAAGGCAGCTTCTCTGGACTGACGATTGTGAACGTACGAGAGCAAGTCAAAATAGTAGTCAAGGAAGTCTGGGAGAAATTAGTGCCCGACCCATACTGTGGAGCGTTGAGATACGCTTACACAATTGAGTCACATTTGCCAGACGCTTCACTTTGGGAAGTTGCAACTTTTGCAACTCCTCGGCCGTAAGTCCTTTGGTTGTGGTCATGGTCTTCTTGGAGTCAGCTGTCCGGTATTGTTCTTGTCGCGAGATGGCAGCATGGTTCTGCTGGACACCTTTGCCATATGCCAGGCCACTAGCGGGAGCATTCTCTTTGTTGGATTGACGCGTGGGGCTCTCTGAGCGACCATAATACTGAGCAGGCGGATCTGCGAAGGGATCTTCACTCATGTTCTCGTCACCAGCAGAGAATCCTTGTTTGGCTGGGGATTTCGGCTGCGTCTTGGTGGGCGACGTGGGAGCCAATTTCATGGCATTGTCAAACACATTGGGCAGGTCGTTGGCTCCAGGAGGCAGTTGTTTCTTGCTTGGACTGCCTTGAGGCGTTTGTGCAGGACTGGTGAAGCCATGAACAACACCGCCTCCAGGAGTTGTGGGGGTTTGAGGACGGTCGTACATCTCGTTGCCGGAACGAGTATGCAGCAGAGGAGGAGGCATCGGCATGACCATGTTGAGGTCTTGTTGTGACTTAGGGGAGAGAGGTGTGCTACCGACAGCCATTTTCTGGTCGGGCGAATGTGTGTTTTGGGGACGACGGCGGGAAGGTGAGGCGGCGCGGTGAAGACTGTGGCTTTTCTTCACACTATCAACACAAGAGCAAGGACAGTCAGGCAATTGAGACCATCCACGGAGCCCTCAGGCGACTGATCAGGTTGGAAGAGAGGAGATGAGGACGAGTGCTGGATTAACTTGCGCACCGCAGGCAAACAGGACCGCTCTGCGCCGTGGTTCGGATATTGCAAGGGATATATTCAAGACGGATTTGGAGAGATCAACAAAAGCGACTTGTTTCGATGGGCAACCAAAGGTCCGTGCCGCAGTCACGTGGGAGCAATATTGGCTTATAGTCAACCCGCCGCTTTAAGCGACCCGTTTGCATTCACGCCCGTGGCTGCTGCTTGTCACAAAGCGATATGGATCTTGGAATTTCTAATCTTGTGCATCATGTGGGCTGGAGAGGAGTACACTGCAGCGATGGGAGTTGGTCGAGTGTGAACTTCGAGGTTGGGTGTAGGAATGCTTCATTAGTCGAGCAAACAGCAGTCAGTCATCCTAGAGGGAAGTTATGGAGAGCATTCTAGATTCAAGGGACTTTTCAAGGGACTTTGATCAGATCGGATCGAAACGTACCGATACGAGTCTGTGGCCTGAAACAAGAATACTCAAGTATGGCTCGTATACAACATGCTTTTTGCAATTCCAAAGTCCTAAAGTCGTGGAAGGATGGCGGACGGCGGAGGGCATCCTCGGTAGAAGCTTGTAAGGCCAGTCACTGGCCCATCACGCTGCGCTTTGACTCTCTCGCAGAGCTCGTGTTTCAACATTGAATATATTGGATAACCTAGCATTCTGGGCGACCCAAAGAATAACAGATTGATGGACAGCTAGATTCCAAGACACCACTCCTTTTTGTAATGTGCAAATCTCCTAGCAGACTGGCTCAGCAACCTACCACTCCATCTTCTCTTTGACGTATAGGTCCACGTATTTGTCAACATCCATCGAGTCCAGCTTCGAGGCATCAGTGCCCAGCTCCAGAAGCTCCTTGATCTTGGCCTCTGGGAAGTGGTGGCTCAAATGTCTCTTGTACTTGGCCAAAATCTCGGGCTTGGCCTCATCTCTTCGCAAACGGTGACCAAGTGGTGCCTCCACCACGACTTCATCCAGCACCGTTCCGTCGTTCAATGTGACGGTCAGAGCATTGGAAATCGTTCTCAAGGCAGGGTCGTGGTAATCCTTGGTGAACTGAGGATCCTCAACACACTTGATGCGCTTTCGAAGGTCTTCTACCAGAGGAGATGTGGCGGCCTCGCTGCCGTCAACGTAGTCGGTAGCTTCCAAACGGTTGAAGCACAACATGGTGGAAACCATATATTGAACGCAGTGGTCTCGGTCGGCGAAATTGTCCATGGGCTTAAATTGCTTGTCAATGATTCGGATGCAAGCTTCGTGGGTTCGGTTGGTAATCTCTTTGATGTCCTTCGCTGACTTGCCCATGTCGGCAAGAATCTTGTAGATCTTTTGTGCAGCTTCGACGGCGGTCTGCGAGTGGAACTCGGCCGGGTACGACACCTTGAACAAGACGTTCTCCATGACGTAGGAGCCATAAGGACGCTGGAACTCAAACTTCTTGCCCTTGAAGAGAACATCATAGAAACCCCAGACAGGAGCCGACAGCACCGTGGGGACGCCGGCCTGGCCTTGCAGGACCTTGAATGCAAGGTTTACAGCTCTTTGGCAGGCATCTCCAGCAGCCCACGACTTGCGGGACATGGTATTGGGTGAGTGTCGGTAGGTTCGCAAGCTCTGTCCATCGACAAACGCTTGAGAGACAACAGCAGCCGTCTGGCCCTCGTCGAGACCCAGCATCTTGCTGACCACGGCAGCCGAGGCCACTTTCACGAGGACGACATGGTCCAAGCCGACTCGGTTGAAGGAGTTTTCTAGAGCCAAGCACCCTTGGATCTCATGGGCTTTAATCATGCCTTCCAAAACATCTCGGACGGTGGGGATCTTGCCATTGCCGACTTTGCCGCCAGCTCTGTTTGTCCGGGCCATCCAGTCAGCAACCGCAAGAATAGCACCAAGATTGTCCGATGGATGACCCCATTCCGCAGCCAGCCAGCAGTCATTATAATCCAGCCACCTGATCATAGCGCCAATGTTGAAAGCACCGTTCACTGGATCCAGCTCAAACGGTGTTCCTGGAACTCGAGTTCCATGAGGAATCCTGGATCCTGGAACAAGAGGGCCTAGGATAGCTGTGCACTGAGGAAAGCGGAGGGCCTCCAGACCACAGCCAATCGTGTCGAGCAGGATATAGCGAGAGGTATCGAGGGCAAGTTCCGAGTCAATCTTGTAGTTGTGCACGTAGGATGCAATGTCGGTGATTTCAGGGTCGTAAGTTTGACTAGAGGCTTTGGGGGGCTCCGAGGAAGCCATCTTCGCCGAAGTCGAGAAGGAGGAGGTCAAGGCAGGGGTAGGACGAGGCAGTCTCAAGCTGGGCGCTGAGCGGATTGCCGAGGAGGGTGCTTGTGCTCGTACAGCCAAAGCACCAGCAGCCAACCTTCGCACTGGAGCTCTTTTGAATGCAGAGGACACCAGCATGGCTCGGTACAGGCTAATCCAGCAGGATCAGGTCGAGACTAGGGAAGTCGTGGAGTCGGTGGAAGAGCTCAGTGCGACAACAGTCGACCGAGTGGGGTGAGAATCGTAAATGTCGGGGATGAGGTGACGAGCCAGCGAACACTCAATGCTCGACACAGGCAGTGACAGCGACAGGCTTCTGTGTTCCCCGAGCCACAACAGGACTGTTCTGGTCAGGTCTTTGGTCGAGTTGCTCACCGACTTGAGAGAGGAGAGCCAAAGAAAGTGAAGAGGGTGGAAAGGCAGGGACGATGGGGGGAGCAGTGGAATAAAATAAAAGTCAGAGCTCGAGCACACTCAACAACTTTTTCTTAGACTTCTGCAACGTCCCTCACTCACTAGCACAGCAGCTATCTACTCCGGTCATCTATTTTACATCATCCTCTCCTCATCCTCCGTTTCGTCCAGACTGCTATTGACCTATTGCGCTCGCCATTCCCAGCATCGCTTCTGTGCCGCGTCCCCGATCGAGCTCCGACTGCCTCGGCCATTGCCGGCCCATCGCAAGTGGTTCCCTTCGACGTCGCCTACTCGCCGCCCCGCTTGAATGCCCCTGATTCTTGCTAGCTGTAGGTTCCGAGTCTATCCTGTCCTTGATTGATTGGCCCGTCGTCAGCCTTTCTAATGCTTCCAGCAGTTGGAAAGGGAATGCAAAACGATGCCACCCAGGCAGGTCCGGTATCAGCCTCTTGAAAATGCCACTGAGGTAGAGCTCGACGGAGGCGACCTGTCCGATGAAGACCCCAAGGCACCCCAGACCTTCACCCTGCGCTCCGGCCCATCAGCTAGCGACGCCGCTTCCTCAAGCGAGGTCGCTTTGCTAGGCTCCTCCGCTTCTGGCACGTCCCCCAGACGACGAAAATATTCCGATACCGTTGCCAGCCGCTTCTGCGTCGGCCCCAAGCTCACCAAGCAATATATTGCCTTCTCAGTCCTCATATTAGCGGTCATTGTCTCGGTCATTGGTGGCGGTGGCTACTGGTTCTACACTAAGGGTCAGATCAATGGGCAGTCTCCGCCATGGTACCCGACACCGCTAGGCGGGACATTGCCATCATGGCAAGCCAGCTACGACAAGGCTCAGAAATTGGTTGAGCGTATGAGCCTCGTGGAGAAGGTCAATATCACCACGGGCACAGGATGGGCAATGGGACTTTGTGTGGGCAATACTGCTCCTGCACTGAGTGCTGGTTTCCCCGGTCTCTGTCTTCAGGACGGACCTCTGGGGATACGATTTGCAGACCATGCAACCTCCTTTCCCGCTGGCATCACGGTGGGCGCCACCTGGAACCGTGACTTGATGCGTCGCCGCGGCGCTGCTCACGCACGTCAGGCAAGGCTCAAGGGCGTCAATATTATTCTTGGCCCAGCAATGGGACCACTGGGTCGAAACCCAGCTGGCGGCAGAACGTGGGAAGGATTTGGTAGCGATCCAGTCGTGCAAGGCATAGCGGCATACGAGACCATTCAAGGCATCCAATCACAAGGTGTCATGGCAACTGCCAAACACTATATCGGCAACGAGCAAGAGCATTTCCGTCGGCCTCTGGAGTGGGGTCTCCCGGAGGCTCTTTCTTCCAATATCGATGATCGCACTCTGCACGAACTCTACGCTTGGCCCTTTGCCGAGAGCGTAAGAGCCGGAGTGGCCAGCATCATGTGTTCCTACCAGATGGTCAACAACTCTTACGCTTGTGCGAACAGTAAGTTGATGAATGGTCTCTTGAAGGATGAGCTCGGTTTCCAAGGCTTTGTCCAGTCGGACTGGTTGGCCCAGCGCAGCGGTGTTGCTAGCGCTCTCGCAGGCCTCGATATGTCCATGCCCGGTGACGGACTGTATTGGCAGGATGGAAGGTCACTCTTCGGTGAGCAGCTCACAATCGCGGTGCTCAATGGCTCTCTTCCCATGACCAGGCTCAACGATATGGTCACACGAATCGTTGCTGCATGGTATCAGCTAGGACAAGACTCCTGGACCTCTGAAGGACCCAATTTTTCTTCATGGACCCAGGATAAATACGGCTATCCACATGCTGGCAGCAATAGCAAACAAGAAAAAGTTCTCGTTAACAAATATGTCGAGACAGAGAATGATGAAAGCAGACAATTAGCCCGAGAAGTCGCAAGCGAGGGCACCATCCTACTAAAGAACGAAGATTCAATCTTGCCGCTGAATCCTACGCTTTCCGAGTTGGGAACCGAGACCCCCAAGCGAGTCGCCGTTATTGGGGAGGACGCCGGCCCTGGAAAGGGACCTAACTACTGCGAGGATCGGGCTTGCAATCAAGGCACCCTCGCTGTGGGTTGGGGTTCCGGTGCGACAGATTTCACTTACCTCGTCGACCCGCTCACAGCGCTGAACTCGAGCTTCGACAAGACTGAGGTCGAAATAACCAGCTCTCTCACCAACAAGGTGTCGTCCAACTTGAGGAAGGCGCTCAGGGAACAACACCTGTGCCTGGTCTTTGGCAACGCAGACGCGGGCGAAGGCCATCGCATCTGGAATCGTCAACGTGCGGACAGAAATGACCTGGAGATCCAGAAGGGCGCAGGTCAGTTGATTCGCACTGTAGCCGACGAATGTGGTGGCCCTGTGGTGGTCATTATCCATTCTGTTGGTCCTGTCATCCTCGAAGACTTTGCTGATTTGCAATCCGTCAAGGCCATTGTCTTTGCGAATCTGCCTGGTCAGGAAAGCGGAAACTCCCTTGCTGACGTTCTGTTCGGACGAACCGATGCTTCCGGACGGCTTCCTTACACAGTCGGCAAGTCCCTTGTGGACTATGGACCAGGTGCTCCAGTGCTTTATTATCCCAACGCCATCACCCCCCAGGTGGATTTCAAGGAGGGTTTGTTCATCGATTATCGGCATTTTGACAAGGCGGGCATTGAGCCCCGTTATTCTTTCGGTCACGGATTGTCTTTCACCACATTCGACTTCTCTGACCTGGTTGTTACAAGTCTGAAATCGAAATCGGCCCTCCCTTCTGCAAGGCCTGCAACGCTGACACCGCCGAGCTTTGACGAAACCATACCGCCTGTTGAGAGCGCGCTCATCCCAAGCACATTCACGAAGATTCGAAAGTTCGTTTATCCCTACCTATCTAGAGCGGACAGAGTAAAGCAGGGCAAGTATCCATATCCTGATGGATACGACATTGTTCAGGAGCCGAGTGCTGCTGGAGGCGGCGAAGGAGGCAACCCTGCTCTGTTTGAAGAGCACGTCAAGGTCCAAGTGCGTGTTACAAACACAGGAAGCCGCAAAGGAAAGTCCGTGGTACAATTGTATGTGTCGTTCCCTCCAGCGATAAAGGAACCATCCACGAATGAAATCATCGAAACACCGATGAGGGTGTTGCGCAACTTCACAAAGATTGAGCTTGAGGCGGGTGCAGAACAAGTGGTCAACCTCAGTCTGACACGCAAGGATTTGAGTTACTGGTCGGTGGCCCAACAGAACTGGGTGATGCCTGATGGTCGGTTCACCTTGGCTGTGGGTCGCAGTTCGAGAGATCTGCCTCTGCAGGGAACGTATTGATCGCCTGAAGCAGACGCATAATATCGAGTCAGAGATTGCGGAGTCAGGTTGGTGCGCGCCATACCGTGAGGAGCTTGTCAATACGGGTCTCGACAGCCCTGCGCGCCATCTTGTCTACCGGAACTGGCGAACAAACACAATCTTGGGACTAGATCATCTGATATACGAGTCGACACTGTCAACGCGACATGCCACTGATCTGCTTCAACCTCGGACCAAATGTCGCTTCCTTGTTCGCCACAGTTCGACCGAGGACTCTGCTACCACCTTGTCCCCGCATTCCCCCACATGGAGTTTACAAAGAAGAGCCTCTATTGACTCCAGGACATGGGCCCTAGTGTCGTCCTGATTTCACAGATGCTCACTTTGGCGGGCCTTGCTTCCTCATCCGGTATTGATGATTGGCTCATCAGCAATCTCGAGCGACGCCGGCCCGGTGTTCTGGACATCGTGATTCAGCTACGCTAAGTCCCAGGACCGCGGTCCGATGGTATAAAGGGACGCGGACGGAAGGCAGTTGGAAGTTATCTTACATAGACTGTGGCAGAACCCATTAACCCCGCTGCTCTTTCATCTGGAGGGCTGAGACCGCTTTGATTATAAGTTACTATCAAGTCGCCTCCTTCCGCGAGAAGTTGCCTGGAAGCCACATCTTCTCGGCCTTTTGCTGAACCCCAAGTGATTTCATAAACGCCAGTCTCATTCCTGCCCTCTCTCCCATCCCTCCTTCTCTTGGCTGAAAAACCTCGTAGGCCTGTTGTCGAGATGGCTCCCGATATCAACACGATGGCTCATTGGGCCACTGAGGGGTATGCCAACAATGGGGTGCCTCGAGAGGAATATGAAATTCCCGGTAAGTCGATCATTCTCGTTGCTCCTGGTCTTTGGATTGTCAGTCTTTAGATTGTCAGTCTTTAGATTGTCACAAACCAGGACTTGGGAAGCTGTCCTCCCGGCTTGTCTTTGGGTCCCTATCACCGTGTCAGTAGCACTGGCGTCCTGCCAGCACATGACCGTCTTCTGTATCGTTGAAACCTTCAGCTCGAAAACCAGGCCTCTAGCAATATTCCGCTGACGATGATGCTACAGATATCGTATTGCATGGCCCCTATACCAGGAAGATCCGAGTCTTGTCGATTGGTGCCGGTGTGACCGGCATTATGAATGCCTATCACATCCAAAAGTTTCTACAGAACGTGGAACATGTGATCTACGAGAAGAACTCTGATATCGGAGGCACTTGGCTGGAAAACAGATACCCAGGTATGTTTGTTATACACCGCTGTTCGATCGCGTTTCTTTCGTGGCTGTCTCTGCAAGGGCGATGGGGTGTCCTCTGAATGAAGACACGCCTCTGGGAAGAAACTCATCGTTGAGAGTATCCGACGGTGATGAGAGAGTCGAGTTCATTGTTTCAATCGCTGACCGAGCGAAAACAGGTTGCGCATGTGATATCCCCAGTCATGCATACACCTACCCGTTTGCTCTGAATGTGAGTTGTGTCCTCTCGACGACCCTTAAATTGAATCTTACCTCTAAACTCACAGCCCGATTGGCCTCGTTTCTTCTCCTACTCACCCGATATCTGGAAATATCTTGACAAGGTGTGCGAAGTATGGGGCCTGCGGAAGTACATGACTTTCAATACCGAAGTCGTTGGATGCTACTGGCAACAGCAGACAGGCGAGTGGCTTGTCAAACTCAAGCAGACGAATTCCGACGGAAGCACACGTCTCTTTGAAGACCGGTGCCACATGCTTCTTCATGGGACTGGTATTTTGAACAACTTCAAATGGCCCAACATTGAGGGCATGGAGAAGTTCAAGGGGAAGATCATGCATACGGCTCGCTGGCCCAAGGATTACCAGGCCGAGCAGTGGAAGAAGGATCGAGTCGCTGTCATCGGGTCTGGGGTAAGGTCCCCTGTTCTCCTCTTGCCGGGGCACATATCTGACCTCTTGTCGTTCGAACAGGCCTCCAGTATTCAGACAGTTCCAACCATGCAGCCACACGCCAAACACATCGATGTGTTTGTTCGGACGGGTATGTTTCCCACCTCGATGACTTCACTGTTGAGACTTCGGATCGACGGAGGTAAAGTTCTAACTTCTTGTGCGCAGGTGTTTGGTTCGTGCAAATTGCAAACAACTTTGGTGCAAACCATGAATATACGGATGAGCAGAAACAAGAGTTCCGTGACCCATACAAAATCACCGAGCACGCCAAATCCATCGAGGACCAGGTCAATGGACTCTGGGGTTCCTTCTATAAAAATTCGAAAGCCCAGGCAGAGGGACAAGCCGCCTTGAAGGCCCGCATGGCCGAGATGATCAAGGATGAGAGACTCCTTAAAGGCTTTACCCCGACTTTTGGCATCGGTTGCCGCAGGATTACTCCCGGTGACCCATATATGGAGTAAGTTTGGACCTTCCGTGGTGAATTCCTCGCAGTCTGACCAATTCTGCAGAGCCATTCAGAAGCCCAATGTCGATGTACACTTCACGCCGGTGGAAAAGATTGTAAGTCTTCCGCCAGATTCAATCATCCCGTCTTTCTCGCCAGGACTGTGGGATGCTAATGGTTCCAAGGACGAAACAGGAGTCATTGGTGGCGACGGCATCCACCGCGAAGTCGACACCATTGTTTGTGCTACCGGGTTCGACGTATCATACCGTCCTCGCTTCCCCATCGTCGGCCAGAATGGAGTCGAGCTCGCCGATAAATGGAAGGTCTGCCCCGAGGGTTACCTTGGCCTCGCGATCCCCGAATTTCCCAACTTCCTGACATTCATCGGACCCAATTGGCCAGTGGAGAACGGCAGCGTCATGGGTCCGCTGATGTACGTCTCGTACTACGCTCTGCAGATGATTAGGAAACTCCAGTCCGAGTACATTTGCAGCATCGCCCCGAAGCAGGATGTGACGGATGCGTTCAATGAACACTGCCAGGAATGGATCAGACATACCGTTTGGGTCGAAGAATGCCGATCATGGTGCGTAGACACCTCACTCTTTTTCCACACGCAGATCAAGCTGAGAACGTGGTTAAACTGACTCACTACCAGGTACAAGAACAACGAGACGGGTCGTGTGAATGCCGTTTGGCCTGGCTCCTCTTTGCATTACATAGAAACAATCAAATCACCCCGCTATGAGGACTTCGAAATCGAGTACCTCGGTCCGGCCAAGAAGAACATGTGGGCGTTCTTGGGCATGGGTACTGTCCAGGCCTTGGTCAACAAAGAGGATGTATCGCCATACCTCAATCCCGAGTCCATTGATCCAGACTGGATGAAGGCTGTGGGTATAGATGCGAGTAAATTGCACGAGACCAAGATGAAGGACCTGCAAGCCAAGCATGAGGAGCAGAAGGAGAAGAGCAAGGAGAACGTGGAGAAGGTTGTTGTCTCCTGAGGAATTCCGACAGGGGCGACGTGCCCCTTATGTAAAGGGTGAGGCAGCCTTATCACGTGAGTACAGGATCCGTGGACGCAAGGGGTTTCTAGAGTCTCCCAAACATAGTCTGTAGGTGAAGAAGAGTCATAGCAAGACCATGATTTCTGCATTTCACTGGAAACGGGAGGGTTTGTCATGTCTATACCCTCGGCGTTATGAAGTTTCTGGACGTCGATGTCACTGCTCAACCAGTGATCACGTGCCAGGGCGTTTCATCCATTCTGCGGAGAAAAAGGGCATCAAAGGGTAAACAAATTATTCGCACCCTACTTCCCCATGCGCGCCGCTCTCGGCTGTCACCAGTTTCATTGTCTGTGCCCATGAGTAGAGGGCTCCATTTCACTCCGTTTGCTTCGTATCTAGCTTTACACAGTTTCCCGTGCTTGCCGCGATCTGAGCACAAGTCCTACCGCGCACTTGTTCGACAGCATACAACTTCTGGGCGGTGACCGAACCGATGGAGATCCATTCCGTTTTACCTGAAGAGCGAGCACGAGATCCAAAAGGCGAGACTCTTCCTTGGGGTTATCGCTATGCAGAGTGAGTATTAAATACGAACTTGACTTTTCTCCTCGCAAGAGTCTCAGCACCGAAGACTGACACTTTGACTCGTCCTCGAATAGCTCGGCGAGAAATGCAAGACAACTACCAGAAGAGAGCGGGCCTTTTGGTCGCAATCGAAGCATAAGATCCACAGCATCACGAACGCCGCGTGCGAGGACAGGCACTACACCGGTTCGACAAAAGGAGAATACTGCCGTCGCCGAGTTCGGGAGGTTGTTTGCAAAGGAACAGGCGAAGGAGGAAGAGAGGAAGACTACGCTGCCATCTCCGCCGACGGCTTCAGGCGAAGCGCCCGCGACAGAACGGCCTATCCAGCCAGAAGCCGTGCCCACGGAATGTTTACTCTATGGCTACGCGGGCAAACAATCGGAATGGAAGGTCCTATCTAAATTCGAAAAGATTGTCTCCCCCGGTATAATTTGCGAAGACTACCCGCGAGAAGACCCCAGTCTGTACCTCTCCACGAACTCTCCGTTTGGCCTTTCGAGAGGCTCAGTGGTGGTTCATCAGAACCTAAGTCGTGAGGCGATTAAGAAGAGTAGGATATACTGTGGTGGGAACCACTGGATCAAGGTCACATTCGACTCCTACCAGGCTGCAGAAAGAGCATGCTTTTATAGCCCCATCGACATTGATGGCTACATGATCCATTGTGAGATGTGGCACGGGAAAGGCCCCGCAGCAGATGTTCCCTTGCCGAAAGGCCCTGCCTTTGGACCAGATGGGTCAGACCTTCTACAGCCACAGCCACCGCGACAGCTTGACGACGGTCGAAGAGTACGGACGTTAAGCTCGTCACAATCCTCGCGGATGCTATCGGGCAAGCAGTCGGCCATGGCAGGCTTCGAACGGGCACTGCAGACCCTCCCCCGATCTCACACAATGCCCGACATGCAATACGGCCAGCCTCTTGACCACGAAGACGAGCAAGTCTCTATCAATTCCGCAACCGCCTCTTCGGCAACCGCCACCGCCACCGACCTAGCTCCTCCTCAGCCATTCTCACCGCCTGGTCTACGTTCTCGCTCCGTGCCACAGCTGCCCAGTGAAACCGCCCAGCAACCCCGGGACTCGGAATACATGACACACATCAAGAACGTGAAAAAAGTGGTCTTGCGACCGATGTCAGAAGCTCTCCCCCCGCAGCCGACATTCGCGGAGAGAGTTCTGAGGAGTATCCCCATTGTGTCGTACTTCGTGGGTAGCACAAAGCACGGAACAACCGGGAGACAGGATGTTATAGGGGAGGGACCACTGCTCAAGGACGACGGGAGCTGGGATCCAGCTAATGGCTGGTACTGGAGCTTCTGGCACGGCGTGGACAGGTGGTTTGGGACGGACTTTTGTGGTCTGAAGGACGATTGAGGGTGCCAGGACATTGTACAGACTGATCCATCACTCTCAATGCAGACACGAATTGGAAAGCGCACATGAATAATTCAGCTATGCGAAATTGGCGATTCCTACACTCGAGGCGAAAACTAACGAGGCAGGCTTTCCAGTGGAGATGGTCATCATCACGGGGGAAGGCTTAACGCGTCACGAGCGACAACATCTCCAAAAATCATCCAGAAGATTGGGGGAACCAACAGGAGGGACTGAAAGGTGGTCTCTGGCACCGATTGGACTCCTGTTCGGCACCGTTTTCCCCCTACTAGGCTGGGATCGGATTCTTTTGGGCTGCGGTTCTCCCAGTGTGCAATCATGTAGTAGTAGTAGTAATTGTCCCACCACCCCTGATCTCTCTCCCATATGGTTCCTTTTTGGCGGTGGCAGTGGCAGTGGCAGTGGCAGTGGCAGTGGCGGCAGCGAAAGATTGAATAGGAGAGCAGTACCGAGTGCAGAGATCGAAAAACAAGCCAGTCTCCCCCATTTCAACACGCGTTTCCGCTAGGAGGTGACCATTCCTGTTTCCTCGCTGTTATGCAAAGAAGGGGGGGGTTCCATTGATACGGATTTCACTTCTTTTTGCATTTCCATGGTGTTTTTTCCCTTTTTAAACTCAGGCCCTTTTTACATTCGGGGAATCGCACCTCCACCCCACCAACCAGCGTATCTCGGGACTCTTCTCTACTCAACTTTGCCCTCGAAGTTCTCCCCTTCGACCAGGTCCGGGATCTCGTCGTCATCCTCGTCCTCGCCTTCTTTCTTGCCCTCGCCCTTCTCGCCGCCTTCTTTCTTCTGTAAACTCTGATACGACTCTGCCAAGCGGCGTAAAGAGGCGAGGCTGTCGGGGCCGAGTTGGTTCAGGATTCCCGGAACGAGTTCCGTGAGCTCCTTGTCTTCGCCGTTGCCGTAGATGGCGAACGTGTTGGAGGGAACTGAGGCGTGGACTGGAGTGCAAAAGGGAAGACGACATGTTAGCTTATGGTTCATCTTGGATGTCAATTATTCCGTGCACCCTTCTCATCCTCCTCTTGCTTTCGTGGTAATCTTTTGTCCCTCGGGCCTCCCCGTTCTCGCTGTGATGTTTCTGTAAAACTAGAGAGGACGTACCCTTGGGCGCGGCGAAATGTATCACATTGCCGTCTTCCTTAAACATGTTGACCTCCTCGATCGCCTGGATGGGCTGCACGTTCATCTTTTTAAGCGTCGTCTGGAGTTTCTTGTCGTCTGTCCCAGAGCTCTTGTGCACCTTCTTGGTTTTGCGGCGCGGGGTGCCTTTGCCTCTGTATCAAGAAATTGAAATGTCAGACGGAGGGGCATTCGGTCTCAAAATACGATGTCTTGGTCTCGGAGACCAAACGTAGTCTGAGGGGGGGGAGGTTCGAGGTACATACCCTATGTCAATTGTTAGCAGGGTGCACACAGGACATAGTTTTGTCGTGGATATTGAGAGCAACGTACCAATTCGCACCTGCGCCTGCATGCGCTTGAGCTTTTCTTGATCCATGGTGGCGGGTTGGCTGTCTGTTGCTGAGCTTCCCTCAGCTCAGATCGGTTCACGGCTCGACGGTTCGAAAGCGCAAAGCACACAAATTCGATTGCCCGGACTGAAATGACCTTTTCGCCGAGCCCTTGAATCCAAGACTCAAGAAAAGCTACAGAGGCGGTAAGGAAACCGGGAATAAGAGGCTCAGGAAATCTCAAGACAGGGCTTAGATTTCCGTCCTAGCTGTACAGGGATGAGGATGGGAGATGGAAAAGTGAATTGAGCTTCGGTTTGCGGGATGATCGAAGGACGTTCGACTTTGGGGATTTGTGCCCTTTATGACAGTCTTGGCGATTTTGCTGCCGCTTGAGACCTCGGGGTTTGTGTGGGAGAATCACGTGTGGCCGCAGGCATATGTCGAGCCAATAGGAAAAATAAGTGGCATCGTCTGACGAGAAATGGTACTGTTGAAGAGATTCACTATTGACTCAAAGGTAACGATCATTGAAAAGAGTCTTGATTCTGTCCTCGGACATAGCGGCATCCTTATCCTTATTAACAATACTAGCTATATTTGATCTGGCGCTCGCCTCGTCACTATTGAGCGACTGACTAGATCGCAAGATGGCGTCTATTCTCTGTCAGACCGCCACCTTTTCTTCCAGAGGCCTTGAAGGCCTTGTATTTGCGGGGAAATCTGCCTGCGCTTTGTTATTAACCTAGAATTACCAGGCACAGCACTTTGTTATACGGCCACCTGGAATTGGAGTAGCAGAGACCGTTCTTCAACTTGTTCATGATCTTCACCTATACAAATCGTGCCATTTTGCCGGCATTTGAGTTCGTCCTGGAGCAAAGTCATATCTCCGAAGCGTTGCTTGCCAACATCCCGGCCTCGGTTTCTCTTCCTAGACCTTCAGACTCTGGGCTCGCGTCCTCCCTTTCACTGCATTGATTAATGTGCCATCGACATCTCTCCCACAATGGCGGGCGTACAACCTACCAGGGATCAAATGTCCCAAGTCTGCGCCATAACACAGGTGGATGAAGCCTGCGCAAGGATTCTGCTCAAGGTGAGCTGGACAAATATCATATGGACACAAAGGACAACCATTAACGCCTTGCGGGACAGAAAAGCAACAACGACGTCAACGGTGCCATCAATACCTTTTTCGAAGACCCCGTGAGGTCCGTGATAGAAGAGCCCGTAAGCTCGCTTCGACCGTCGCTCAGTCCGAGAAATGCTCGCTAACACGTGGGTGTGAGCACAGCCTGCTTCGAACGACTGGCAGTATCAAGACAATATTCCATGTAAGAGCTGGGGTACACACACCGACTAGAGTGCTTCTATACTGACAAAGGCCTTCTCTGCAGTCCAAGATGATGCGAGCATGGGAGGAGTCGCCGCTCTATCTCGCCCGCCTTCGCGAGCCGACCATTCCATGATGGACCTCTCCTCCGAGCATGCTGCCGCTTCAGCAAGCAATGTCAAATCCCTCAAAGAACAAGAAGAGATGAACGATCCAGACCTCCAGCGTGCAATGGCTGAGTCACTAGGGCAGGCCCTGCCAGCACAGGAGGACGGAGTTACAACAACCGGGGCACACTTCGGCCCTGCCAACCGGGAATACTACGATCCTAGCAGTTGGGCTTTAACGACCTATTCGACCTCGCGGGAGATCATTGAGCATCCGCCACCATCGAAGCGGCGAAGAACAGGCGGTGCACCCGCTTTTCTGCGTGGCTCAAAGGACACTGGCTACTTGGGATCCTTGCTTACTATCTACCACAATATCCCTCTCGCTCGCCAAGCGCTTCTCATGCCTGCTATGAAAGTCCATGCCTATGCCCACGATAATAGCTGGTGGTCAGGGGCCACTGACGAGAACACCAAGGCCCTTTCGACCGACAATACTCTCCGGATTGACCGGCAAGAGTGCAATCTGCTTACCGAAGTGCAGTGCCTGATGGCTTTCCTTGACAGAACCACTCGCGCCTACGGCAGTGTCGATGCTTTGGCAGATTTGCAGGCCATTCGCAACCGAGCCGACGCCACACCATTCCATCGCTTCCTAGAAGCTTGGACATCTGCTGCTATGAAACAGGCCCCTCAAGAGCAACTGACGCAGGTTTTCAGTTCCGTGGCGACAAAGGCGGGAGGTCTGGGCGACTCCGACGCAGCGGAGAAAACCCTGAATTGCATCGACCCTTTCATCAATCATTTCCCAGGCGAGACGTTGACCGATTTGCTCGACAACACGATCTGGAATGATGAACATGGGAACATCGATGACGTCTGGATCAGCCATTGCGCGGAGATCTTCACCATCCGAGTCCATGATCCTAACAGCACGTCTCGGAGCTCGGAACTGCAATTGGATCCCGTATGGTACCCCGATCGGTACATGTACGAATGCAGAGAGCAGATGCAGCAGATACGCAAAGAGCTGCAGTCTATCCGCCGGGAGATAGACCAATACACTCACATTCAACGCCGCTGCCAGATTTACAAGTCGTCCGATAACAGACTTCTCGATGTTGGTGAAGTTCTCAATTCTGCAGTCAAGGCTTCGACCACGGTGTTGGGTAAGAAATCTGTCTCAAATGGCTTTCTTGACAGCCAGGCATCCGGAGCACAAGACACAGTCAACCAGGCCGACGTGGACGAGCTCGGGTCGGCATTGCAATCGGTGCTTCAAAAGATTCGGCAAAAGTTGGACTCTCTGGAACAACGCAAAAACGAGCTTCGTCTCAGGAGCCGCCAGATCACAATGCGACTCACAAAACCCACGCCAGAGATTCCGGACGTTCCTAATCGCAAATACACACTTCAGGGCGTCGCGACCAAGCCCGGAGTCACCTATTTCCGACGACAAAACACAAAAATCAACTACCTGATCGACGACGATGTATTGGACCAGGACAGCCTAACTGGTGATTGGTGGAGAACTGCGTGGTTACAAGACGAAGCCCAACCCGCCATCTTCCACCCTCCAATGGTTGGGCCCGTGACTAGAGCCCAGGCAGAGGCAATCAAGCAGGCAGAGACCGCCCCTTTCTCAATCACCAGGGTCCAGCAAGCCGAAGTGCTGGAAGCGGTCAGGAAGGAATCCAACTCAGTGCTGCTGGTATATGCCAACGAAAACGCGATGAACTTTCAAGGGGGCGAAGTAGGCATTTCACTCCGGCATTTTGTAGACCGCGATAACCAAGCATTTGCGGAGGAACTGCAACAAGAAGAAGGTCCACTACCTGCTGCAGCCGCAGATCATGAAGTCGAAACCGAATTTGAAGACGTCCCTTTGATTGACCCAACAGCTTCCAGCGGTTCAGTGCGTGAGCTCACACCTATGTCGACCTCGAGCCCCGACCATGAGGACACGCAACCTTCGCCTAGAAATGAGACAGAAGACAGTTCGCCCCGCTTTCTGGAACAGCCGCCGTCATACGAGGAAACCGTCGGCAAGCAGGAAATGCAGGAGAGAAAGGGCAATAAGATTGGCTTGTACGCCGAACAAATGCTGCAAAGATACGGAAGCGACACGGTCCAGGAAAAGGGAGAAAATGATAGTGGCAGCGGCTTCCTGGAGGTTGAGGATGCAAATGCGGTGTAGGGGACATGAATCTTAAAGAAGTCAATGTCACGACACGAAAGTTGGATGTCTCAGTGGCTGCTCTTTGATCCGGCTGAAGACGGTGACGCTGGAGGGGATATTGTTTCCGTTGGTGGACTTTTGGATATGCATCTCGAGCGCCGTTCAGCCAAACAAGGTTCAGGATACCGGCTTCGTGCTGTCTCGTTGGTCGCCTTTCGACTGCAAAGTTGCACGAGGAAAGGGATGTGCCGTTTTTGAGAGCTACTCGTACAGGTTGGGGTTACACGGCAGAACCTTGACAGCTTGGGGCCATGTGACACTGGGCGATGTGTTCCCGACCGGGTTGATATCGAAGACTACTGGCATCTCTTGGACACATTGACAGGGAGATGGAGAACAATGAGAGAAGTGGCCACTGCATCACCCAGAGCATCTGGACATGTTCGAACCATTCTCGAACATATGCCACTGCCGCTGCCACTGCAGATTTGGCTGTCGCAGAGCCACGGATGCACGGGGATGGCGACTTTGTAGACGGTGTGAGAGTGGGGGGAAGCGGGCCCGTGTGGCGCAAGTTTGACTCTTTGTCTCCTCCACTAGCGAGACTCAGCAGCGGGCAATGTTGCCGTCTTCAAGGAACTAAAGAAATACCTTTCTTGGAGCCACTGTCCCCTCTCCACTTGTGAGCCAGTAGTCAACAGTGTGAATGTCCTGTTCAGGGCGATTGGGATGGCTGCGGGGCCCATGTCCTGACACGCGGCACAGACCAGTCTTCAAGGTGTTTGGTCTGCCATTCATGTGGCCAGTCAGCACACCCTCCTCCAATGTGCCCAAGCTGACAAGCTGGTGTCTCTGTCTAGCGCCAGAAAGGTCCATGGGAAAGGTCTGCGGAAATGCACCTGGGGAATTCCGCGAGTCCTATCAGCAGCCAATTCATCCACGGAGCGCCGCAGGCTAGGAGCCAAGCAGTCATGCGGGTTGGGAAGATCATTCAGGGCTACCCCTCGCTGTTTCAGGTACCGAGCATTTGACTGCGGCTCCGACTAAAGCAACAAGGATACTGGAGCCATGAATGCTCTCTCGGGTTAGCGATTCAGGTGAGCTGCAAAAGTCCATGAGACTTCTCAAAGGGCCTCATAGCTCATGTTGGGGGCTGCCTGCAAGTACTTGAACTGACCAGCACGCACAGTCAAAGCAAACCTGCAACGAGACGAACGACGGCGACGACGTGACCTCCTACGACGACCCCACGTGGTTGAGTGTTGGTTAGGACAAAAGAGCTACGAGACACCACGGTCTCGGGGAACCCTCAGAACGAATCCCACAAGCCCCCCGTTCCGTCGCATTTGAGGGAACTCGCCCAATCGGAAGTTTAACGCGATAGGTACCCAATAGGCCCTGCGGTCCCTCAAAAATCCAGAACTCGAAGCCCCCTCTTCAATACTAGTGTGTGGGAGCAGCTGGAAGCTGATCTGGTGGTCGGCGGAGGATCGAGTTTGTGATTGAGGGGTCAGTGGTCACCAGCCCCGGCAGCGCCGTCACGGCCTCACGATCATTGGTACCCAGACTCTGAGAAAGACAAACCGACGGTGCCACTCAGCACGCTGGTGTGGTGGCAGAAGAACATGCACGCGCGGAGCATTCGAAGATCGAGTCACCCCCCTACGGAGTCAGCATCCCCCGTTATCGTGTCAATTGGGCAGGGAGGAAAAGGAGGAGAACGAAATGGTCCCTAGCCCTATGGGCAGCAAGCAGGGATATGCCAGACTCCCTTGACCCTGTCAACTTTTTGCACTTGGAAGGCCTGGGGCGACCGACGGGGCTAGAAGGGACGTGCGTTTTGGATGCTTATCACTGCCCTCCGAACTCCGAGAGCTATTCCCTCCCCCGGGAGGGCTCCAAAACTCAGTCTGGCCCAGCTCATGAAACTCAAGCTCAGTCGACAAACGTCCTCAGAGAGCAAGAAAAAGAGGTGGCCAGTCAAAGAAAGGGACACACAGGCACACAGGCAAAAGGTGTTCGGCTGCAACCCGCCATTCGCGCTCTTCAGAAATGTGCAAATTACCCTAACCCAGTTGGCACGGAAGCGTCCATTTCGTCAAGCCGTTTATTGGTGCTCGATAGTGCCTGTCACCAAACTTCCACACCCAGAGCGCCTCAGAGGGACACCAAAATACGGAGTACCCGTTCCCTTTCTTTCTGGTTTAACTCGGACTCGACTCGGAGGGTGCTACTGTCTGCTGTCCCGAGTCTACGGTCGGGGATCCAATTACGGCACCATTCTGTATCTCTGGCGTCTCCTATTTGGCTGCCTCAGGCATGAGACTTCTTCGACTTTGACCAGATAGGGTACGTTCACCATCACCACTCCCTCGCTGGTCGCGCCCCCAAGGCTCTTGCCCCTACAGTGCCTAGCCACTTACAGCTGGGAGGCGGCATCTCTCGCACACACTCCTCAAACTCTCCACCAGATCTTTAGGACTCATACTGGCTCCCACAACAACTAGCAACATCCCCAATCGCCTAACGGATACCTGATCCTACGACCAACCGACGGCGTGGTCCCGACTCAAACGGCATACCTCTTTTCCCTGAAGTTTGCCCACCCCCGTGTCCGACCTCAACCGACTCCGGTAATGATCTTTTGGTCCAGATACCCACGCCAAAGCTTGCGATAGCTTCATTAAATTTACGCCATCCACCAAAACCCCGTGGCCAAACCCATCGGATCTCCCTTCCTCGTCCTCGCTTGAATCCTGACAGCCTGATCCGGCCTCGTTTCTCCCCCGACTGCCATTCAAGAACCTCTCAAGCGAACTGCGCCGTGTCTTTGGTTTCGTGTGCAGGTGTACTGAAAGTCCCCTACCTGATCCCCACTGATCATCTCTCCGCGTTTATCTCTGCTCGTGGTGGACACGGTGGAAGCTTACATATCTGGGCAGGGCCAATATCAGCTGCCAAACACCCCCTCTCGGCTTCCACCACTCAGCACCCTGGCCGTGCGGCCTGTTTAGCGTGGTGCGCACCCAGGCCCTACTGCCCGGCTCCATCTCCACCACCCGGTCGCCGCGCGATCGCGATTTGTATCTCGCCCTGCCCACCCTGCGCCTCCAGCTGGGTGCGAGGCGTCTTGGAAGGCCATCTGCAAGCCACAAGGGTGTCGGATTGGCACGATTGATCATCCTGGCGTCTGCCAAACACAGGCTCCCCAGGCCTAGCCGTTCTTTATCGCTCCCTATCGACAGGGTCAGTCGACGCCGCCAAAATATTCCGCGTCGTTAGAATCGCTATCCCACCTCTGCATCTCTCTCAACTTCCTGGAATCCTCAGCCCTTTTCCGACTGAACTGCTCTCCCCGTCCCATTCTTTGTCCTTCTGTCTTCATACATCTCTCCCGCACCTTGTCGCTATAACCTGAGAATATTGTCATCATCTTCGACTTCCTTTGCTCTGTCATTCGTCTCGCTCTCTCATCAATTGGCCACTTCGCTTTGCGACGGTCGACGCACGATCGACCCTGCGGTGGATACTCCTTTTCTTACCTTTGAGTATCGTCTTAGGACTTGTCGGTACTTGTCACATCACCCCTCGAGATTGATAACTACTCTTGCTGGGAACTACTGGAGCTGTTGCTGTCACCGTTTCAGGTTTCACAAGTATCACTTCGGTCTTGACCCTCCGGGCACTGGCAAATAACTCCCCACTGAGTCCCGGAATCTATCGTTCCCGTTTACGGCCCTTTGCACAGCATTTTGGGTATTGACTCGGTACTCAGAACCGGCACATCTTCAATCGCAAAGAGCTACCAAACTATCTCCATCCTGAATGTGTAATTGCACGGCGCTCAACCAATTCCCCTTCAAGCAAAGTGTCTTGCTCCTGGTTTATCCTTGACATTCTACTGTCAAAGGAGCCTTCTTGCCGTTTCCAGTTCAGCTCGGGTTAGTGGTAGGCGAAGGTCCGACTCTCCCTACTCCTCCTCGCTCTTCGAAGCATGAGTGTGGTTGCATTTAATTTCCCGGAACCTCGACTGCAGCTTAGTTTGTCGGATTCATATACTATGCCCGCGCATCCTTTAGGGTTTGAGGGTGCGGCTGCCGACAGGCGGATGTCGAGCGCGAATGAAGCCGCGCTCATGGCTCTGCCGACAGTCATGTTGCGACGTCTGCCACGAAATACGACCCTCGAGGCGGTGCGCACGATGCTTTTGTTCGCCAAAGACCTACAAGATACCGAGATCATCCCGAACGAGTATGAAGAAGATGCCGGCTTCACCACCGCGGTCGCTCGATTTGGTTCCATGGCTGGGGCAACTGAGGCACAAACCATGCTTGATGGCAAGCCTAACACAGCTGGACAGGCCAAAATGATTGTGGAAGTGATAAACAACCCATCTATGGCAGCAATACCTCGACGCAACACCATTGATCCTCTGGCTAGCCGCAAAATAGGCCAGTCGGTGTCGCCCTCCATGGCCAGCGCCCAGAAATCCTCGCGGTTTAACGGCACCTTCCAGTCCATGGACAAGACGTCTCCGCCGCCTGTGGGATCTCCGCCAGAACTGGTGTCATCTGACACCAGTTCCCAACTGCAGACGATCTTTTCGCCGCAGTCGCCTATACCGAGTGGCCTGGCGGATCGCCCTCGAGCCAGCGGAAAGAAGGTAATCAACGAAGACGGCGCAGATGACGACACGGGCGAGTTGCTGAAGGATCCCCTGGCGTATATGAACAACTCATCAAGCAACCCAACGGGCAAAAAGCCAAACAACCCGCATATGCCTACTGGTGCCTTCTCGGCCCTCTCCCTGAACACCAATATTGGGAACGGGGCGGCGTCCAACTATGCATCTCCTCGGTCTGCGGTCGGATCTCGCACACCTCACGCGCAATTTCCTATAATAGGGCCCAACGGACACTACTCGATTCCCTCTCAACCCTACCTACGGCATAACTATCCGCCTGTCAATCCTGCCGACCAAAACCCACCCTGTAACACCTTGTATGTTGGCAACTTACCGATTGACACCTCGGAGGACGAGCTCAAAGCGATGTTTTCCAAACAGCGCGGTTACAAAAGGTTGTGCTTCCGGACCAAACAGAACGGGCCAATGTGTTTTGTGGAATTTGAAGACATTTCGTTTGCAACCAAGGCCCTGCATGAGTTGTACGGGGCGCAGCTCCATAATAGTGTCAAAGGGGGCATCCGGTTGAGCTTCTCGAAGAATCCGCTGGGAGTCCGTGCTGGTCAGCCCGGTAGCAACAACCCAAGCACGCCCCTTAGCGCCACGGGGCCGATGAGTGTCAGCGGATACAGCAATGTCACGCCTGGTGGCTTTTCGACGGCTAGTGGACCGCCTCCAGGCCTGTCGGTTCCGCCAGGACTCAACATGTCCCTGGCCGGGATGAATGGCGCTGGTGTCCCTCCAGGGGCTTTTGTGAATCAAGGATTCCCTCTGGGAGCTAGTCCGGCGCCCAATATGCGGGGGATGGCGATGAACGGTGGGGCACCGGGACCGGGAGGAGTCGGGGGAATCTATCCCGACTACATGCTCGGACGGTGAAGGAGGCAGGCTGCAGGAGAGAGAGAGAGGGTGCAGTGTTACGGGGATGCACGATCATCATATTTCCAGCATGGTGGAAAGTCTAGCATGGGTGTGATATTGAACTGCTTTACGGCTAGCATACATCTGTCCAGCTTGGGACCTGGGCAGGGAGCATATGTTTTTGGGGATTTTGGGCTGAGCCGACATGGCGAGATTGTCGTTGATTGATTTCCAAGCACAAAGATTCCCCCTTTAGCAGACAACAAGCAGGCGGGCAAGCGACATGGCGTTATTTTCTGATTTGGTCTAGGCCGCAGAGTTTTTGCGGCCTGGAAGGGAACCACAGGAACCAGACACCGGGAGGGCAGATTTCTACCATGATGTACTCACTGTCATTATCGAAGCGATTGTTTATTTTGCATTGGTGGGCTGGAGCAGACATTCCGGGCGAGGATAGGGCATGAATTTGGCACTTTTTGCTCGGGATGGACGGTAGACATATGGTTGCTTTTGGACACAACTTGGTGGACCGAGCCTTGACGGCGACGGCAAGGGTGGATTAGGGATCATTTGTGCAAGACTCTGGGAGGAGGAGCGTTCTGACTTGTGACGAAAACAAGCTCCATTGCATGGGGATTATGAGATGAAGAGCAAAGGCCACAGGAAACTGTTCAGGACGGTGCGCATATGTTTTGATTTTGGTTTGATCTGTGTTTGCTTTGTTACCACTGATTCCGGGTTGAGTCTTGAATTTGACTTATAGCGAGGCATGTAGTTAGCGACGGCACGATCGATGGAATGGTAGATTGACCTGGGGAGGAGACAAGGCGTGGGCTTCATCGGCTATTGAACGGGTTCTAATAGCTCGAGGGTGAGTAGTATAGAGTGGAAGTTGGAGTGGTGATTTGCTGCTGCTTGGCTGGGTTAGTGCTTTGATATAGAGAGTTAAGATGAAGGATAACTCGAGATGTCAATCCAAGGAAGTAGAGGTAGAGAAACGACAGAAATAATTGAACGTCGTTGATCGAGATGCGTTGCAGACTTAGCAGCTGGTGCTGCGGTGGCTGCGTTGGTCGATGCAGGTGTGATGGGCTGCGGCGGTGATGGCGGCGGCAGCTGGCAGTTGGCAGCGAGTGGGAGCTTGTACTCCGTATGCATGCCGGTATGGCGGAGTGGCGAGTGGCAGACAGAGGGACAGGTACCGAGTAGGAAGCGGTGATAAGTGGCGAGCGGGTGGGGTTGAGAGAGACACACAGTAAGACAGACTGGAGACAGAAAGCTAGAGGAGAGAGGAGAGAGGAGAGAGTACGAGGTATTACAGAGAGAGATACTATCGACCCTTTTGGCTGCCGCTGCTGAAGAACGACACGACAGCCTCTCAACATCTCATCAACTCTTCCCGTCTCCCAGACTGCGCAACTCGAGCCCAAACAGTTCCTGCACCGTCCTGCCACGGCTCCTCTAGCTCCTACAGCTCTTCCAGCTCCTCCAGATCACCGAATTCTCCATTCTCACCCAGCATTCCATTCACTGCCGTGGTTGAACGGGCCACACTCCATCCGCTTCCTCCTCGTCTTCTCTGCTTCTCTCCTCTCTATATCAACACACCGGGGGCATGACAACCATCTCGGAATGGGGGGTTCCTCTACAACCACAATTGCTGCCATTGCCCTTGCCATCATCCTCCCTCCCTCAGCTGTGACCAGTCGTCCGGGATGCCGTTGTCGAGAGCCCGTTCACGCCCGCGCATTCCTCTATTCCGCAGTCTGAGTGCCAGTGCCGCCGCTCCCCCCGATGCCCATGACCACGCCACCACCGCCCAGGATGAAATCCAGCCCCGTCAACGCTCGTCCGGCGGCTTCAGTCTCCCCACGCTGTCCACGCTCGCCAGCTTCAATTTCCATCGTCGACCACGCACGAAATCCATAGGCAAGCGCAAGAGCGTCGCCGTAGAAGAAGGCCCCAGTCCAAGCCCTGACCTAGCAAGCACCACATCGACCCAAATCGCCCCCAGACTGAGGCCTAGTAAGCCCAAGGATCTCCCGCTGCCGCCGCTGGGGTCGCCCAATAACAACACCGGTGACACCAACACCACCACCTCACCAGCCACAGTTGCACCCACAACACCCTCCACACCCACCCAGCTTGAGCCTGAGCCTGCTAGTGGCCCCGAATCCACCGTGGCCCTTGTGGCTCCTGCTTCACACTCGCTTTCACTTTCTCTTCACCCCGACACCAACTCGAGCACCACCGCCGACACGAGAACCTCCATCCCGACCCCAAACACCCTGCCTTCCACGCCTTCAGTCAACAATCCTAACACCAGTGTGCCTTCCCCTCCGGCTCCCTCGGCTCCTGCTGAACCCGTCTGTCCCGTGGTCCGCGTGCAGCGTCCCTCGACTCCGACCGTCCCGACCCTCGCCTCTATAGAATGCCTTCGACATGAGACGCTCGACGCTATGCAGAGAAAAATATGGGTGAAGCGACCCGGCGCCTCTCCGACCAGAGTCGAGGTCGCTGAAGACGACCTGGTCGACAATGTGCGCGATGTCATCTTGCAAAAATACGCCAACTCTCTGGGGCGCAGCATCGATGCCCCGGACATCACCCTCAAAATCATCAGCCGTGAACACAACAATAAAAATGTGAGCGCCGAGCGTGCGTTGGGCCCTGAGGAGCCCATTGGCGCCACCCTCGACGCCTATTACCCGGGCGGCCAACAGGTCGACGAAGCTCTCGTTATCGAAGTGGCTTCTCGCAGAACTCCCCGCGCGTCTCCTCGCGCCGGAAACCACCAGATCTCCTACTACTATACCGATCAATACCGTCCCGATGACGCTGCACGAGAATACTTCCCTCCCATGCCACTCCACTCTCCTCACCTTGCTCATGTCCCTCATCCCAACTCGGTTTCTCATTCCATGGCCGTCTTGACCACCGGCCAGTTACCCCCTCTACCCAGTCCCGGCTCACACGGCCAGAGAAGACACGCAAGACCCAAATATGGAAGGCAGCACACAAGCAGTCCGACCATCCTCCACACGGTTCAGCCGAATGGTCAAGTTTTAGGTACGTTTTCATGACCACAACGGCCAGATGGGGGAGGATGCTCAGTTTTGATGAACAGAATCTAAAGCACAGCTCAATGGGCCCACTCCTTCGGCAGCTCCCCTCCCTACCCCTCCGGCCCAGGGACCGAACGAGCACAAGCCTTCGATCACGCCCCCCAACCGAGTCTCATCTCCACATCCGGGGCAAAAGCTGAGGAGGAGGAAAGGTCCTGCCTTTGGCCGCTCCGTCAACGGTGACCCGCAAGCTCCTCCAAAATCTCTCCCCGCGGCTGCAAGCCTGTTGGACGGCACAGTTCCTCCCATCAATGTCTTGTTGGTGGAAGACAACGTTATCAACCTGAAATTGCTCGAGGCCTTTATGAAACGCCTAAAGGTGAGATGGAAATCTGCAATGAATGGTAAGGAAGCAGTCGCCATGTGGAGGACAGGTGGATTCCATCTGGTCTTGATGGATATCCAGCTGCCCGTGATGAATGGCCTGGAAGCCACCAAGGAGATTCGACGACTCGAGGCCGTGAATGGTATTGGCGTTTTCAGCGGCAGCCCCATCGAGACTGCCCTCAGGAATCCGCAGATGAACGGAAGTCTTGTTGGTGAGGCCGATGCCTTGCCTGACCGCAGCTTGTTCAAAAGTCCGGTCATTATTGTGGCTTTGACTGCAAGTAGTTTGCAGAGTGACAGGCACGAAGCCTTGGCTGCCGGCTGTAACGACTTCTTGACAAAGGTAGGCCTCCGTACCCCTCCAAGAGCTTTCTGCCGCGTGCTAACTTCTCCCCGCACAGCCGGTCAACTTCGTATGGATGGAGCGCAAAGTCACCGAATGGGGCTGTATGCAAGCACTGATCGATTATGATGGGTGGAGAAAATGGAAGCAGTATGCTGAGGACAAGAATAATGAAGATCCAGCCAAGAAGGCGGCTGAAGAGAAAGAAGAAAAGGCCAAAGCAAAGGCGGCCCTCAAGGCCATGTTCTCGAGACCTCCGCCAACCACCAAGAAGGACAAGGACAGTGCGGCAAGTAGTGGATCTAACACCACAACTACTACAGGGTCGACGACAACCAACCCCAGCACCGAGAGAGCCTCCACTCCGGTGCAGAACGGAACGCCCAAAAAGGGGAGCGGTCCGAGCCAAGGCTCAGGGACAAGAACCCACAAGAGCACTCGAAGCACGGCCAGTGTAGGTGGAGGAAGCCTGGCGAGCATGGCGGAGGAAGACGAAAAGGCAATCTAAAAAGGAACCCTCTATCGTGGGGAGTCAAGAGGAGGAATTCTGTTTTCCGATATCACTCTTTGCCTGGTGCGGGCTGAGACCTTGCTTTCAACGTTTTCGTCGATTCGAGCGTGCATGATACACGGAGTTCGTCGCTCATGGGAGCCAAACACCCACTGGGGTGGTCAGCATTCTCCTTTGTTTCTGGAAGTGGGCTCTTTGCGGTTCGGCTCACGGCCAGGCAATGTCGAGAGGGTCATGAAATGGTTGGGTCAAAGGAGGATGTTGTCCTTTATAATCCCCTTTTCTATATTATTTGCAGCACACATATTACGCACTGCTGTTTTCGCGTTGAGCGTTTAGCCATGCTCCAGATTTCCAGACAATGACGATTTATTTTCACATGCTGGACCTGTTGGGCGTATTCTGTTTTCAATGAATGACATTGTGGAGGAGAACCTTGGTGTAGGTATCAGGGGGCCAATTGCAGATGAAGCAAGGCTGAATCAAGAAGGCTGCCAAGTTTTGTAGAGCAGCATGACGTCGACCTGATCTACAAATCCGCCAAACCTCAATTCAACTCTCCGCACACCAGTGTAGGCTTCCAGATGAAACCGAGACCAGTCTGTTCCTGACATCCTTGTTTACATTCGTCATCATGTCGGCCAAGATAGCAAAGACTATTGCGCGCCAGAAGGAAAAGTAAGTGGAATTCCGTATTTGATCCGCCTGCTGCTGAGCTTGATGTCCCCTCGCTTCAACCAAATCCGCGGCACATGCAAACAAAAGTCACTCTTCTCTTCACGCTCGGAGACTCTAACAGGCGACTTTCAGGATTGCCGAAGGAAGCTTCTACGAGGCGCACCAGCAACTCCGTGTCATCACTGCCCGCTATCTCAAAGCCTCGGACTACAACTCAGCCTGCGACGTGCTGTACAATGGCGCCCTGCTCCTCCTCCGCGCCGACCAAGGCGGCTCTGGCGGCGACCTGGCGCTGATGTTGTTGAACGATGTCTACGTCAAAGGCGAATACCCATGTGACGATGAGAACAAAAAGAGGTTGTTGGAGATTTTCCACGCATTTCCCAAGGAGGAGCCCACCAGGAAGAGATTTGTGAGCGAGATGGTGAATTGGAGTGGGAAGTTTGGGGATTTGGAAAGGGGGGATGCAGAGATCCATCACGAGGTGGGAATGGCGCTTGCGGAAGGTAAGTTGAAGAAGAAGAAGAAGGCTCTTTCGTCCTTGCGATCTAGTCGGGCAGTCTCTCCGCCAGAAACATTTTATGCAGCGGCACAGTCTCTAACAATCAGGGATTTCTATAGAGGGCGAAGCATACGATGCCGAACGGCACCTCGTCATTGGCACACCAGCCTCAGCCTCTGTCCTCGCCAGCCTACACTACGTCTGGTACAAGCTGGACCAGCCGCACCTTGCACCCATCTACGCCTCGCGGTCCGTTCTCCCCTACTTGCTGGTCGGCAACCTCTCGAATGCGAACCTCGCCCTGTCCGCCTTCACGTCGCACCTCACAACCCAAAACCCGAATTTACTATCAATGTCTCAGCCCTTGGAATCCGCCAAGTCGGGCCTCTCGCTGCGAATCTTCCCTTCGATCCCTCTCCTCAACTTCCTTTCTCTGCTGTTACTCGCCTGCCAGAAGGCCGACGCAGGCCTGTTCCGCCAACTCGCGAAATTCTACGCCCCGCACCTGAAGGACGTCGAGGGTCTGTGGAGCGAGGCTTTGGCACACATTGGAGAGATCTGGTTCGGGATCAAGATCCCCAGGCAGAACGCCGGGAATCCGTTGTTTGATATGATGGGCAGTATGCTGTTCGGTGGACAGCAGCCCGGGGCGAAACCGGCGACGCCGAGGTCGGGCACGCCGAAGCCTGCAGGAGGGCGGGGCGGTGCAGCAGCCCGGAAAGAAATCGAAAAGCCACCCACGATGGATTTGGATTGAAACTCTGTGTTGATGTCCCTTTAGGGGTAGAGGATGGGTGCGCGGGTAGCGATGGTAGTCGTGATTACGGAGACCGCAAGCAGCCTCACGGCGCATTCTGGGTTGATATTATCAAGGAGAGGTTTCTACACGTCCGATTGGTGACTAGGATACAGATACAGAAATGGACCACCGTTGGATGCCACGCTTCGTCTCCTCTCCACTCCGCCCCGCCCCCGCCCCCGCCCCCGGCCACCCGTCCAACCGGACAAACATTACAGGTGCGGATGCGCGTGACTTCCGGTATCAGTGCCATTGTGTTTGGTACAGGCTTCATACCCGCTCATGGAATCGTGGATCTCGTAATGCCGCAAAACAGTCTCTCGCTTTTCCCACAGCACCTCTTTCGTCCCTTTGTGGCTGGGCCTCTGGACTCCAGACTCCAGACGCCAGACCTGATCGTGGTGATAATGATGAAAACGCGCCCCTCATAAAAGAGTACTTCCACGCTGTAATATACATGGTGCGTAAGAACAAAGGGAAAACGAGGGGCGTCAAACTCGCGATTTTGTAAATGCCACAGAATTTCTCTTTAATCGTACACGCCCACCTCGTCCCGCCCTGCCATCGCTCCCATGCCCAAGGACTCGCCGAACATCCAGGCTTCTTCCTCCGCCCTGGCCACCTCCCTGCGTAAACTGCCCATGATTAACCCCATCAACTCGTCTTTCTCAGCCTCCTCGTCCTCATCAACGGCAGTCGAAGTCGAGACTTTTCCTTTGGCTCGCGCGCGTTGTCTTGCCATCATCTCGCGCAACAGCCGCTCGATGCGTTCGCGATCTCGTCGTTCTTCGTCCGCCTCGGCCTCGGCGGCGGCGGCGGCCGCCGCCATCACCGCGGCATGCTCGTGGTCCGCTCTTGAAATGTGGGACGGGTAGTCGTCATAGGCGACGTGACGTTGCGCTCCCCGGCGTCCCGTGCGTCTGGTGTCGGATTGGACAGCCGGGTTGTGGAAGTCGTCCTCGGAGAAACCGTGATCCTGCGCGTTACCTAGCTCCTCGGCGTCCTCCTCGTCTCCTCCGTCGCCCCCCTGCTCTTCTCCGAGCCCGTCGTCCGAGTCCGTCAGTCTCAGTCTGCCAGGCAGCACGGGGAGCTTGGGCAGCACCGGACGCCCTGTGAGCGGATTCAATGCAACGATCGATTGATTAGGGAAGAGGGAAGCGGAGGATCGAGGACTGAGCGGCCTATGGGGAGAAATTGTAGGATCGTAGCCATCCACTAGCGCCGCGCGGTGAGGAGGTGACAGCTGCGGTATTGGAGGTGGGACAAAAGCAGAGCTGGTGCCGTTATTAGCGGGATCGTGAAAAGGAGACGACCGTGGCGGGGAGGGGGAGAGCGACGGCGTGGATACTGAGCGTTGGTGGCCTCGTAAACGCGGGAGGTTACTCCCGTACTGCTGCTGCCCCTGGGTTTGTGACTGTGATTCGTGCCGTCGAGCTTGACTGTTGGACTGTGATTGCGATTGCGCCCCCGAGGCTGGGCGTCGTGATAGATGTGCAGAAAATAGATTTCTTCGCACCGAACCTGCGGTGACTGGATGGGAGGTTGAGGATAGGAAGGACGACGAGTTGGGCGAGAGGTCGGCCGTGTCGTGCGAAGAAGGGGCCATTTTAACAAAATAAGCTGGCGGACACCTGGTCGCCCGTAGCAGGAGATGAGCCGAAGGACGTCTGAAGTGTTTGTTTCTCCTGATTGCCAGGTTCCGCGAGGTGGTAATACGCCGAGGTTTCAAACAGCAGCGGGATCCCGTGCGAAAGCGGCCAAGAGTAAATACGCAAAAGGCTCCGCTTCCGCCAATCAGAGCCACCGCAGCCCCAAAACATCTCAGCCTCGCCGCATTCCCCGCGAAGTCTCCTTTTCCTATCTAATACATACCACGACACGAGCGCCTCCAATACGACCGCGACTGTTGCATGAGACGGCGATATCACACGGCGAGACCATGTCGGTAGTCAGCTGTCATCTCGCTCAGGCCGACCCCAGAGTTTCATTCCATTCGACAATCCCGGATCTACATCGGTTGGACACCAGCATTAGGCGTCCAGTGAGCCGCATTCTGAGTGAGGCCAATACAAGGGTCGTATCGACATGTCCCGCTCATGGCTGTACGCATTTTCAAACGAGAGACCTGCGAATAGTTCGCCAATCGACTGCCTTACGGCCAGCCCTACTGTCCGAGTTTGTGCTGGCCTGATGGTATTCCCCACGTCGTGTCGAATACAGCTATATATGTGTTCTTCGCAATCATGTCCACGCTGCCTGTCTCCCCGTCTTTGTCCATTGAAACTATAATAAGCATCAGCAACATTGGTACTCCGAAACACAATGGCGACTGGACCGGATGAGCTGGGAACCAACGGCACTGGGCCACTCGAGCCAGGCACCGACATTGTTAATGGCCGGACTGCTGGATCTCCAAAGCACGTTCTCATTATCGGCGGGGGCGCGGTCGGCTGCCTCACGGCTCTCAAGCTAGGTCAAGCAGGGATCGATGTCGATATCATCGAGAGACTTCCTGAGACAAGCAACGCTCCGCGTGCATGCGGCTACTTCGGCGCTGTGCACCACATACTGGACGACATCGGTATATACAGGTTGATCAGAGAAGAAGGGTTCATGACTCGTGGACTCTGTTTCCGCAAGCCGCCCAAGGACGACGGCGAAGGCCGAGGTGGCAAGTTGTTTGGCGATATCATTGCAAATCTGCCCTTCTGCGCCCCTAATGACCCTCTCACGGAACCGGGCGCCGGTCTGCTGAATCTGCCTCAAGCGCAACTCAATCGCTTGTTCCTGCGCGAGGCGCTGAAGACGGGTCATGTTCAGATCCATTTCAACAACGAACTGGCACGCATATTGAACAACGACGACAGCGGCGTCACGGTCCTCACGCACGACCCTGGCACTGGGGCGGAACGAGAATATCGAGCAAAGTACGCGGTCGCCGCAGACGGCGCCCACTCCGCAGCTCGCAAAGCTCTTGGCCTCCCTTACCCGGGCCACACCTGGCCTGAACGGCTTATCGCCACCAACGTGATGGTCCGCAACGTCGAGGAAACGCCCATGCATACGCATTTCGTCATGCACCCGACACACTTCAGCATCTCAACTCCTCTCGAAGAACCCGTGATGGGTAAGAAAACACTCTGGAGGTGGACATTGGCGGCGGACCCGGCACTGGTGAAGTGCTCTGACGAGGAGTTGCTGACGGACGAGGTCATCTACGCACATTACGCACGTTGCATGCCCGGAGCGAGGCCGCTGGACGTGGAAATTGTGGCGAGGTCGGTGTATAGGACGCATCAGAGGCTTGTGCCGACGATGAGGAAGGGGAACGTGCTACTCGCCGGAGATGCTGCACATTGCAACCATGTGAGTTGTGCCTCCAAGACTCCCTTTCACACGCAGGTGGGCTGACCTTGACTTTTTCCCTTCTTCTCAGCCCTTTGGCGCACTTGGTCTCAACACCGGCATGCTCGACGCTGACGCCTGCGCCGAGGCCCTGATCATGATCATGAAGGACTCGTTCCCCGCCGCCCAGACCCTCAACACCTACTCCGACTCGCGCCGCAAGGTCTTCCAGTTCTTCGTGGATCCCACGTCGACGCAGAACAAACTCCGCGTCCACTCGAATCCCGCGGAAACGGCGGCGGAGGACGACTGGTTTCTGAGAGATCTGAACCACATGACGCCCAAGAAGGCGGTGGAGATGGTGAGGCCGTATTTCGAGGACTGGAGGACGGATATGCGGACGGCTATGCAGGAAAAAGACGATGGATTTCCCACACAGGGGTAATTCGCGCCGCCCAATGCCCTCTTCTCCAGGTGAAGACCGTAGAAACACCGTCATCTGAACTCGGGGATGGTCTAGGACGGAAGAAACGCAGAATAACCAAAGCCAAATTCCTGGTTGGGGATACATGGCTTCATCTTCTTACATTTTCTCATTCATACACGTAAGTTGGAGTCCATGGCCTAGCATTTCCCGCCACGGTGCTTTGGCCACCATCTCCGAGGTGCTATCTAGTTTTCTGGCAGGAAATCAAAGATGGCACCATCAAAGGTCCCAGGGGTATCTCAAGAAACACGGACACAATATCTCACGCAGCTAGGGCACTTCTCCCTGCCGTTGCTTGGTCACTTCCTTCTCCTTCTCTCAGTTCATTCACTCACTCCACTTCTTGCCCTTCAAAGGCAGGCAACCTCTTGACGACATCTTCCCAGGTCTCCTCCCCATCAACCAAAGCCTTGACCGCAGCGATGATCTCATCCTCGCTCGCCCTCACTTGCTTCGTGGAATCTCTCTCTCTCAGCGTCAACGACCCATCTTTGACCGTCTGGAAATCAATCGTGATCCCAAACGGTGTCCCCAACTCATCGTTACGAGCGTACCTCTTGCCAATGCTTGCAGAGGAGTCGTCGACTTTATTGGCGACTCCGATTCGGCGGAGACGAGCGGTCAATTTCTTGATGAAGGGTTTGAAATCCGCGTGGCCAGAGAGCGGGACAAGGAGGACTTTGGTGGGAGCCACCATAGGGGGGAAGGACAATACTCCACGAGCAGAATCCCCTTCGCGGACCCAGAAGACGTGTTCCATGAGACTGTAGAGAATTCGCCCAATACCAAAGGATGGCTCGATGACGTTCGGGGTGTATTCGCGGACATGTTCTGTTCGTTTCCTCTTTTCAATCTTGATCAGATCTTTGTCAAGCTCCGTTCGTCCACTTCCGACACCAGGTGTGTCGATCTCAATTTTCCCAGACTTCTCCAACTCTAACGCAAGCTTTTCGCGCAGATCCTGGGAAAGTGCATCCACGGCGGCTTCGACGGCCTTTGCATCCTTGCGGAATTTAGGTCCAAGCTTCTTGCGTTCCAGGTCAACTTCATACTCCTCGACTACCAGCGGTTGGGCTCGAGTTTCGCGCACAACGAGAGGTGCTCCAGTCTTTTCCTTGTGGACAGTCAGATCGTAGGCGCTTCGGTCGGCACACCCAACGCATTCAATCCAGCCGTATGTGGTGAAGAGTTCAGCGTCCCAACAGTCAGCAGCATAATGAGCCATTTCATTGGCCATGTGTTGTCTGAACCTCAACTTGGTCTGGTCAATCCCGAGCTTAAGCAAAAAGTCCTGTATCCTGACGAGGAAGTAGCCAAGAGTCTCGTTATCTACCAGTCCAGAAGCCACAGCGTCCCCAATAGTCACCACGTCGGTTTTTGTGCTTCCCCCGAGTTGGGTCTTTCTGTTCAGGAGAGATAACTTTGTGTCTTTGACATCTTCGAAGCGAGGGTGCTTCTTCCCACCTTCGGGATCCACAAAATGCTCGATTTCGGCCATCAAGAACTCGCGGACACGCAGAAGCCCGGAGCGTGGGGAGATTTCGTTTCGGAAGGACTTTCCGATGGAAGCAGACGCAAAGGGCATCGATTGCTGGTTGAATTCGAGGAGCTTCTGGAAGTTCAGGAACTGTCCTTGAGCCGTTTCTGGACGAAGATATCCGTTGGGTTTGTCGGCGCTGGGTCCGATCTGGGTTTGGAACATGAGGTTGAAAGCTCTCGGTGGCTCCAGTTCTGCTCCAGTAGTAGGACCTTTGATGTTGTATTTCTTGATCAATTCGGCAAGCTCATCTCCTCCATAATTGTCAATCTTTGCCAGGGTCTCCTCATACTCTTGGACGAGGGCATCGTCAAGCTTCTCAATCTTTGTGTCCTTGACCTTCTTCTTCTTTTTGGCCTCTTTCGCCTCGTCAACTTCGACCGCTTGACCGCGTGCGTCTTTGTCGGCTTTCAGCCTCGCCTCGAGGACCTGCTCCACCAAATGGTCTGCACGGAAGATTTCCCCACTCTTTGGATCTTTGCACATCCAATCTGCAAATTTGTCGACATGTCCACTGGTCTTGAGGATTGCCTCTGGAGTAAGCATGGTACAGTCAACCTCCAGCATGTCTTCTTCCAGGACGAAGTGTTTCCGCCAAAGATCGACGACGTTGGCTTGCAGGGCGCATCCTGGTGGTCCGTAGTCAAAAAGCCCGCGCTCTCCGCCGTAGATTTCGAATGAGGGCGTGTAGAAGAGTCGTCGGCGTAGAACAGATTCTAGAACCACGCGATCTAGTGGCTGGCCAGTCTTGGTCGTGCTCTCTGCCATCTTGAGGTCTAGTTTGGGCGGCTGGAATTTTGCTCTGACAAAAGTGGCAGATGTGAAATGTCGCACAAAGTGGCAAGGCTGAAGAGAAGTGGCTCTAGAGAAGCAAGCCAAAGCACGCATAGAACCAAGGAAGAAAGAAGAGAAGGGATTGAGACAGAAGCCCCTGGGTAGATATACACAGGAGTTGCTGCGTATGAGTGACTCGAGAGTTGAGTAGGACTCACAAATAGAAAATGACACAGAGTAATAATCTCGGGCTGCGCTCCAGGGGGCGAGTAGCGAGCCACTTTCTCCTCAGAGCATTCACGAAGGAGCCAGCCTCGTGCAGCCACACACAGAGCCACAGCCACACATTCAGCCTTGCTGCATTCGGAGATTCTCATTTCTCCGCACAACTTTTTTCTGATCGTCGCAGAAGCACATCAACCTCCCCATCCAACACACACTCTGAGGCCCAGCTTGACACATGTATCGCACACGATAGCCGTTCGTACCTTCTCAAAATGCCCTCTCGGACCACGAGACTCTCCGACAAGGCCGCACTCCCCTTTAAAACTTCGAACAAACAGCGAAGACAGGATCTCCACGTCAAACAGAAACGTGCGCGAGATGCATTGAAACGAGCCGAAAGGTTCAGTCGCAAAAAGGAGGAGGCGAAGAACCCGAGACTGCGGGAAGAACGGTTACGGCGCAATGTCCCTGTTACGCTGGACAAGAAACGGGTCTACGATGAAATTGCGGATGAGCCTGAAGACGGTGGCCTGGGCATGGTCTACGACGTAGAAAGGCTAAAGAGAAGGAAGTTGGCCGAGGAACAGGAATTGCAGCAGGATGGCTATGCTGGGGAGGACGTCGCGGAGCTTGAAGAGGACGATGACGATCATGACTCTATGCTTGAGGAAAGCAGCGATGACGAGAGCGACAGCGACGAAAATGATCTCGAGCCTGCAGATTTGGACGAAGATACTCAAGACCCTCTGCCCTCGAAATATCAACTCAACTCCTCAACGTCCTGTCTAAAAGATCGCGCAACTTCACCAACCCGTTCAACAACCTCAACCAACCTCTCCCTTGCGCCCGCCGCCCTCGCCGCAAAATTCCCGACTCTCTTTTTGTCCCCAGACTCGCCCCCTCCTCCTCCGCCTAAAATTTTGATCACCACATCGATAAACTCGACCTTACACAATGAAGCTACCATCCTCACGACCTTATTTCCCAACTCAAAATATATCCGCCGCTCTTCCCATCGGTATGGGTACAAATTCTCCGTGCGCGAGATCTCAGCCTTTGCAGCCAAGCACGGATACACGTCCGTCATTGTCCTCGAAGAGAATCAAAAGAAGCCCTCTGGAATGACCGTTGTGCATCTACCCGTGGGGCCAACATTCCACTTCACCATCTCAAATTGGTATTCGGGCAAGCAGATTCCTGGCCACGGTCGTCCTACAGACCACGTTCCTGAACTGATTTTGAACAACTTTACGACTCCGCTCGGCCTGGTGACTGCTCACCTCTTCCGCTCTCTTTTTCCCGCTACTCCAGAGCTACAGGGCCGGCAGGTTCTGACGCTGCACAACCAGCGTGACTACATCTTCCTGCGGCGACACCGGTACATCTTCCGCGCGAAGCGGGAAACAGAAAGATCCGTAGTTGGCGCCGATGGAAAAGAGATGAGAGGCACAGAAGGTATCCGAGCTGGATTGCAGGAACTAGGGCCGCGAATGACCCTCAAATTGAGGAGGGTAGATAAGGGGATCCAGAGAGCAAGTGGCCAGGATTGGGAATGGAAGGCCAAGATGGAGAAGAAGAGGACGAAGTTCCAGCTGTGATCTGCCGCGGACCGGCTGGCCATGGGGAAAAAGGGTCATGGAGTCAACTGGCACCGGCGAACCCTTACCGATGCCGCGAGCACTTGGGACTGCTGACCACCTCTCGCGGAAGTGTGGCTTGGTTTATAACGTTCTTGAGTGAGTCTGCAAAGGGGAAAAGGGACACATCGTGGATTACCGGCATTTCTTCCACATGGTACGTTCCCTCCGTCTAAATGCCCAAATGAAGCCATCACAATCGAGTATTTTATCCAGCCTTTGTGCCATAATCTTCCTTCGATCGCCATGCCAACTACCATACCCAAGTTGTCTTGATGGTTGCTCGTTTGTTAAGAATCACTCCTCCCAGTTTGTGACTCTGGAGTCGACAAAAATCTCTCTGAAGCCAGTCGCCGCTCGTTCGAAGCTGCGAGACAACATGCGACGTTTGAGGCTTGTTGCTTCATACTCTTGCAGCGACAACCCCGGTGGGGACGCTCTCGATCTCCGTCGCGAAACGGCGCATGCCCAGACACTGCCCGCCAGCAAGATCAAGCCGACGAAACCGCCCACGGTGGCACCTGCAATGATTGCGGTTGACGGGGCAGACGTGGAGCTGGATACAACTGGGGATGTGGATGGCGGAGGAAGGGACGTCGGACTGGATGAAAAAGTTATCGTCGAAGTGAATGAAAACGCTGTCGTCTGACTGGATGAAAACATTGTCGTCGGACTGGTCGTCGTCGTCGGAGTGGCAAAGGGCAGAGGAGAGAAGAGCATCGAAGCTGCGCTAGGGACTACCGTCACAGCCTCCTCGAGCACCCTCGAGCAGACGGACGCAATCTTGTCAGACTGCCGAGGGGATATTGTCAGCGCCGTGTGGCCCATGACGGGTTTATTTGCGTTGTTTCTTGACAGAGCTCTCACTCAACCGATCCGCCCCCAGACTACCAAGGCATATTGTGAGCAGGGTCAGCTGGTTCGACGTCAAGGCTTGCTGCAGAGCCCGGCTGCTGTATGTGTTGCCCCGGTTCGAGAGAGTTACGGATTTGACGGCGTAGGCGCCAAAGGCCACTGCCGCGATGAGCGCAGCGAGCTCCACGATCATTTCGACCAGCCACTTCCCCGGCGGCGGCCTGAGGACACCGAACGTCACTCTGGATTTCTTCTCAGCTCGCTGTTCCTGGACGCCCACGTTCACTGCGCTGCTCCTCCGAGAGCCGGCACTTTGGTCCTTGGGCTCAACGAGAGCTGAAACCACCCTGCGGTTGGACAGTTGCTCCGCGTCCGAACCATCACGTATATCCAGCGACCTCGACGACATGGCTTGTTCTGGTCACAACTGAGTCACTGGCAAGACCGCCGCCATTGTCCTCTTTTTCAGCCTGACGGGAGAACCATGGAGATACTGCCAAGCTGCCATTCTGCAAGAGGCCATCACCATCCAGGACAAAGCCGTGCGGGGCCCAACACGAGAACCTGCGTCTTCAATGTAAAGCAAGGCCGATTGGGTAGAAAGCGGCTGAGTGGCATTTGCCGCCAGTGCGCATGCATCAGCTGCGATACGAGGTCCCCTCACAGGACTGCGGTGTTTGGGCAACGACAGTTGATCCTGGCGACATGGTCTCGTACACGGGAAAAAGGCTCACGGTGAAAGCTCGCTTTGGATTCTCTCTGGACGCTAAAAGGGCTCTCTCTGGCCTCTTCATCCAGCTCATCCATTCCTTCCAACAGCCAGGGATAGTTCATCCTTTGATCCATGTGTCTCGTTTCTGTCCCCCTTCGTCGCAGCGCATAAAGCTTGTTGACACCATTTCCATCCACGTGTGAACAGTGTCGACGCCCTCCGTTTCCGTTCCGTTCCAATTGCCGGTGCCAGATCAGTGTCTCCAACTCCCTTTCCTGAGTCCATAGCGCGGCTCTCATGAATTTGACTCGTAGCCTAGCCGTCCATCCGTGAAGCAAGAAAAATAAAAACAGGGCTAAAAGCGGAAACAATAGGCTTTCCAATCTGGCCACCCATCCCTTCTCAAGCTCTAACTGCCTTGAGCCTGGGTCCAGAAGTCAAGACTAGCAATCACATCCTCGCCGTTCTCGTCTTCGTAAGCATACAGGATCTGAGGACAGGCCGTTAGTACAGGCATGATTAAAGGAATGATAGTCACTCACCTCTCTCGTACTCGAATGCAACATCCTCACATTTTTGCCCGTCATCACATGAATCAGCTCGCTCGTCTCAATATGTCGTATCTCGATGAAACACGGCTCGAACGCGAGGATGTATGGATAGTTCAGAGCAAATGCCTGCGGCGTACCCTCCCACGTGATCTTCCAGTCCTGCCTTGCACGCCATCCGTTGCGGTTGACGAAAAAGGAGAAGTCGGAATAGTTGAGTAGAAATTCGCCGTTAAGACGTTCAATGTGGATGGGTTTGACGTTCTCCTTGCGCGTCACAAAGTCAAGCGACGTATCGGCTTGGTCGAGCAGGGATTGTCGCTCGGTGGTCTCGAGCGAGACAACCTCAAAGCCTCTGGCGCAGCCAACGCATAGTGTGGAGCGGAGATAGTGTACTGATGTCGACTCAGCTGGTATGTAGAATTCCTAGAGCGCCTCGTCAGCGTCAACTGTCGCACGTTTCACTCGAATAGCTTTTACCTTAAAAGGCTTCAGTGCATCTTGGCCACTAGCAAACATCTTACTGATTGCCGGCTTCTTCTTACCCTTAGTAAGATCGTCCATGGGCTCGTATACCTTGATGGTAGTGGATAATGCCGAAGTCTTCACAGAGCACACCAAATGTCGCCCCAATCCAATACCGGCTTTGAAGAAATTAGAATGCCCCTGGATTTTCCTGGGTCTCGTCGCCAATGGATTCTGGTTATTTGGATCCAATGCGTCAAAGGGATATGAGGTGAGCGTTTTGTTCGACAACACGAGGAGCAGGCGATACTCCTCCAGCGTGTCGATTTGGGAAACTTGGGTGGCGTCGAGAATGCGCTTCGGCTTGATGGATTTGTCCTTTGGCCATCGATCAGCGATATAAATACCGTTGTCAGTCCCATAAATCAGCTTGCGGCCTCCATCAGTCGGCACCAGACAATTGACCCGATTCTGAGCATTGAAGAAACCTTCACATAAAATAGTCTTGGTGTAGAAGGCACTACTTCGGTCGCGAAGTTTGCTTTGCTGCTCTTCCACTAGTTCAATAAACTTTTTGCGCTGTGTGATCGAGGTGGCATATAGTTGAAGCTCATATGCCCCTTTTCCAAGATGTCGGAAAGTAATAGGGTACACCTCTTTCTGACCTGGAGTGCTCGAAGTGGATGGTTTGTTACCAGGTATCAGGCTGGACGAGGAGCGCTTTGCGAGACCCAGGCGGGGAATGACTTGATCCATCTCGGCAATAACGAGGAGCTCTAGCGGAATTGGCTTTCGGTATACTCGAAGTTCCTCTCGTTTGTTGACATTTTTGACACGGCACATGAGGACCGCGTGATCAAAGAGGTATACTTGAACTTCGGCGCTGTCGGTGGGTGACTTTTTGAAGCTCATCTTGGTCAGAATGACCCGATTCTCTTCAGTAAGTTTCAGATCAGTGTATTCTCCCGCATTCCATTTGAGCTGTTGATTCAGCTGAAGCAAATTGAAGTGATTCTCAGCTTTACCGCTTTCCGCATTGACTCGAGCCAAGAAATCCTTGATTAGTCCGATGGCTTTGGGTATATCCTTCTTGTCCGGGTTGTCATCTTTTGTGTACTTCAATACATTGTCCAGTAGGAGCGGGTACCTGGCTAGACGCGTTGTCGGTTTCGTCAGGTAACCGTTCAGCTCGAGCTTTCTGGACTCCTTGAGCCGCTCAGTCTCGTCCACGAATCGAGAGAAAGCTGGGTTGGCGCCTTTCTCTTTCTCGAATTCGTATTTGCCGTACATCTGATTCGCTCCATACTTGATGAAAGGGTCGAATTGCGGCACAAATCGGAGAAAGATATCACCAATACTGTGCACCACGTGTTGTTCTTTCTGCCGCTTTGACAACTCTTCCGCAAACCTGCCATTCACCGCAAGAACCTCTAGACAGTTGCCGAAGACGGTACGGACGAATTTCTCTCGCCTCTCCTCTTTGATGGGAGACATGACATTGCCGGCGCCGCGAAGTGGGCGTATCCAGAAATCACGGAGATATTCCAAATCCTTGACAAAGTCACGTTCTGTGTACATGAGCTCTGAAATCACTTCCTGTCTCTTCTTCTCTCTGTCGTCAATCTTATCCGCGACCTCCTTAGGAACGCTATTGATCCAGAGCTTCTGTTCTTGGTCTTCCTCGCCGTGCAGGCTTCCTCTCGAGTTGGAATGTCGTAATCCGGGCTGCGGCCGTAGATTGAGGCGTGCTTGCTGCTCCAAGCGCCGAGGACACGCGATCGAGTAGCAGAGGTGGTCTTTGGTACAAGTTGGAGAATAACATTCTGTCAGCAAGGTGAAGACCCCGTTGACATCTTTCGAGGAGGCCTCTTCTCCCATCGTTTCTCGGAACTGGTAGACTTCCCCGGGGGCATCCCTGAGCCGATGCTCATAGGTAACGTCGTGGAAGAACTTTTGGGCGTCGAGGGCTCGTCCGAGAAGCAAGGCAAGGTTTCTGTCAGTCGTCTTGATGATGTAGGCGATCAGGTCGACAGCCTCCGCTCCAGTGAAGGCATTCTTGTAGGAGAGATCATTCTTGGTTCTGTCGCCAACGCCGATTCTTTCCTGAAAAGCGCTTGCAACGCGTGACAAGAGGGCAGGGTAGACAAGGGGTGACTTTCTTTGGACAACAGTTGTTGTCTGACTGGCCGACGAATGGGCCGAGCCTGTCGGCCTACTCATCATGCTGTCGTTGCGAGAACCGTTCATGGTGGTTGTCGGCGTCAAGTCAGATGAAGCTGAGGCGGCAGAAGCTGCAGACACAGTGCGCGGGGGATTACTTCCCTCACTAGGGCGCCGCGACCGTGGAGTGATACCATACCCTGGAGAATTAGTGGAGCTAAAGGAGCCGTTAGATGAGGCATGATGATCTGCAAAAGGGTCTGATTCTGATTCTCGTCGACGATGCGGCACGACTCTACCACTCGTCAATTGCTGGGTATGATCTCGATCCAGAGCATATGATCCCATCGACATAGACCTATCCCCATCGACTCTTTCGGGTATGTGTCTGCCTTGAGCTGTCGTCCTTGAGCCACCCATTCCCGCATAAGGTTGCTGTCTAAAAGCACTGGCAGTACCCTGCTGAAAGCTACTGGGCGGCGGACGATAACCCATGGTCGGCTCTCCAGGCCTCACCATGGACCGCGACCTATAACCATCATTGTTCAATGCTGGAGGAGGCATTCGGTTGGGAACAGGTCTCCGGTCGTACGTCGACATCGACATTGAAGATGGGCCACCGGGTCGCGTATCTATCCGCTGGGGCGGAGGATAAGGTCGTCGGTCAGGGAACATTGGCGCAGGATTGTGTGGCGCCGGCCTTGTGCTGTTTGCGCCATTCATATAAGGTTGGCCCGGAGCAATGCCGTTGGAGCGATCGTAGGATTGAGGCATCTGACGCATTGGTGGAGGGGGGCCCTGCCTCATGGACATGCTATGCGGTGGGTGTTGCGAACCCATGCTGGGCAGCCGATCGTACATTCCACTTGCAGATTGACTTGTCATTGTCTGGGACCTCCCTGGAGGAGGGGCACCGCCAAAGATATTGTGGAAGGCGGTATCTCTTTGATCGGCGGGTCCTCCATGCTGTGGAGGTGGTGGTCTTGCACCATAATAGCGAGAATCGGGCAGACCATAGTCTGCCATGCTCGGTCAGAGGAGAGGGAAAGAGCGATATAGCAGAGGCGTAGTTATTGAGCAAGCATGGAGAGGTGTGGTAATAGAGGATCTAATCTGCCGCGTGTAGAGCGCAGGGGGCTTTTTTCCGTCTCCTCTTTTCGCGATCTTGAATTCTCTCCCCCACCCCCAACTTTCCGACTGTCGTGTAGATGGCGAAGGCAGAATGAATAGCAACGAGGTCGACGTGGTCTCGACGTGGTGGAATGGATCGACAATCGAGGACCGTGGGCGGCCGATATTGAGGTTGGGGTTATGTGTGCGTGCTGCACGAATGGAGGAGGTCGATGTGGATGAGGGATGGTCAGAGATTACAGATGATGTCGCACAGATTCCGCGTCATGCTCTCACCGTGCCAGCCAGGAGAGAAAGCAGATGTTTGAATGAGTATGTACGAATTAATGAGTAGTAATGGTGAAAAGATCAATGGACAGAGCCAGTATAGCATGTAGTGGGAATGGAAATGGGAATGGGATGGGGAGAAACGACGCAGTTGGACGAGGATCGACTGCTGCTAATCCAGGCCCGAAGCTGGGGTTGCCATTGGCTGCGCTTGCTCCCTCTAACCAGCAGCAGCGCAGGCACACATCATCGCCATCACCCCCCAAGGCCTTTCGCTTCCCACCCATTGCAAGCTTCATCGGCAGAACGTTACCCGCAAGGTGCTTTGGAGCACCCGCCATCCCTCCTACACCCTTTTGACCTCTGCTCTTCTCCGACAACTTACCTTCAAACACAGAAATCTGACACCATGGCGACAATCACAGAAGGACCTGGCAGTGAACTCACGCCCAACTTTGCTCCCTTCTTTGGCATGGTAATCCTCTCACTGTACCTGGCTGGATGATACAGAACTAACATGCAAAACGATACAGGCCGGAATCGCCTCTGCTGTACGTGGACCGAGCCTCAAACAATCCAAACAGTCTCTGCTAACCTCTCACGCGCCCTAGATGATCTTTGGCTGTATGGATTTGGAAGAATAGTGGAATGATGCAAGAGATACTGAGCAGTCGCACAGGTATTGGCGCCGCCTATGGCACCGCGAAATCAGGCATCGGAATTGCTGGTGTGGGAACTTACCGCCCTGACTTGATCATGAAGGTATGGAATGCGCATCCAGGCCCTCGGTGTGCTTTGGCTAACGATGAACGGCAGTCCCTCATCCCCGTCGTCATGTCCGGAATCATCGCCGTCTACGCCCTTGTCATCGCAGTCCTCATCGCTGGAGACATGGGACCCCCGCCCCAGCAGAATTACAGCTTGTTTACCGGATTCATGCACCTAGCTTCCGGATTAAGTGTTGGTCTTGCTGGTCTGGCAGCGGGCTATGCCATCGGGATTGTGGGAGATATGGGTGTGAGATGTTACATGCAGCAAAGCAGGATATTTGTGGGCATGGTGCTCATTTTGATCTTCGGGGAGGTCCTGGGGCTCTATGGATTGATTGTGGGATTGATCTTGCATTCGAAGAGTTGAATTGCTGCCGGCGATCCCCCAGGAAGGCATGCGTGTTCGCAATTAAAAAGCCAGTACTTCAAGAATAGAGCCAGCTGTTTCCAGTATGAAAAGGGAAGGGTTCGGAGCTACGATATATCGCATCTTGCAACTACAAATGCTATATGCGCCTACTGCAGGAATTTCCCAAGATTGCCGCCAATATGCTCCAAATCCAAGAGGAATGTATCGTGCCCGAACAAACTGATATCCTCGCCAAGCTCCACATGCGTAACTCGATTGTTTCCTGTAGCCCTCAATGTCTCGGCTATCTCCCTCTGCTGCCACGCTGGAAAGAGTATGTCGCTGGCCACGCCCATCACCAACACTGGATGGTTGCTCAAGGGCGTCATTCCCTGAACGAGATCTCTGGGCGGCCCGGCTGGATGGCCGGGGGCAACAGCTTCATCCATTGGTGCAGTAGAAACTTGCTCTTCGTAATTTTTCGACGGCAGCATCAAACTGCATGCTGGGTCGGTTCGAATGGTCGCAAAGCCCCGGAAGTTCAACACCTTTTCTTGGTTCTTTTGCCTCCGCGTTCTGGTGCTCTCTTGATGGGCCCATCCGAGATCGAACAGATCCATCGCCTTGCTAACATAGAGCAGAGAGTTTGGGTCGTATTCCAAGGAAAACTTCTCACCAGCATGGTCTAGGTACGTCTCAATCAAGAAATCCGGACAGAGAGCAGGCTGTTTACTGGGATCGGCACGCTGTCTCCCAAATCGATTCTCCCATTCTGGTCCACTGCGATATGTCACCGTGGCAATTTCGCGGGCGAGCTTCATTCCCGTATGGGGAGGAATACCATTGTCGTAGTAGAAGCCTCTGTTCCAATTGGGGTCCATCATCAACACCTGTCGTTGAGTGTGCCGCATGGCGATGCTATAGGGGTGACTCCTAGCGCAACCCGAAATGCTGACGATCTTGCCCACTCGGTCAGGGAAATGGACACCGAAAGCGAGACTTTGCATTCCACCCATACTGGCGCCGACGCTTGCATAGAGCTTGTCGATGCCGAGTCCGTCCAGAAGCCGCGCTTGCGCTCTGACCATGTCGTCCATGGTCAAGATGGGAAACCGAGTGGCATATCGCTGACCGTCCGAGGGATCGATCGAAGAAGGTCCAGTCGAGCCATAGCAGCCGCCTATCACATTCGTGCAAATCACAAAGTATTTGCTGGTATCTAAAGGAGCACCAGGCCCAATAAACTTTTCCCACCACCCAGGTTTCGGGTTTGCTTCAGTGCTGTGTGCGTGGCTTGACGCCGACAGTCCGGTGTGTAGCAGAATTGCATTGCTCTTGTCTGCGTTCAATTTGCCCCAAGTTTCATGGGCGATGTTGAATTCGGGCAGAATCCCACCCCAATCCAGCAGAATGGGCTCAGAGCTGTGGAACACCATGTGTTTGCCCGTGGTGTAGGACGGTTCGGGCCCTGATTCCAGGGACCGGTTCTGCAAAGCGGCGGTCTTCATTTCTTGAGCATCAAGACATGGAAAGGACATTGCTGGGTTCGTAGACTCAGGACTCTCGTAGGGTTCTTCTTCTTGCACAGCGGCGGTGGCAGCCTGGGCATGATGAGTCGCTCGTGTGTGTAAAGACGCATTTCTAATCCGCTGGGTCCTCGGTTTCGCAGGGAAGCGGTCGAACTTGTGCTCTCTTACGGATAAGGAGGAATTGGAGGTCAGAGTCCTTGAGCCTCGACTCAGTAGCCGTGCTGCGATCTGGGCTCCTCGAGGGACCGCCATGCCGACCTGCACAGGATTTCAAACTGGTAGAGGATCGAGAAGGGAGCGGGGTCTCCCTCCAGCGACAGTTTAGAAATACGACATCCATTTTGCTGGCCTTGACAACTTGGGGTAAAAATGGCAAGGAGTCGATCGCGCCGCCAATGATCACGACATCAGCGGCCAATAACAACGCAGTTTAGAATCTTTTCGCCTAACCTGCCTCTGTGGGTATTCAGCCTTGTGGCCTCGTTCGCTTCAGCCTTTGGGTCAGCCTCGTCGGCATAGAATTTTTGGTATGCCGAGTATAGAGTACGGCTTATTCGATTGCTATTCTCTTATACGCTTATATTACATCAGTGATACAGTCTCGAAATTCTTTTAGATGTTTAGCCGGTTACGAAGAGTCACCCGTTCGTCGGGTGTGTGGATGAGTGTCTTTGTCCCGTCTCCAAGTATTTCTATCTCACATGGGCTCGAAATGGAGGGCTGAAGAATGGTGGAAAAGAAAGAGGTGATGCGAGCTGCCAAAATTCGTTGCGGCCGGATAACTTCTGGTTAACGCGTCTGGTCTGTTTTCCAGCTATTCCAGTCGGCTTTCCCAAGCCCTCGACGTCACTCGTTCTTGTCAGCCTTGCACCCTGAATCCCTCCCTTCAAACTTACGTCCTGAAATCGTGGTATTTCAGAGTTTCCTGCTCGTATTAGCACTCCAAAAGAGGTGGATATCGTGTTTCCTTTGTGCAGAGAATGCCCGAAAGCAGGCAGGCGATACTCCGCAAGGAGATAAATACCCCGGAAGATGGCTGCTGGCAACCTTCGTGGCGCCTGCGGCTTGGTCTAGCGGGACGGTTCTTGGTGAGCGCTTCCTACCGGTCTTCATGGTGTCCAGATCCTCAGCCTGGGTAGAGCAGCACGATCCTGGCACGAGAGAGGTTTTCAATTTGACAAGTGTAACCGTGGAAGACTGGGAATAAAAGCGAGATGGTCGATCTTCCGGGAACCTCGGTTGATTCCCCAGCTCAGGAACCGCCGCACTGCCATTCAATCTCCGCAGTTTCAATTCGCCGCATCTTACCGTCCAATCCTCCCTCCTCCATGATTAGTCTGCTACCAGTGCCTGCGGCGCTGTACCCGTCCGCGGCGATAGCTGATTTTGCCAATGCCGAGGGTCAATCGAAACAATTTATATACCCCAAGAGCTTCTGGGGGAACTAGGAAGGGCTCCAAAAGCAACATCCACCGACTTACTCTGAGTATTTGTCGGGTACATAGCTTCAGGTATATTTCTACCAGTGACAACTTCCTCTCCTCTTGACTTCGAGTCGTCGCTCCTGTCCCTCCCTTCGCGATCCGCCGAGTACGTCCACCCACATCAATGGCCACCATGGCTTCCCCAGAAGAAGCAGTCCTCTACAGGCAGCAAGGCCGCATCGCCATCATCACCCTCAACCAACCCAAGAAACTCAATGCCATGACCCAACTCTACTACTACCGCATTTCCTGCCTGCTCCGAGACATTGCTGAGAATCCCGACATCAGCGTGACGGTGATCACAGGCTCAGGCCGGTTCTTCTCGGCGGGTGCAAACGTCACTTCCACCAGACCGGGCGTAGGACCGGGCTTGGACAAAGACGCTGCACGGAACGATATCTTGAAGGGGTTTGTGAGCAACAACTTGGACATTACACGCTCTTTCTATACGCACCCGAAGATCCTGATCGCAGCGCTAAATGGGCCTACGGTTGGGCTTTCCGCTGCCCTGCTCGGCTTCTGCGACTTCATCTATGCGGCCCCGCATACCTTTCTGTTGACGCCTTTCTCCTCACTCGGACTGGTCGCAGAGGGCGGTGCGAGCGTTGGGCTCGTGCAGCGCATGGGTCTGACAAAGGCCAACGAAGCACTCATCATGTCCCGCAAGATCCCATGTGACGAGCTCGTGGCATGCGGCTTCGTGAACAAGGTCTTCTCTGGTAAAGATCAGAACGACTCCGAGGGGTTCCTGAAACAGGTATTGGCCGAAATCGACGACAAGTTGGGCGACCATCTGAACCAGGAGTCCATCTTGAAAATCAAGGAGTTAATCAGACGGCCATTCTTGGAAGGCCTCGAGGCACAAGGAGTGAGGGAGGTGATGGAGGGAATGCAGAGGTTTGTCAAAGGAGCGCCGCAGGAGGAATTCAAGAAGATTGCTAGTGGACAGAAGAGACACAAGTTGTAAATATACTGGGCGGAGCCAAAACAACGCAGAGATTGCAGAGTGGTTGAGGATTGGTGGAAAGTGATGATCTGTCAATCCTCACTGCTCGGGTCATGTAGAATTGACCCGGACACCAAAGGGATATATAGGGAGGAATGATTTCTGGAATGAAAAAACACGCATTGGGACGACTCCTCGCTGTAGAAATCCTTCTCAGCATAGCCGTATTGCTTTCTCTGATTTCCGAAGATTCCCTTCTCAATTGCATTCCCGCGTACCTACTTTGCCAGCCATGCATTTCCTCTTTAAGGCATAAAGCTGGGAAAAGTTCATGTATGCATGGTGGAGTCCCTTCAGCATCAGAAATGCTCCCTCTTCTGAATCCTGCTCTTCTTCAACGTAGCACCGCTTCGTTGCGGCAGTTGGTTTGATGCGTTGCTAGTTCTTCTTTAGTTCCGTTCACAGCCTTCTGCACGACAAGTCTGGTCTGTGACCATGAGCAAATGGCTGATCCACGAGCGCGTAAGACTCTGGGGCCATGCAAAGCAGCAAGCAGTCGCAATATGAAAGCGGCACCAACAACCATTTCGTTGGTTCATCAACTTGACTGTTCAGGCCTCATCTGTCCCAAACGAGCTGCAGGGAGACTCGGGCAATGGATCCTGGATGACAGGCCGCATCAGCAATTTGATGCAATCTGATCCCTTGGCACTTGCATCGTGGTCGCTCGCTCCAACGTCTAAATATGCATACACTCACCAGGTTCCGGCTTCGCCACAGTGCAAGGGCCCCGAGCAGGCATGTTGCAAGTCTTTACCCCACCGGTTGTCGTGGTGATGAAAGCAGCGAGCACATCTGAAATGAAAAGCAGCATGAAAGACCAGTTTGCTGGTTCACGAAGAGAACCTTTTAGGAATCAATGTTGCATCATGCATGCTCTTGAGAGACTTGTGCCGCCCAGGGCAGGGACTTGGTGACAACTGTTGAGATGACTGGCTGATCGTCCTCCTCTTCGGGCGAGTCGAAGGGTGCCCAACTATTCCCACCCTTGGTCTAGGCTCAGGAGAACAGCCTCAGAACGCGGTCATGTCAAGCCAGATGTGCTCCACAGTTTGCGCAGGTTATCACGGCCATGCAAAGCAGCAACCGGGCCTCAATTGAAAAGCAGCATCAGAAAGAGATTTGCTGTTTCATGAACTGCTCAACTAGGACCTGATGGTGCGCGAAAAAGGAAAGGTATTCGCTCAGAGGTTTCCGGGGAGCCAAGCCACAGACGTTCTGGTGGCGCCATGTGGATGAGATGATGAGGAAGCATGAAATGAAGCTGCGGGATATGGAAGCAGATGGGGTGAGAGATATTTGACAAGGAGGACCAAAAAGGGCGGGATATGGGAGCCACTAATTAACGGCAAGTTTTGTCTTCCCGAAACAGAAAACAGCCCTTGCTCTTCTGTGCTCGCTGATTACGCGATCCCGAGGGAGATCCCGCCACTTTTGACCTTCGGAGGCCATCTTCAAGCAGCGACTGTCGACTTCTCGCTGCAAGCCATCTCATGTTTCCACCTCATATCGCCTCTTCCTCCTGGACTTCTCCGTGGACATTCATCATCGTGGGCCAAGCTCAAGGACCTAAGAAACCACACTCAATGACCATCCAATCGCTCTTCTCGACGTCCTTGTCAGCGCCTCCCCCCCGAGATCAGGACCAATGCAGGGAATGTCATAGCGCATCTCTCGGCACGCTGCTCTTCAACCGTACCTTTGAGCTTCAGTTTAGTTCTATTTGTCAGATGACGCCTCGATAGGTCTGTCTACTATGACCTGACCTTAGCTGGGAGCTTGTTCATGAGCTAAGCTACAGCTTGACCCTGAACCTCGGTGAGGTGCATTGACTCTTTGCATGGTCCCAACACTAGGTTGGGGGTATATGAAGGTGAAGTCCACCTCTTTCCATCATGTCTTCCAGTGGTTCAGTACGCATCGAGAGACAGATATTGGAACCGATTCCTAGCACACGACAATCCAACAGTACAGAAACGAAATCGCCCCGTCCCTTGCATCTACCCTGTATTCAAGATGTATGCCACCCTGCCTAACGGTATCAAAGTCTTCTATCGCGAAGCAGGCTCCTCAAGCAACCCCACCACCCTCTTGCTACATGGCTTCCCATCCTCCTCAAACCAATACCGAAAATTAATCCCTATTCTCGCAGAGAAATATCATGTTGTCGCCCCAGACCTACCAGGTTTTGGGTTTACGGAAATTCCTGCCTCATTAAACTTCAAATACACTTTCGCCAATCTTGCGACCACCATCGGCTCCTTCCTTGACGTCGTCAAGATCGAGAAATTCGCCGTCTATGTGTTTGACTATGGTGCTCCTACAGGATTCCGCCTTGCGCTTGAGAGGCCGGAGGCCATCACCGCCATCATCACTCAGAATGGTAATGCCTATGAAGAGGGCTTGTCGTCATTCTGGGATCCCCTACGGGCATTGTGGGCTTCTGAAGCTGGATCTGATGAGGACAAACAATTGCGCGAGATGATTTCGGGTGCAGTCTTGTCCCTGGACGCCACGAAGGGTCAGTATCTGAATGGTGAGCCCGAGGCTGAAAAGATCGACGACCCGGCGACATACCATCTCGACTACAGCCTCATGTGCCGTCCAGGGAACAAGGACATCCAGCTTGACCTGTTCAGGGACTATGCCACCAATGTCGCCCTCTATCCCAAGTTTCAGGCGTACATGCGCGAGAGCAATGTTCCCGTGCTAGCCGTGTGGGGCAAAAACGATACCATCTTTCCACCACCAGGAGCGGAAGCCTTCAAGAGGGATGCAAAATCGCTGAAACTGGTGTTGTTGGACGGCGGACACTTTTTGGTCGAGAGTCATACGGAAGAGATTGGGAAGCTGATGCTAGATTTCTTGGCTGAAAGGGTCATTTGATTGATTTTGTTCCCAACTTATTGAATGGGAAGACAGGCGACGGTCGGAAGCAGGTGCATCCCCCATTGATGCCCGCGAATTATAATACATATCTAGGTAGCTTGAGAATCAATAAGTGAATGTCGCCATTGCAGTTGAAGCGTTCTCCGACAGGTGTCACCTGTGACTCTCTGACAAAATGTTGATGTTCCCAAAGGGTGCGTTTTGAAACACGTACAGGCCAGACAGGGAGTTGTCGATTGTCCCTTGACGGAATCTAGGTACTGTAAGAGACTGCTCGGGGGCGTTGACGGCCTCCACCTGCGTCCGTGAAGCAACTGATCGAAGCGTCACGTGAACGGGAGATCTGAATGTGCTGAGTCAGACCAAGCAACGGACAGCCAATGGCCGAGAGTCGATTGAGCTCTAGACCTTGGCCGCTGACAAAGTTGCGGGCGTCGAGGTTACAGAGCCCCAATGGCACAAGGCTGAAAGGCACTGGTGTTTGTGAATCTAAAGAGGTTCCTCTGTAGTATCGACCGCAAAGTATAAATAACCCTTCACAACCTCCTCAAAGGATTGTGGAAAGCACGGTCAAAGAGGATTTGAAAAGAAAACACCAAGTTCTTGGCTGGTATCCTGCTCAAGATGCCAGCTTCACTGCGCATCGAAATATTCCCATCCGACCTCCAACGGATGATTGACTTCTATTCCACCATTCTCCACTTTGGCTTGATCAAGCGGAATGGCGACTACGCCTACCTCAGACGCGATGATATCTTCATCGGCGCCATCGAGACTGCTTCTACGGAAACCCTTGAGGAGAAAGCCAGTTACCGCCAGCCCAACAAAGGGATTGAAATAGTGGTTGAAGTTGACGACTTGGAGAAGGAACGAGACTTCATTGTTGGCATGGGCTGGAAGCTGGATGTCGACATCCAATTGCAGGATTGGGGGCTGAAGGATTTTCGGTTAACTGATCCTGATGGGTACGTCAACTCCGTGACTCTCCAGCGGACACTGCCATTGTTGTAGATTAGGTTAGCCTTTTAACGTTGCAGTTTAATAGGTACTACCTGAGGTTCACGACACACAGCCCGAATCGCGATGGGAAAGGCACATGGGAAACTCAAGTTGACCCATGAGCCTAGGTAAGTTTCACATGCGGCATCTGAGGATGCTCTCCACAATCACCAAAGGCAGGCCTCCAGCTGAGATCCATACAGGAGGCTGTGCTCTCCCACCTTTCTAAGGGAAGAATGACGACGTTTGGTGTCGTGAACAGGGGGTTATCAGGGGGTGTTCGTTGCTGGTGCTGGTAGTGGTGGATGTGATTGGGTACGATGCTCTTTCTGGTCGCTCGTGGGTTACAAGCAAGGGAGAACCCCGGTCTCACATGGCACAAAGCATCCGTGTAGCAAGACTTTGCTGGTAATACGTCATGATAGTTGAAGCAAAAGAAGAAAAAGAAAGCCGAGAGTTTCGTTTGTGGTCGGATCTAAGTTCCTGAAACTTCAATGACGACGCCCAATGGGATCGGAACGCCACATTCAAGCCACAGTGCGCCACAAAGGTCCGCGACACTTGCGCTGTGATTGGCGGAAACAACTAGCGCAATGACGGGACTTCCAAGGCCATGTCGTCACTCCTCAAGTCTTGGACTCACCCTTTGTTCAGCAGTCACTCTGTGCATTCTCCTGGGGTGTCAGCAGGTCAACGGACGTCATAGCATCTCCAAGAGCATTGTGGTGGCCACAGTTGGCCTCTGGTGGCATGTTGTTCCGAATGACCTCAGACCGAATCAAGGCAACTCCTAGACGCGGTCTCCTTTGTGCGACTCTGTCCGCGGAGCAATGTGACTGGCTAACCAGACAACTGTAGTGGGGGATCCAAGCGTGAACCATGGAAGGAGTGAATGACAACTGAAAAGTAAGGAAAGTCGCAACGCGGGGCAAAGCAGGCAAGGCAGGCAAACGCAATCTGGCACCAGGCACGGCAGTGACATCGCGCTCAGACTTGTTCCGACTGACTATAAGTATCTCTCTCTTTCCCATTTCCATTCCACTTCCTTTCCCATCATCCACCAGATCTTTCACACCCTCAGTCAAAGTTCCAAATCAAATCAAACCAAATCCAATCCCAAACCAAAACACAATCATCCACAATGGATACCATCAAGAACACTGCCAAGTACGCTGCTCTCCCATGCATTACCGCCTCTCCTGGTACTGACTGATACTCTACAGCTACGTCGGTGACAAGGTCAACGAAGCTACCTCTGGTGCTTCCAAGGAGGCCAACAAGAACGTTGCCAAAGACTCTGACGCGTCCCTCGGAACCCGTGCCTCTGCCGCAAAGGATGCAGTTGGTGACAAGATTGACGAGAGCAAGAACTCTGTATGTCCCGCTGTTTGATCGCCATCTCAATCTGGTCTCTAACAAGTGTACAGGCGTCTGCCGAGGGCAACAAGCAGGCTGCTACCCACTAAACGCTTCAACATCGAAATGATGTCTCGACCTATCATATCCTTTTGCAACAGTTCCTAAGAATGGTTTCCTTCCTCATGGTTAACGTGGTCGACTGATGGACATACACAACCTGGCAGTGTACTTGCTGGGGTTTCAATGAGCTTCGGATGATGACAACGTATTTCTTATGACAATCGTGCTCAAGAGAGCAGACGGCATTGCATCAAGTAGCTTGAATTAAATGATATCATAGCAGTCAAGCTTCCATCAATGCTTCTGATGTTACGAACGCTTTCTCTCGGTTATACTCTCTGCGTAGAACGTAGTACGTGGTACGTCTTCGATTAATGAGATATAATCGATGGCACGATGAAGGAACATGACCCTCGTCTCCAGCATGGATCTGGCCCTAGGGTTCTCCAAGTAGGAATTCTAAGTTATCCCGCACATCAGAAAAGGTAGGAAACGAGCTGAGAGGAGGTCATGTTTCAGCCGTAATATCCTTTCCACAGTTGCGAAATCTTGTGGAGCTTAAAAATATTGCAGGAGACGTTCATGGACGGGCGAGAGCCTAGACGAGAGGGCCTTCCGAAGTGAATATAACCACCGCAGACACAGGACTGAAATCAAAACCACTGTGGCCATGGCATTTCCGTTTACTGCCGGTACGATGCAATCATTTCAACGCGCGTTTGTGTCTTCTTTTAACACACAAGCGGGACGGGCTGTGACAATACTGCGCACTACAATTTCTCCACCCAACACATTTATCGTGACTCGAAACGAGAACCAGAGCAACCATGAAGCGAACTCGCGGCTCTTCCTCATCCTCAAATGAGACCATACTCGAAGCGTGCTCTTCCTCTCCTTCCATACACAATTCGGGACGAGCAGGTACTGCACAGAGCTCCCCCTTCCCATTAGACCCGTCGACCGTCCCGCTGCCTCGAAGCCTCACTTCGGGTCAGGAGTCCACTGCCAAGACAGGTAATAGTCACAATGTTGGCACGGGGAAAACGGTCCCCGGTGACAAGGAGCAAGAGATTGAGGAGAGAAATGCAGATGATGACTCGGAAGAGTCGATTGACTGGGATGCTCACTCGGATGAAGATACCGCGAACAACGCACCTCAGCCTCGTCAGGTCGTGAAGCGCGCCAAACTCCCGCAGACCATGGCGTTTCACGTCGACTGGTGGATCGCTCGCATAGGCACCGCGGCGGCGAACGTGAGTGCCATTTCCCCCCCTTCTATCTGTCCACAAAAGCCTTCGCCACAGTTATATTCTGGCAGTCCACCCATCAGCGTGGAGGCTTCACATGCTAACCCCGTCCGTGAGGCCCTCTAGCTAGACTTCAAGGTTCTGTGTGCGAGCATGATGTTGTGGAGGGAGAAGAATGAGGTTCTGCAGGTCCCCACCTATTGTATGATGCTCTCATCAGGGCCGACCTGGGAAGAAGATGATGCTGTCTCAAACTCTGCACCAGCGCAGATACCCCAATCGACGTCACGAGCACCGTTACCGCTCAGAGGAGCCGATCGATCCTCTGCGCCGATGTTGGACTGGGACGTCTTGCTGGAAGACATCAGGCGAGCGAGCGAGCAGATGCATCAGGACCGGAAGTGGAGAATCAGAGGAAAGAAAAATGCCGCCGGTTGGTGCAAGTGGGCAGCAAGACAGCGGATTAATCAGAGGGGCGAATTCGTCGACCAGCCTGAAGTTGGATATGAGGTAGAAAGAGAGGTAGACGGCCGGACGTGGGTGATCAGGCTGGGGTACCGGAGGAACGAGGCGGTGGTGGAGAACATGGATGTGGATGGCGAAATGGCTGATGCTGATGACCCTGTCGCCGATGAGCAGGGCGCTGGTGGAGGAGACGCGGTTCAGGGAACTTTGAACACGCCACCAAACAACAACTGCAACGGCATCGATGTGGTGATGGAAGAAGCTCCGGACCCTTGACAAACGCTATGCATGCTCTGCATTCCATCTAACGCAATCTTCGAACCTCGCTCCTCTCCCGCCAAAGATATCCAAGGCACTACCGATGGTCAAGTCAACCTTTCCTTGACTACACCGCTTCACGAGGTCAAGATCTGCCACCGTACGGGCACCGCCGGCATAGGTCACTGGGATCGTGCACCACTCGGACAACTTCGTGACGAGCTCCGTGTCGATGCCTTGCTGGAGGCCTTCATTGTCGGCTGCATGGATGAGGAATTCTGAACAATAGGGTTCGAGCATCTTGATGCTTTCTGCGGTGACTTTGCGTCAGCGCATGTCGATAGAAAGAGAGCCCACAGGGCCGAACACATTGGATGTCTGCGACATACCTCTGGTGATCTCCATCTCGGTGATGGTCTGCCACTTGTTCATGGCGACGAACCACGTGTCGCCCCTCCTCCTGCAGCTGAGATCGATGACGAGTTTGTCTCTGTCATCCGCCAACGTCGCGAGCACGGACTTCAACCGCTCCAGCGAGAAACGGCCGCTGGGAAATAGGAACGAAGTGATAATGACCTACTGCGTGTTTCTTGCGCCTTAGACAAAGCCGGCTTCTTTTGCTCGGGGGTAACAGGGGCAGGAGTCGCCCACGTTGAAGAGCAGGAGGATGAAGACGGTCTTCTTGCTTACCTTCTCGGCGCCAGCTTCGATCCATTCCTTTGCATTGGCGTCGGTGATGCCACCACCCACCTGGAGACGTCCCGGCCAGCCGGACAGTGCCTCCTTCGCCGCCTGATCGTTGCCCGGTCCCAGCATAATGACGTGGGCGCCCGAGAGGTCGGCGTCGCGGTAGAGACTGGCAAAGAACCCCGCCGGATGCTGCGAGATGTAGTTGGTCTTCAGCTCGGATTCTTGGGTGCTCAGAGTCCCGCCGACAATCTGTTTGACCTGGCCGGCGTGGAGGTCGATGCAGGGCCGGAAACGGGTCATAGTAGGGGATTACGGGTGAATCAACTACTGTGTATAGTCTATGAGTGCAAGTTCTGGAGAGTGGATGTTATGAAAAAAGGCGGGAAGGGTTCAAGTAGGGATGGAATATTTTGCGATGCTTGCCTCTCTTTGCTGCTATTCTGTCGAGGTTGAAGTGGGGAAACGAGATAAATTTTCGACGAGTACTGCACGCGAACCATTGATGGTTCTTCGCGACCAAACACGGTAACTATTACTTGCAAGAAGGATTTGGGAATGTCGAAGTGTCTTTCGCTGCATATTCTCACTCTGTATATCCCATGAACTTCTTTCGTCTTCCCAACTTCCGACCTGCTCACGCGCTCAAGACAGCAGAGGTTCTTTTACTTCCCCTGGTCTCTCTCTCTCTCCAAAGCGGAGGAGAATTGCGGCCACAAGAAGATCCCGCCAATCAAAATTCGAGGCGTCGGGGCTGCTGGGGAAACTTTTCGGCCTTGTTCACTCCCTCGTTCACTACGCCCGAATTTTGTACAATTCCTCAATAGTGCAAAGTCTGACAGCGGCGCCTGCACAGACGGCGTCGATGCTCGTTGCTTGGGTCAACGTCAAGAACGCGTGTTCAACAATGTTGGGGAAGCGAAAACGAGACGTCGGTGTTGCGACTCGACACCGACTGCGCAGTCCCGACGACCGCGACGGCGACCAGGCTGTCGCAATTCCCTTCGCGGGCGATCGAGATATCTTCCGCAAATATTTCGAATCTACTTTCGAACCCCTACCAGAAACCGAGACTACAACGCTCCCTCCGCAAGAAACAGGAGGAGAAGATGACGGTCAGGAAGGGGATGCTGAGTGTGCTGAGGAAGAGTCGGAGTGGGGGGGTCTTTCAGACTCAGAGCTCGAGGACGCAGCAATTGAGATTGTGGAACATCGCGCAGCGAGTGACCTGGCAGAAGAAGCTGGGGCACGTCGGCAACACTACAAGACATTCATGGTAAGTGACGGTGACGGCCGCTGAACACACACGGCTTTGCGACTTTGCACTGACCCCCTACGACAGAGTTCCCGCCCCCCAAAAGAGACGGAACGTGCGGCCAGAAGGGGTCCGGTCAAGCAGGCCGAAGAGGAGGACGCCGCTGAGGGCCTTAATCTCAAACATGATCTTGATCTTCAGCGGCTCCTGAAAGAATCCCATCTGCTCGAGCAGGCAAAGGCATCATCCACGCTAGGAACCCACCGGCATAAGGTGGTGGACATGCGAATGCAAGCCCTGGGCTCCAAAGGGTCCATGTTTCAGCAAGAGAAGATGCCGCTGGCGCATAGAAGGGGGATCCTTGCGAAGGCGGCAGACCGGGAAGCCAGCCGAAGAAGGGAGGCCCAGGAGAATGGCATCATCCTGGAGAAGGCCGCGGGTAAATCCAGGTCCAAAGACTCTCGAAGAGAACGCGGCGTCGACGTCCCTGCTGTGGGCAGATTTCGAGGAGGCACTTTGACGCTCAGCAAGAAAGATGTCTTTGATATCCAAGGACAGGGCATTTCTAGACCTCGTGGAAAGAAACGACGACGATAATGATGAGCATGTGTATCCCTTTCAGCTGCAGGCTTTCCAAAAGAAGCAAAGGCCCTGTCTTTCCGTGTGTCGTCTACTGTTCAATCCACACATGCACAGAAGGCGAGACTGTGTTGGTACCTTTACTTGTCCTCCGTGTTGCTTACCTCGCCGCCAGGCTAGACGTGAAGGTTCCCCCTCTCCGGCGTCCGCTTGTCTGTCATTGGGGAACAGGGGCGACATTTGTCATGGACAAAGTGGCGATGCCTTCTTGAGGCGAGCTCTTCCTACAGCCAACATTACAGTCTGAAACGAGTTGCTTCCTCCTCGCTCTGCTCCTCGCGGCCTAAGTCAAGTATGGGTTCTCGTGTTACACCACTGCTTCAGCCTTGGCTCTATAGGGTAGAAAGCTTGAACCTGTCGAGGAGTCGCTAGACGAGCGTCCGGTGTCTCTCCTCTTTGGACTGTCTCACATTGACCTGGATTCCAGCCTGTTTATGCAGGACAACAAGCATCGCGTCCGGATGCAGCAAGTGGTGATAGTGCTCGCCGACTGTTTCGGGGTGCTGGCGACTCGATCTCATCCCCTCCGTTAGGGTGTGGTCTTCTGTCGGAGATTTGCCAGGATTGGCCATGTTCACTGCGCTTGCGCCACTTTTGACCGTTGGTAGCAACCACAAGCGCAAGGACAGGAGCTATGTTTCAAAAAGTCAAGGAGCTTCACAAGATCAGTGGAAGGTTTATGTCCTGAGCTTCGTCAAGGCTACGAATCGCGTATTTGGATGCTTCTTCGAATGCCTTGCAGAATCGATCGGCTCTGTCAAAGTTTGGCCCTTCAAAAAAGTTGCAGGAAACGACTGGTTAAAGAAGGCGTAGACAGCTGCAGTGATGATGTGCATCCCAAGGCTTGGGCGTGATGGACAGCCCAATCACCTTGACCACGGAGAAAATCCCATCTCGGGAAGCTAGTGGCATTGGTGTTGACATCTCTTAGGGCCAAAGGTTCACCCTTTTGTGACTAATGTGGCTGTCGAGTCGTGCAGAACCTGAAACATAGCACCATCCGTCGGCCATTTTTAGGGGGCGTGGCGCGTGCGTCGAGGTTCTGAAGACGGTGAAAGCCGATTAGACAAAAAAAGACCCATCATCCAGACTGATCTCGACAAGGTACCGCGGTCCATCTTTTGGCCTGCCTCTCGACTCACAAAGCTCTGATCTGAAACTGTTGGTCAAGCGAGGTCGACGGATGGCTGTGCGCGTCAGTTCGAGGTCCATTGCGGTCAGCCGGGTTCGACCAAGGATAGGAGAGAGCGAGAGGGCACTCGGTGCGTAGTACGTACAGCAGAGACCAACCATTGTCAAAGGATGGTGAGTAGGAAGGATTGTGGGGATGTGTGTGACTGTGGTCAGCTAACGAGATGGAAGTAATTGGTGTTGGGTGATGGGAGAAGGCCGTCGACCGCAGGCGCCTGGACCTGGCCTGTCACGTGGACTGCGCTGCGATTTGCTTGGGCCTGCTCACGCCGTCCACCCAACCCAATAGCGAACACACCAATCACGCTGGAAAGATGAGATGTATTATCCTTTTGCTCCTTCGATGCTCCTTTTCTGTCCGGCACCCAGGCCTTTCGTACACGGAGCTCTCGTGGCTGAACAGCATTTACGACGGGCAAGCTTCGGGACGCCATTGCCGTCGGTGCAGTCACGCCCTCGCTCAACCTTGACATCCTCCCACCTCGTATCTCCGCAGTGTCATCGCGCGAGTTAAGCAATGGGTGAAGAACCTGCACATGCGTGAACCACATTCGGCGAATAAATGGGTACCGACAATCACGCTTATGGGGTCGGGGATTTTCTTGTGTCAAGCTATTGAAGATCATTTCGCCATTGGCCATATCAAGAAAAGGGGGCAGGCATGGCAGAATCAAACTCATGGGACCCCCAACTTGCATTGGGTTTCGTTCCGATTTTTGCCTGCGAAAGGTTGCAGTGGTGGGCACTCGGAGGACAGGAGCAAACCGATCCCAGCGTCAACATGGGTAATCGTGGAATCTGTGCATGCGGATGTCGGCACCTCAGCGTGCAGGTTCTGCGACTCTACGACGCTGTCCCGCGCCTGTTTGAGATGTGTTTCTGAATCCCCAAGCCGTTGGCCGAGTGGCTTTTGGCGCCAGAGTGGGCGGACAGTAGTCCAAGACAACCGCCAACGCGAGACTATTCGTCCAAGCGATCCGCCGTTCCCAGCCACTCGTTTCATCGGTTCGCGACTTCAACGTTCACACTGCATGCTTCAGCGAGACGCTGACCATGGGGATAGACTTCTCCCCTTCGCGCGATGGCCCCTCCTATACGATCAAAATAGCAATGTGGCCGGGCTCATGGGGTCAGCATTCGGCCTCGCCCGTAACCATACTGAAGAATACTGTGGTGTTTCCAGGTACGAATTGCACGGGGAAAGCTCCATACACGGTTTCGGTAAACGTACGAGGGTACAAGGCCTGGCTGTGCAGTGTCCAGCCCGGGGCTGTGGTGGTCATCGCGATTCCGGTTGTACGAGCACATACGATTCACCTCCCACGATGCCCCTACGAATACAAACAGCAAGCAAAGTAAACATCTCGCCTTTTCTGGAAACGGAACATCGGATGCAGTATATGTTTCAGTTCTCAACCAGATCGAGCTGCAAGGTTACTGAGTAAATCACGGATTTTCCAAGTCCCGAAGATGGATGGCTGGAAGGTTTTTGGGGGCGGATCAGAGATGGTACGTGGTAGAGCTCATCAACCCAGCGAAGTTCTTGGTCTCTGGGGGGAGAAAAGATCAACAACAGAAGCAGGAAGAGGTGGATCAAGACGTATTGGTACCTGTTCTAGCGCGGATTTTCGTTGGAGTGGGACAGGAAAGAGAGGCTAAGGAGCGGCTACTGTGAGCCTTGGGCGCAAGCGAAAAGAGGAATCCCAGGAACCAAGGGGGACAAGGTCTGTCGGTCATCGCGGTCGGCCTCCTTTGCCCCCCCCTCTTTGACGGTTGAGGCGGCAAGCCGGGCTCCAATGTTCTGCTGTTATACGATAGGGAGCTGGACTAGGTCGGTGCCTGGCATCCCTTGGGCGAAGAGCTGGCCGGACTGGGGGGAAGAATGGCATCAATTGGTGCTACTGTGTGCTGAGCACAGATGTCGCCCTCCCCTTTCCTCCCATGGGCCCGCCTAGCAAGATAGCATCCGTGCCTGTAGAACCAGCCCTGTCCAAGATTTTCGTCGGGCGGGCTCCCTAGGCTAGTAGGCCTGCTGGCCGCCTGTACCCTAGGCTTGGGCTAGCGGGGAAAAAGGATTAGCGGGGACGGTGCTTTAGGGAACTAAGGGACTAGTATTAGAGACCCAGCGCCCACAGCTTTTATCCGCGTCCGCAGTCTGTCTCTTTTCCCACTCCTCCTCACTGCTCGGTCGTGTCTGTCTCTCGCTTCCTCGCTGGGCCCGGTCTCACCCTTCGACTCTCCCTCTCTACCCTTTTCCCTCTTCCACCTCTTATTCCCTCTGCACCTTTATCACTCCTCGATTTGTTCCACCTCTTTTGTTGCTACAGCATCCTCCCAGTCCTTCTTCCTTGTCAACTTTCACTTCCTGTACTCGGCCTTGCTCTGAGGACTTTTAAGAGACTAGCTTCTCTCCTTACCCACTTTCGTTTCACCTGTCCTCGCTTCCCACGAACTCGAGACAGGAGCTCTACCACGTCTGGACGTTTTGCGAAGCTGGTCTCTCGCACTGACTCCATTTACATCATCGACACATTCGCTATACACACTCGCAAACCTCCTACTGCTCAGTTGTTCGTGGTTCAATCCGTCTCCCAACAATCCTTTCCCTCCGCAGCCGGCCTCCATTGCGGCGACGAAAAAGAGTTCGATTGAACAAGAAAAATAGACTCTGATATACTCTCCTGTATTGCATGAGCTGAGCAAGAAAACATTTCACTCCGAGTCGGTCAAGACAGCCAGCGACCCTCCGCCCGTTTCCGTCGACACCTGGATAGCGTCGACGCTTATACCCCGACCACTGCGATGTTTCCCTCGAGCGGTGCGCCAATGGCCCAACCTCAAAAGCCAGAGACGTTTATGCTCTCGAACGAGGCACAACAGAGCTTGCCCCAGGATGCGCAAGTCGCCCTGCAGCAAGTGGACAACCTCAAATACTTTCTCATTTCTGCGCCCGTGGACTGGAGTCCCGATTCTCTCATCCGCAGATTCCTCCTTCCCACAGGCGAATACGTTTCCTGTGTGTTATGGAACAATCTATTTCACATCTCCGGCACCGACATTGTGAGATGCCTGTCCTTCCGTTTCCAAGCGTTCGGGCGACCGGTCAAGAATCCTAAGAAGTTCGAGGAAGGTATTTTCTCCGACCTGCGCAACCTGAAATCAGGCACAGACGCGTCGTTGGAGGAACCAAAAAGCCCATTCTTGGACTTTCTGTACAAAAACAACTGCATCCGGACGCAAAAGAAACAGAAGGTATTTTACTGGTACAGCGTGCCTCATGACCGCCTGTTTCTCGATGCCCTGGAGAGAGACCTCAAGCGCGAGAAGATGGGCCAGGAGGCCACGACTAAAGCTGTGGCCGAGCCAGCGCTGTCGTTCGAATTCGACTCTTCGCAATCGCTGTTTGAGCAGCTTACCAAGGCCCAACAAGCCAGCTCATCGTCATTTGCAACCGCGAATGCAAATGTGACCTATTCCCAATCTACTTCACCTGTCCTGCGTGCAGCAGATTCCATGCCTCCTCCAATGGTGCCTCCGCAGATGCCTCGCTCTCAGGAGCAGCCACAGACCATGTATACTAGCATGAGCATGCAGCACAACCTTCCTACCCCCCTTTCAACCACTGCGATGTCTCGAGAGCCGGATTTCTCTCAAGTCGCATACGATCGCGCGCACATTCGCCATGCCTCGATGCCAGCATATATGGAGTACTCTCCAGCTCCCTCATTCGTGTCCTCACACTTTGAGGACTACAGCACTCGCGGTCTCTCGTATGAGCCCATCACACCACCTCAACATGCCATCCCTGGCGCTGAGCCTGCTTATATTGCCAACGAGGACACTGGCCTGTACTCCGCTATCCCAGAGATGCAGCCAATGCCGACTTATAACCCTATGGCTTCGCTGCCGCCTTCTACTCTTTCTGGACCACTCCATGTGACTGCACCGCGACCCTTCCCACCTACAAACGTGTACTCGGTGATTGAAGGATCTCCGACTTACAAGGCAAGGAGGCGGCGCTCATCGATCCCATCGTCCATCATGAATGCGGTGGCTGCCAATGCCGTTGCTCAAGTTACGCACGGAATCAAGGCGCATCTCCCTCAAAGGCCTAGCGATCTTCGCCGGTCAATGTCGAGCTCCGTTCTGCCTATTGCGGAAGGTGATGAGTCCGGCGACCAGTCTCCTCCTGGTCTCGCGCACAGTTACGCGTCCTCGATTGTCAATCGCGACCATCTCACTGATTTCTCCCGACGAAGCACGCCGTTACCGAGTCTCGAAGAGGACCCAACCCACTCCCTTGGGATGTCTGCTGGCACTGAACCCATGCCTAGTCTTATGGGAGACGATATGCACGTTCATTCGCTGCAAGCTAGCCCCGCGGTCAGGTTAGAGAGACCTGGTCCCGTCCGCAGAGCACGAAGTGCAACCATGATGGAGCTTGGTGTGCCCTACAAATCCCATTCATGCCCAATCCCCAGCTGCGGGCGGCTTTTCAAGCGCCTCGAACACCTCAAGCGGTACGCCTAACTCCGTATATTCTTGCTTGGCGCTTACTGACACGGGCTGCTTAGACATGTCCGCACTCACACTCAAGAACGTCCCTATGTCTGCCCTTACTGCAACAAAGCGTTCTCACGATCCGACAACCTGGCCCAGTGAGTCCACGCAACTTTTTAAGTCCTCTTACAATGAAACTGACAGTCTGCAGACACCGCCGGACTCATGAATCTCAACAAGATGGTCAACCCGCTCCTGTGACCAGTGAAGAAGAAATGGAGACCGAAGAGAATGATTTCTGCTCTATGGACGAGCTCTCGTCCCCAGATGAAGTTACGCGCCCCACCAGCGTGTCTGGCATGATGGCCATGTCCATGCCTCCTCCCTCAACGCTCGTCATGCAACCAATGACTTCTCAGCCAATGATGGCCCCCAGTCAGCTTGTTCAACCCTCGATGCTGCAACACTTGTAGATCTGAGACATGCATGTTGCAGTTGCTGAATGATTCACTTTCAAGAACGGAAAAGGAAATTCTTATGCTTTTAGTGTTTTACCGCAAGCCCCGTCTGATACCTGGAAAGGAGACGGGACCACGCGCATGACGAACCAGAGCTCGATGCATGTGGAAGATTACGAGGAGGTGGCGGGTAGTTTGTGAGGCCTTTTGATGTTGGACAGCATCCTCAGCAGGCAGCTGAACGGTGGCATTCTTCCCCTTGTATTTTGTTCCTCGTCTCGGGGCTTGGGATGGCGAGGAGACGTCTCTGACACCTACGACGTGGACTGGAACTTTAGCAATCTGCTGGACCAACTGTACATATATAGCCGCATTTATTTATGTTTCATCCATCCTATCAAAAGGGGACCAAAACAATTCTCTCAGGCGTCCAAATACCGTTCTATTACGCTTCTGTCTCTCTCTTTCGATCCACCAGTACATGGAAGCTTAGAGGTTCTACTCCTGCTACTGCAATCCTGCGCCCAGCGTCATAGAAGTAGGGGAAAGTCCTCAGCTCTCTTTTCTATAGACTTGTATCTCAGTCTATGTATGTACCCTGGCGGATCGTGAAACAAAGCAACGCCGTTCTTTTGCTCGTCTACCTTCCTGCTTGAGATCCCTCCGTAGGTGGTCGACCGTGGGGATCAAAATGTCAAGAGAATGATGCTCGCCAAAAGAAGAGGTTTCACCGGATGGATTACAGCCTTGGGCGGGATGGACTGTTTCGATTGAAGGAACTCGGATAATGTCCTTGGCCTAAAGCCCGACACGGGCGGTGCTTGTCCAACACATAGCTTCCCTAGTCCGGAAAAGAAATAGTTGTGTCCATTTTCCACTTCGAATTGAGTTTCACTCGTGGCATCGTGATCCTACTCATGTCCTAGCACTGCTGCCTCGTCTGCCGACCACGACCTGATCGTCTTCATCATCTTCATCGGAATCATCACGGAATACTTCCTCCAACTCTCGACTTAGTCGTCGGTTCGAGTCCGACTCGTGCTCCCCTCCTGCACCCCCACTGCGACTCACGGTTCTGGTGGCGGCATCCATGTTGGAAACCTGTCTCTCCATGGCGTCCCTTCTCCGATTCCGCTCTTGGGCGTCAAACCCGACCATAGCCTCTCCGGATTCTTCGTCAAAAAGAGTGCCATCGTCGGCGCTAACGATGCTGTTGGACCGGTCTCGTGCGAACCGAAACGACCATGTTGAGGGCATAAAGAGTCGGGCGGAGAGTGCTGGTAGTATGTAGCGTATGTGAGGCGGTACTAATAGGTTGAGGACGCGGGTGGAGAGAGAATAAGAGGCGGTTTGGACGGATTGGAGTGGGAGTGGGAGGTACTGTGAATACCGAGCTCGATGGCGACGATAGAGAGGCAGTAAGGCGTAGAACACCAAGAGATAAAGGACTAGGGAAATGAATAGAGGGAGCAGAATCGTCTGTACTACCGCAGTTAACCCTCTCGACACTCCTGTTTGATTCAAGAAGAGACTCGTACCCTAGAGAAGTTCACGAACCCTGACCCAGCCATGGCGCTGCTGGCAACGGTGGTGCTGACGGGGGCTGGCGGTGCGTCTTTAGTACTGATGATTGTGCTGGGCAGCGAGCGCCTCAAGACGGAACCCATTTTCACGCCGCCATACTCGGCGGCAGGGAGAGAGGAGGGGGACGGAAAGCTGCGATATATACCAAGCGGTATGGAGTGAGGTGCTCGAGGATAGTGCCCGTCGCGAGATTAGCCGCAGCCAAATCTGGCAAGCTTGGTGTCCAGACCGTGGCCACTGGCCAGGAGGGGCCGTTCGTCGGTCGGAGGCGAATCGGTGACTCTCCCAAGGTGTCGAGTGGGCGCCTGCACAATTGTCCTATCCAAATAGTTCTTAAACGTGTAGTCTTCTGCAGCAGTTGTAGAGTAGCAAACACAGGTGTCAAGTGTCAAACTCTAGGAGAGTCAAGAGTTCGGATCGCGGGTAGCATACAAGTCCGAGGATAGAAAGCGAATATGGTCCCTAGGGCATCTTCCTCAAGAATGGGGACTCTGCAGAGTACTCCGCGCCTATGTTCAGCACATTGGCATGGTGTATCGCGTGCATGAGCAGGAGTTGAGATTGGTTTAGCTGGGGATTGAGCGAAGGGGATGGCGACGCAGTTGGCTAGTTGGTTGACGATCCCAGGCGGCAGAGCCTAAGAGAGGCGTGCCAGTGGGCATCTAGTGGGCACTCTCCCTTACCGGCATCCTACAAGTAGGTGCTCCTACTGTGGGCAGCCGTTGGCCGAGTCCATTGGTCCATGGCGCCGGCACTGCTGCCGCTTAAGCAATCAAATGCCCCCAGGCCGCCGCCAAACACTGTTGATTGAACCCCTGGCAAGAAGGCACCAAGCACCTGTGGCACCCACCAAAGAAACCCACAACGCCCTAAACGCAAGGACAACTCGAGATCGGTCATTTGCTGGGTGGCTCTTGAACGGGTCGGGGGGACTGCGGTGTACACCTGACAGGACTCTGGCACATTTGAAGTTGGTCGTCCATCATCACCACCACCACCACGTCCATCCTTGCCATCACGAACTCCTTGGACAAACGCCGCCGACCTGAGCGGCGTGTTAAAGCGTCCTTCATCTTGTTTGAGAGCCAGCATCTTTCCCTCTCGCTTTGTTCCAGTCTTTTCGTTCTCGCTCGCTTGGTTATAGCGCTCACTTACGTCCGCAGCCAATAAATACGTTGTTTCATTGTCTGCCGCCACGCCCAATTGTTTACCGCCTTGCCAGCTGAACGATCCTGTTTCCTCTTTGTTCAACAGCACCGTGCGACCAATTTGGCCAGACACGTGCTCGCCGCGTTGCAAAGCCGATACCTCCTGTGTGTTGGAACAAGGTGTATCAGCGTCAGAAAGTGTAGGGCATCATGCAAGGATAAATTCCCGCCACCCGCAGCCGAATCCGAGAGCGTCACAGAATCAGGGCTACTTGGAAAAGAGGGGGAGATAAGTCTCAAAGAGGTGGACTTCCCCTTTCGGGGCATAACGACCGCACCAAGGTACACATGTGTCCTGTTGGCCTGCCTGCGCGCCACCGAGTATGCCCCAGATAATCCAGAACGACAAGACGACCAGACAGTCGTCCGCGAGCAAAGGTTTCTTTAGACGCAACCGAGACGCCAAAGCTGATAGTCGACACGAAGGAAGCGGCAGTCTCGATTCCTCCCACACGAACGGGTCCTGGGGCTCCCGTCATTCGAAAAGAGAGTCGGTAGCCTCCAACGATGGCCAGGATCCCGATAATTCGGGTCTCGCCATGACCGCCGGTGTCATCACCTCCATCCCTTACTCTGCCACGACTACAGGAGGGCAGGCACCGGTAACGGTGGATTACCTTCCTCGAGACGACCAAGTGCCAACCCGGAAAGATCCACAACCGTATCAACTTGCGAGGGGTTCTGATTTTCATCAATACCCTGCCATCAATGGGATATCGAATGGATCATCACACCCAACCGGGCCCCGCCCGCCTCCGCAATCGTCAAGCGCATCTGGGATAACAATGGCGTCCAGTCAAGCGGGGGATCGAGGCACAAAATATCAACAATGGGGTCGGCCAGGGAGCAGCCATGGTCCTCAGCATGGCACCTACGACTCAGTATCGACCACCGACTCATACTCGGGATCGGGACAGAGGAGGTCGTTTGACGGCGCCAGCATAAAGTCAAGTGCTTCCACTGCTACAAGAGGTTCTAGTCTATTTTCCTCGGACAACTCGTCACGAACGGCAATGCCTCCCCGCCAGGATTCCGACTCTTCTGTCACTGTAATCTCTCCCACTCATTCCAGACTTTCCAAGATCAGTTCGCACTCGGGCTGGCCCACCCAGCAAGCATCGCCCTTCAGCTCGACCACTTCATTTACTCCGGCCGGGTTTTACCTGCCGAAACCTCAAAGTGATGCAGAAATCGAGAAGTTGTTTCTGCAGTTGATGCACAAACGTGGTTGGCAAAACCTCCCCGAGCAAGCTAGGCGACAAATGATGGCATATGCGCCCGCAAAGAAATGGACTCTTGTGCATCAAGACAAATTGACAGAGTGGCAAGGTGAGCAGAAAAGGAGGCAACAAGCAAGACAGACAGGAGCTGTTGATGGGCCAATATCTAAAGACGTCGAGGGCACTCCCGAGTGGTATGTCAAAAGGATCCTCGACAACAGCATCACATCCAAACAGCTGCAAAGTCTGAGCGTCAGTCTACGAACCCAGCCCATCAGTTGGGTTAAGGCGTTCATTGAAGCACAGGGTCAAATCGCCTTGACCAGTGTCTTGATGAAGATCAATCGACGTCAAGCCAATGGCCCGACGCCCATCAGTTCTGTTGCTTCAACCGACAAGGACTTGGACAGGGAGTACGATATTGTCAAGTGTCTCAAAGCGTTGATGAACAACAAATATGGTGCTGATGACGCTTTGAAGCACGAGCAGATACCCGTTGCGCTCGCGACATGTTTGATTTCTCCTAGGCTTACCACTAGGAAGCTGGTCAGTGAAGTTTTGACGTTCCTTTGCCACTGGGATCAAGGCCAGGGGCATCTCAAGGTTCTACAAGCCATGGACTTTGTCAAGAATCAAATGAGTGAGAATGGTCGGTTCGACGCCTGGATGCGCATAGTGGAAGTTACCATAGATGGCCGAGGCAAAATGGGCAGCCTCGTAGGGGCTAGCGAAGAGGTCCGAAGCGGTGGCATCGGTATGGAGAATCTTCTGATGGAATATGCTGTTGCCACGCTCGTCCTCATCAACATGTTGGTGGATGCGCCCGATCGCGACCTACAGTTACGCTGCCATATCAGAGCTCAGTTCATTGCGTGTGGGATCAAGCGGATACTGGTCAAGATGGAGTCTTTTCAGTACGACGTGATTGACAAACAAATTGCGAAGTTTCGCGAAAATGAGGCGATCGATTACGAGGATCTGCTACAGCGCGAAGGAAGCAGCATGGTCGAGAGCATCGAAGGGGAGGTCAAGGACATGACGGATCCAATGCAAATCACAGACGCCATCATGTCAAAAGTCAACGGCACAAGAACCCAAGACTACTTCATCTCAGCTATGCAGCACATGTTGTTACTTAGAGAGAACAACGCCGACGAACGGCTGAGGATGTTTCAGCTCGTGGACTCGATGCTCAGCTACGTGGCCATGGATAGGCGACTACCAGACATGGACCTCAAGCAGAGCCTCAACTTCACCGTTCAGAGCTTGCTGGATCGACTTCATACCGACGACGAGGCCCGAATCGCTTTTGATGAAGCCACCGAGTCGAGACAGATTGCTGAAGCGGCCCTTGCCGAAAGAGATGAGATGGCAGCACAGATCGCCATGGGTGCTAATGGCTTGGTGAAGAAGCTGCAGAAACAGATCGAAGAACAAGCGGGCATCATCGAAATGCAGTCAAGGCAAGCCGAGTCTTTGAAATCGGAGGTTGCCGAGCTTCAGCGCATCAGGGCCCAAGAATTGCAGCGCAATGAGTTAGAGACCAGAGAGCTCTATCTCATGCTTCGTGATGCCCAAGATGTTGCGGCTTCTCGGGCTGCCAAAGAGGGCGCTGCGTCTCAAGACCCTGCTCAATTGGCAGGCATTCTCGATCGAGAGAAGTTGATGGAGCGCCTGGAGCGCAATCTCGAGCGGACCAAGACACAATTCAAGTTGGAAGGCAAAGTGTGGGGCCAGACAGGGCCTTCTGATCGACTGAGAGAGCTTCGTGAAAAGATGGACGACGCCGTTGATGCCGATTTTCAGGAGCAGACGCGACGACATCTCACCAATAGTGTTATGGGAAGTGTCCACCGCAGCAATGCTCACAAAGGACCCCGGAGAGCCGCATTGGAGGCTCTTGCGATCAGCGAGGAAGCAGAGCAGGATTCTGACATGGAGGAAGATGTTGTTTTTGAGAAGCCGCGACTTGTCGAATATAAAAGGCCGAAGATCAGCGCAGAGCAACAAAATCAACAGAGCAACCTCCTTGATGAGCTTGCCTCGAAGGTCAAGAAGATCGACGACGAGAGCGACGAGGCCGCCGGGGAAGGAGACGATGCCGGCGTCACCACTGGACCTACCCACCCGAGCCTGGAGTCCCAATCTCCTAGGACTCCTCTTGACGAGGGACACGCGGCGGAGGCTAAGTTCAACGGGCCTCCTCCTCCACCTCCGCCGCCCCCTCCTCCATCAAATCCGGCGTCTACCTCTTTGATCGCCGGGTTCGAAGCAGGAGCGCCTCCGCCACCACCGCCACCGCCTCCTCCGCCTCTCCCAGGCATACCCATCTCTCCTGCTACTCCATCCATGCCAGGTTTCACTGGGGGCCCACCTCCCCCTCCGCCGCCTCCTCCGGGTTCTCTACCTATGAGTCCATTATCACCCATCCCCCCGCCACCCCCTCCTCCACCAGGCGCTCCGGCTTTACCTGGTGCGCAGCATGGGCATTTCCTACCCCAGTCACCAGTGGTGCCTGTGCCTGTGCTTAAGAATCCTATCATGCGGCCGAAGAAGAAACTCAAAGCTTTCCATTGGGACAAAGTTGATACGCCTCAAGTCACTGTCTGGGCCGAGAATGTGAATGCCGAGTCCAGAGAAGAGAAATATCGCGAATTGCAGCGCAAGGGCGTTCTTGACGAGGTCGAGAAGCTATTCATTGCGAAGGAGATCAAAATCATTGGCGGAGCAGGCAGCAAGGGTAAGAATGACAAGAAGCAGATCATCAGCAGTGACATGATGAGAAACTTCCACGTCTCCATGGCCAAGTTCAAGAACGATTCCGCCGACGAGGTGGTGCGGAAGATTATCCACTGCGACAAGGAGGTCCTGGATAACAACGTGGTCATGGATTTCTTGCAACGAGAAGACCTTTGCACGATTCCCGAAAACATCGCCAAGCTCATGGCGCCCTACAGCAAAGACTGGACAGGGCCTGATGCGGTGTCTTCGAAGCGAGAGCAGGATCCATCGGAGCTGACAAGGGAAGATCAAATCTATCTCCAGACGGCTTACGAATTACACCATTACTGGAAGGCCAGAATGCGAGCCCTCGCTCTGACACGAAGTTACGAGCAAGAATACGATGATATTTCCGGCAAGCTGAAGGACGTTGTCAATGTTTCAGAGGCTATCCGTGACTCCACTTCTCTCATGAGCGTCTTAGCCCTCATTCTTGATATCGGAAACTACATGAACGACTCGAACAAACAAGCCTCTGGCTTCAAACTCAGCTCTCTTGCGCGATTGGGCATGGTCAAGGATGACAAGAATGAAACCACATTCGCGGACCTCATCGAACGTATTGTTCGCAATCAATATTCTCAATGGGAAGGGTTTGTGGAGGACATTGCTGGCGTCATTCCTGCAGCAAAACTCAACGTTGACCAACTGCGGCAAGATGCAAAGAAGTACATTGACAACATCAAGAACGTCCAATCTTCACTGGACGCCGGCAACTTGAGCGACCCTAAGAAGTTCCATCCTCAAGATCGTGTTGCACAAGTCGTTCAAAGGTCGATGAAAGAGGCAAGGCGAAAGGCAGAACAGCTCCAGCTCTTCCTGGACGAGGCGTCAAGAACATACGATGACATTATGACCTATTTCGGCGAAGACAATCAAGATGAAAATGCTCGTCGAGATTTCTTCGGGAAACTGAGCGGCTTCGTGACGGAATGGAAGAAGTCACGCGAGAAGAACGTGGGTATGGAAGAGAACAAACGACGTCTCGAAGCCAGTCTAGCTCGTAAGAGGGCTCAGGCCAGCACCAACGTGAGTGGCGCTGCAAGCGGTGCCGAAACACCAGGCAGTCCACCCGCTAATGGCGCCATGGAAACCTTGCTCGAGAAACTCCGGGCTGCAGCGCCGCAAGTGAAAGACCAACGTGACCGAAGAAGACGGGCGAGGTTAAAGGAGAGACATGATCAAAGAATCGCCAGCGGCCAGCAGCTCCCCGAGCTTCAAGTAAAGGACGGGGTGGAAGAGAGCCGCGGTCTTGGTGGCATAGGAGAGAAAGCCAATGACGATAATCTGAGCACCGACGGCACCAGCGGCAGAGGGGATGTCAGTGAAAGCGAAGACGTGGCCGATCGAGCGTTGAGAGCTCTGCAAGAAATGAGAAGCTCGGCCCCATCAACAGGCGACGAACTTGATGTGCGCAGGAGGCGCGAGGGCGCCGACGAAGAACGCAAAGCCCGACGAATGAGACGGCGCACCGCACACCAGAGCACCAATAGTGTCACCAAGGAGTCTATAGTATCACCGACCGAAACGAAGACGGAGGAAAAGGACGGTCAGGACGGAGGCAATGATGGCTTCTCGCCTACCGAGGACAAACGATCATCTGGGGGCACCCTGAGTCCCGTGGCCACACAGCCACCCCCAGCGATAATTGTCAGCCCGACGCCGGATGATGATGACGATGAAGCTGAAGCCGATCAAAAGGATGAGGAAAAGAGGGAAGAGGGTTTGGTTCAGGAATAGAGGAAGGGACATGAGCTTGGGTTCCAACAAAGGCGGGGGCACGGCGCGAGGCCCTTGTACCAGGATTGAGTTGGATGGAGAGAAGCATTATCATCTCGAGTCTTGTTCTACTTTACATGCAAAAGATACCCCCAGCAGAATAATTGTTCCGAATAGGAGGAAGACGGCATTTGCTAGGGTTGGACCTGGGGACACCAAGCATATCAGTATGAGGGTGGGAAATATTCTTGTGTAGCTATAACAAGCCATCAACGGCTGCAAATGAGAGTGAGCCTGCAATTGAGGACGGCATTCCCGTCGTTGAACGAGAAGACTACAAAAGCATTCCATGTCTCTGGAAGAACTTTGTGTGAAGATGGAGGATCCCGGTGGTTCAAACTGCTCTACCATTTCAAGCGATATCGTGTCGACGACGAATGCAACTCCCTCGATGACAGCCCGACGAGACAACAAAGGTGGGAGGGCCTGCCCAGTCTAAGCCCATTTCTCCCGTCCCATGTATCTCTCTCTATTCTTCAAGTGGCCATCATAATTTCCCCGGCCAGAACTTCCCCTCCTTCACCGCCCTCTCCTCCCACGCGAAGTCGTGGGCAAAGATGACTTCAAACTCTGCTGGCTTTTCTTCTCCCTCCACTTTGATGCCCTCCTTTGACGCCGAGTACAATCGAGCCAGAGTCTCCTTGGACCGTGGAATGTCTACATGCATGCAGCAGTATCGCCCTGTTTCGTCCGTCCATGTCGCGATGTCGCACTCCCCCGTCAACAAGCGAACATCGTGACATGAATCCCCGGCTAGACAAACAAACTTGGCCGGTTGACTGGAGATCTTGCACACGAGATTGATATGTCCGGGGAGGTGCCCAGGCGCATTGACAATGTACACACTGCCGTCCTTGAAGAGGTCGATCGCATGTGGAAAGCTAGCGAATGGTTTCCATGAGAATTGTGAGTTCCCCCCGTCTGGAGGAGGTAGTTCTATCGTTCTGTCCAGCGGGAGCAAATCCGATTCGAAGACCGAATGCTTCCCCAAGTTGAGTTGCGTCTTCCCGCTGAGAAGATCGAGAGCCCCGTTGCCCACGATGAACTTGGTCTTATCGTCATCAAAATCCCGTGGAAGTCCGACGTGATCGTAATGTACATGGCTGAATATCACGTAATCGATATCGCTCACGCGAACCCCCCCAGCTGCTAGGGAAGCGACCGCATCTGGATGCGTAGAGACTGGTCCTCTATTGGCCAAGTGAGCAGTCAAAGCTGGCGGGTATAGGTCGAGCTCTCGTCTCATACCCAGGTCGAAGACGATTCGCGTGACCTTCCCGCTTTCCGCATCTTTGTGCTGGACCAAGAAAGACAACGAAGGCACTGTTCGTTTGGCAACAGGGTCTGCTGGAACCACAAAGAATCTTTCAGGAATCGTAATGTGGCCGGTGCTCAGAGCATGAACTGACACTGTCGCCATAGTAATCGGGATTTGTCGGCGGCTCTTGGAAGATCAGAGCACCCAGCAATACGTTTGAGACAGTCGGCAGAGGTGCAGCAGCGATGTCGCAGAGATCCAGTATCTGTACCACGTCGGCTCGAGGCTAGACGTTGTTTAGATCTTCCCCGCACCAATCTATGCCCAGAGTCATCCGCGGCTGAGTCGATTGCGGGATGCTCGCTGTGAGGGGAAGTGGATTTGGATCTTTATCTTGGGTGGAGTTCTTCCTGCGGCGCGTTGCAGTCGGGTGCAACTTCTGTTGGCCTCCTGAAGCGATCCATCGGATTAAGGGCCGGCCATGTAGGCTGCTGCGATTGTAAGCATGTACAGATAGAGCCTCCTCAAGCCTTTCAGCCTCGTGAGGGTTTAGAAGTCATCGACGCCTGGTAGTTTCACGAGTCACAAGATCTGCCTCGATATTCCAATTCTCTTGCCATATTTTGATTGTATCACGTTGAGCATGATCAGCGTGCCTTGCCACCAGCAGACTGAGAGACCGCAAAAGAAGTCCCTCCACTGAGTTGTCACACATGATGTGGCTTGCTTCGCTGCCTATTCGCAACACTTGGTGGCACAAATCGAAGGGCGGACAGGGACGATTCGAGATCGTTAATGGCTGCATCTGAGACATCCTGGTTGGGTTCGAAGCTTGGTCCTCCTTTTCTCTCCTTGTCTTTGTTTTCTTTTAGTGAGAGGGCGGCGGAATTCTTCTTGTTATCTGTTCTGGACTGCCGTCGTCGATGGCCATTGGACGTGATTTGATCGGTAGTAGTCGACACTCTTCTGCGGCGGCTTTCGTGGAGCATGGAGGTTGACTTGTCAATGCCAGTATCCACAATGCGAAAGTTGTAGATTTTGGGGAAGAGATGTTTGTCGATCAGATGAAGGCGTCGTTTCTGCGGAGTGGAACATTTTCTCTCACAATCTTCAACAAAGCAAGCATATGTCTTCTCACCTTTTGCTTGCATGGCCTCGCGGAAGGCGTTGTGGTTCTCGTCGATGTGCAGGGCTAGGAAGTGAGCAGTAGGGAAATTTTTGCCGCATGAGGTACATCGGTTGGAATGGTCTTTGGCATAATGCACCTCGAAATCTTCGATAGAAGCAAAGTCCAGGGTTTCCCGGTGAGGCGGCAGAGAGCACTGCATGACAGGTCTGGCTGGCAGAGCATCGACCGTGGCTACAGCACTGAGTTTTGCAGGACGAGGCGACTGAGATTCTTCTGCCACAGAACTAGCGGTGTCGCTGCTGGAGGAGAGGGTGGATGACTCGCGTGATCGCTTGACCATGGCGGTGTAAGTTCCCGGTTGATGGGGATGTATCTAGGTCAGATCGATCTACTCACGCTTCAAGATGATGACTTGCTCCTTGCATGCCTAAGCGTTTCGAAGGTATCGGACTACCTTTAGGTCTTGATTGATTGATGAGAGACACAGGACTGATGATGGCAAGGGACGGTCGTGGACCAATGACATGGATGAGACCATGGAAAGAATCATGGCAGACTGCGCCCAGGGGAGAGAAGCGGACCGCGATGGTTGGATCTCAGCCCGAAGGAAGCCAAGCTTGAAATGGGAAGAGCGACGCCTAGCCAGCCAGTGGCTTCCCCACTGGTTGCGCCTAGGCTTGGGTGCTGGCGGTCGCTAGGCAGGCCTCTGGGTGGTGATTGGGCGCCCCTGATGCCCCCGATGAGCCTGATCCGCCCTGATCAGCCGGGTGAGGGCCTCTTCTCACTCGTTGCTCTCAACTGCACACCTCCCCCCTGTCTCTCCATGGCGGCTTTATCCTGCTGTCACAAGCGCCTCTTGTCTCTACTACTCCCTCAGCCTCTTTGTGCTTCTCGTCGGTCTTTGATCGTGCGTTTCAGGTTCTGCAGCCACGATCCATGAACAAGCTCGATTCGACGGTGCCACCACCAAGCCTGTCTGAAAGCCGCCTGGACTCGTCATCCATCTTGCATCTCCCCATCTACGACTACTGTATCTCAAACTCACCTGCGAAGCCTCAACGTCTCTTCCTCTTGCCGTTCCCCTCCTATTCCGACTGCTCCAACGGCCACTAACGACTACGGTTCACCAGACACGTCCACCAAGTGCTTTATTCAACACCCTGTCACGTATACTTCGCGTTGTCTCAACGCTCCTTGTTTCCTTGTTGCTTCCCTCCACCTGGCTGAAACTAAGTCCACGCCTCGCCCGTTCTTTGTCTGTCCACGAACTACTGCCATTTCTGCTCCTATGCCGGCCATCAGTTAAGAGAAGGAGCACGCCTCCCTACCTCCTCGTTGTCACAAAACTGGGTTAGAGGAGTTGACACGAATATGCTCGCCTCCAAGCCACCATATACTGCCAATGCTGGCAATATCCAGCAGCTGCCCGTCCGCAACTTCTCCGAGTCCTCGACCAGAACGCAAATGACCTCGATGGCTCTCCAAGACGGCCTCTTTACCTCACCAACGGACTCTGAGTTCTCCGATGTCTATGACGGACTGGACTCGATACGGGCATGGGACGAGAAAAAGGTTGGAGAGTGGCTGCACTCGATCCGCTGCGGACAATATGAATCTCTCTTCAAGGCGAACAACTTCACCGGGGAGAGTCTGCTGGAATGTGATCAAAAGATTCTATCAGAAATGGGCATCAAGAAAATTGGTGATCGTGTCCGAATCAATGTTGCAATCAAACAGCTTCGAAACAAGTCATCCCTATTACGTTCCAGGAGGAATCGGGATAGCCTTGCTATCTTGGATGGCATCGCTGGGACCCCTTCGTCCTCGGACTCTCCTCGGACTCATGGCTCCAGATCACACAATGGAAGCGGCAAGCGCTTCTCCCGCCAGCTCGATTCCTCCGTTCTGCAGAATTTCAACTCGGCCAGCACAGGATTCAAAGTCGGATCGAGACCAAGTTCACCTCTGGCAGATGTACACAGCGCAGGTTTGAGATCCCATCGTTACGCGCAGAGTCCGATGGACGCTGGAAGAAACACCTCTGCTGGCGGATACTTTAGCCAACCAGGGTCAGCTAATTCCACGTCCGGCAGACGCCCTGAAACTCCGCAACTCGCAACCCAAACCACGAGAGCAGCCCACCTCCGACAGAATTCGAGCATTGATGGTCTGACCCCTGGTGGACTGCCGTCGGGATCGCCGGTCATTAAAATCATCCACAACGGCGGTCAAACGAAGGTTGTGAACATCAAGTTTTGTCGCACCGCTGACGATGTCACGTCGACGGTGCTGAAAAAACTACATCTTCCAGAAACCCATTTTCGCAACTATTGTTTCTACGTGCTGAACGGCCTGGACCCAGATCCGGCAAATTGTCGTCGAGTAAGCGACAGCGAACTCATGAGAATTTGTAATGAGTCGACCCGATCCGAGAGAAATAGGTTGATCCTGAGAAAGATCAACGACGGGCCTCCCGACGTGGACGAACTCCACAAGGCTGCCAAAATTGCGGCTGATGAATCACAAGTTCTGCACAGCAATGCACTGAGCACGAACAACATGCGCAACCAAATCAAGCTTCAGAAACTCACGGGCGAGTCCTGGCACAATATTCAAGTACCCATCTCACCGGTTACGACTACAGATCGAAATCGAAACATTATTGCTACTGCGGATGAATATGATCGGCAGGAAGCTCAACAACACCTCCGAGTTCCCAGTAACCAGAGCACGAAGCTCCGCACGTTCTTTGGGGCACGGCCTCCCAGCGAAATGATTGTGCAGGAGCTGACCTCTTATTTCCCTGCTCATCAGCGCGAGGATATCGAAAAGACCATGAGATTGTCAGTCCGGCGCTCACAACGTATGAGTCGCGCACAAAGTCGCCTCAGCGTAATGAGTAACGTGAGCATGGCTTCCAGTCTCAAGGATGCTCCTCCCGTACCAAGCATCCCCAGCATTGCCGACTCCTGGCTGTATCAGAGCGGTATGAGCTCTCGTGCTCCTACAGCACGACCACTTTCAGTAGTATCGAATAGGTTCAATCTTATGAATCACTCGTTCCGAGATTCAATCGCATCTTCAACACTGCACCCATTACAGGAAGAGTCCCCTATCGAGCCGAACCGAAAGTCATACGTCTCGTTTGACAGCGGTTCCGACACTGCTGCCCAGAGCGAAGCAGCCAGGGCAAGTTACTTTGACGAGAGCCCCGGGGTTACCTTGAATACCGACACCATGAATGAACGACTGTCGGTAATCGTGGCTGAGGATGGCGAGGAAGAAGATCAGGAGCTGAACTCATTCCTTCAAGGCAACAGCTTCGACAAGAACAACTGGATGAAGGGTGACTTGATCGGCGAAGGCTCGTTCGGCAGTGTCTACCTCGCCCTTCACGCCGTGACCGGTGAATTGATGGCAGTCAAGCAGGTCGAGTTGCCCAACGTGGCAAAAGGCACGGAAGGTGACAAGAAGAAGACGGCCATGATTGCAGCGTTGAAGCAAGAGATCACACTCTTGCAGGGCCTGCGCCACCCGCATATCGTGCAATACTTGGGTACCTCGTCGGACGAAGAGCATCTCAACATTTTCCTCGAATACGTTGCTGGAGGCTCCATCGCCGGCATGCTCAAACAGTACAACACCTTCCAGGAGCCCCTGGTCCGGAACTTCACCAGACAAATTCTCGAGGGCTTATCCTATTTGCACGCTCGCAACATTATTCATCGAGACATCAAGGGCGCCAACATACTGGTCGACAACCGCGGAGCCGTGAAAATCTCCGACTTCGGTGTCTCCAAGAAGACCAACTTCAATGGCATGAATTCTGCGCCTGGCACGCGCACATCTCTTCAAGGAAGCGTCTTCTGGATGGCTCCCGAAGTCGTTCGTCAGTCTGGACAGTCGATCAAGTCAGACATCTGGTCTGTCGGGTGTCTTGTGGTTGAGATGTTCACAGGATCACGTCCGTTCCCGTCAATGACAACGCTCCAAACTCTGTTCGCCGTGGGAAGCAATAACGAGAAACCGACTATCCCCGAACATGCGAGCGAGGATGCGAAGCGGTTTATGGGGAAGACCTTTGAGGTTGATCACGAGAAGAGGCCCGGCGCGGATGAATTGTTGCGCGAGAGGTTTTTGTTGCCTACAGCATAAGGGAGATATTGAGAATTGGTATGCGTGGATCCATGTGTACAATGTAAGCACTTGATCAGTGTCAGGAGCATCTTGCTGAACAACATGACGGCCTGAGATGGGAAGAAACCGCGCTCCAGAGAAACAGATCGGCCATATCGGGTGGTTACCATCCCTGCAGAGCTTGTTGCAATAGTCGGAGGGTAGAGTTTTCCTTCGTTCTTCCATGTGTTATCTACGTGGGATCAGCCTGGGACGATGTTGTGTTTGTGTATATCACCGGTGCATTGATGAAGGAACATACCCCAGCGGAAGGTGTTGATTGGACCGGTGACGGTGTGTCAGATAGAGACTACAGAATCACCGCAGCCATGTGGAATGGAATACATGGATGTCCTGTTGATCTCGTGTTTGTTGGCTTTCTCCCTCCCTCTGTGTAGATCAGACTCTAGCAGCGCCAGATTCTCTTTCTATGGTAGAAGTAGAATACTCCGTGACTAAGATCGGGTGCCACCTATTCGAGAGATAGAAACGACAATGAATAATGATCAAGGAACATTTGGACGTCCAGCCAACCAAATGCTTCGTACCAGGAAGTTCCTGAGGGAGAAAGAGAAGGTGAAGAGAGAAAAGAAGCACTTCTCCCGGATCAGCCTCAGGGAGAGCGAGCGAGGAAAGCAGATATGTTCCAAAGTCATGCCATGGCAATGCTCCTAGGTTTTGCAGATTCTTCCTCCTGGCCACATCTGGCCTGCTCTAACAATGAGAGAACTCGCACAATTTGTACACCAGACTCTCCTCGCACAGCCTGTTCGTTAGGGTTTCGAAGGAGCCCGACCTCTGCTATATTCTTGTCCCTAGCATTCTCCGAAACGGGCCACCTTCCCTCGTCATTTGTAGCCAGGGGTGACTTCGTACTCGCTAAGCTATGTCCATGGGCTGGATTGGGATGTGGACCGTCGGAAGCGGTCGAGGAGCGTCGTGGTGGTCCGTCATCTTCACACCGTTCTGCAGATGTTGCGGGCCTGCAGCTGTCACATTGTTTCGTGGGGCATCATTACTCGTATCCGTCATGTCTCCTAGGGGTTGTATCGGCCTCGGTGGAGCCTGCACTTGCTGCAAACCATTGACAGCTGCTGATGCTCCATTCAATGTAAGGGGAGACTGAGGAGGTGGAACTTGTGCCATCGGCGTGGAGGCAGGCTTCTCAGCGTCTTTCCGATACCGTAGTTGCACAACCAAGCTTTCTTGAGTATTTTCATCCTCCTCCACCTCGTCAGGTTCGAGGCCCTCGTCACTCATGTCCTCATCGTCGTCGTCGCCTTCGTCCTCTCCGTCAAAGTCCGGCTCTGACTCGTCTGGCTCATCTTCGTTTCCACTCCATTCTTTACCTGACGATTGAGCTTCTTCGCTCTCCTCTGAGTCCATTTGATCGGCATAACCCTGTCTGGTCGGTTTGACTTGTCTTCCTGACCTCGATGTTCTTACAGCACGCGAAGTGGGCATGGTGGCGGGCATGTCCTCGCTTGTCTCCGTAAAGCTGCCTTCACCCGCCACTCTTTCCAGCTCCTTGCGCTGGTCGATCAACATGCTCTCACCGTACAAACCACCCACCCTCGACTTGACCTGCCTGCCGCTGGCGGTAACGGTCGGCCCTGTCTCTAGAGGGGTAGATATGCCGGAATTGCGCGTGGATCGTTTGCTGGAGAGTCCGTCCGACCCATACTCGTCGTCTGAATACGTATATCTCATTCTCTTTCCACGTGTTCGTCCCTCGTACAATGAGAATCCGGGTTCCGGTCGAGCGAATGCGGCCTTTCGGGCAAGGCGGTAGTCGCGACGTCTGCGCTTCTAGTGCACTTATTAGCATATATCAAATATATGCGGGAGGTTGCCTACCTCTTCACCAGCCTCGAACCTGGGAATGGCTCCCCGTAACTTGTCGCTAATCACTTTTGAATTGGAACTATGTTCGTCGGCGAACTTGTCTGCCAGTGCCATGACATCTGGAATGGAACCAGCGACGCTGAACCATGTGTTTGTCTTTGCAGTCTTGCCATCATTTTCTCTGTAAATTCGAAAATGCGAGTCGTCCTGTCCTTCGATGAGCCAATACTTTCGGCGATATTGGTCTGAGAACCAAGGTTGAACGCTGCGTGGCTGGTTTCGGTCGTCGTCCCGACGCGTCTGCTTGTAAGACTCTTTGATGAGGGCTTGAATGGCTTCAGAGGAATTAAGAGACCAGAGAACAAGAGCTTTTAACAGGCTCAGCTAAACCTTGGTTAGCTATGCACAAAAGAGCCGGCAAAGGCATATGCGTACCCTCTCCTCCGGGCTCATGTTGTTGAAATTTTTCCCTCCATGAAGAGGGCTGACTCCCTTCCACTCAGCTGGCCATTGGCTGTGGTTCGCAGAGAGCGCATCTTCAAGTGCCCGGCCATAGTGTCCGCGTCTACCCAGGGTTAGAAATACAACGTGTGATGTCCGAGGAGCTCGCTGTTGGGCAGCGAGTCGTCCAATGCGCGGAAACTAACTCGACATCCTTCTTTCTGTTCAAGACGAGACCCAAAAGCGCACACAGCAGTCTCTCCACATGCTCGTCAGGAAGTTCTCCCGCCACCCCTCTTTCAATGTCTTGCGGTCCGTAATTCGGTAGAGACTTGGGAAACACGTCGCTGAATCGGCTTCTGAACATAACAATGAAGGCAATCGTCGGGTTGTCGGCCAAGGTATATTCGTGGGGTGGTGAGGGTGCGCGTTTAGGAGGTTCGGGGGTGGCTTCAGGCTTGGGCGCCGGCTTGAAATATCGATCCAATCCCGTAGGCTTCAACGCCATTTTCTGTGCCATTTCCTCGTCGTCGGAGGATGGTGCAGAAGACAACGAAGAAGAGTCCGAGTCGGCCATGGTTAGATGGAGAGGCAATGAGGACGCAAGAGAAGACGACAGTTACGGCGTAGGATGACGAGTATGTCGCAGCAGGAGCACAGGGAGGAAGTCAAGGGAAACTACAAAATCAGGAAGCGGTCTGATGGATTCACTTGGCGCGTTGAGGGCAAGTTACGCGCTGCTCGGCCAATGATTGCATTTCCATCTGTATTCCGACGCTGGCAGACAACGATGTCCCTTTCACATCCTTCAGAGCGACGAATCCCATGTTAAATCCTCCCCTGAGTCCGAAGCACCATCTGGCCCTCAGTCACCTGCCTTCTGCTGGACAGCTTTCGTTGTTTGGGTGTTGGAGGCTGCCCACCATGAGCGGCCGTGATTTAGGGGACGCCAGCATGCCAAGCGTCCGAATCAGCCTCTTTCGAACTTGGAATTGCGTTGGCGCAGTCGCGGATAGAGGGCCCGTATTTTCCCATGCATTCCGCTTTGCACATTCTTGACAGCGCTCTGAGCCGTTGGTATGCTCGCCGGTCGACGTTTGTACGTCTGTTTCAATCCTCTAGACGCTGCTGCGGAATGCCTGCCCTTCCCCCAAAGTCTGGCTGAGGCTAAGCATTCTCCGAGATGACGCGGGGTTCTCCGGGAGACCAATTGTTATCCCAACAACGCGCCCAAATTTTGTGTCTTGACTCTGCTGCGGAACGACCCAGGTGAAGATGGTGTTGTGTCTGCCAAGTTGAGATGGTCTGGAATCCGAAAATGCCGACAGTGAGCAGAAAGCTGTGACGTGCAAGATTGACACATCTCGTCGCTGGTAGAATCCTGTAGACTTGCGATTGGGCTGGCACATGTAGCTGAACCTAACCGTGTGCTTCAGAGCCGGTCCTCACCGGCAGAGGGTCTGAGGGCCATTGCGTGTAGCCGGCTCGAAGATCAGTATGTTTGAGAGTCTCTTTGCAAAGCGGTGTCGACGCTGCTGGTTTTGATTGACCTAGCATATGGAGGGATTAAGTCCTCACAAATATTCTGTGTGCATATGACAGACACTTTGGTCCAACCGTGATGTTGATCAGCTCGCCGATGTTGGGGCCGCCGCACCTGTCGGCCAATGCGTGGCAGAATAGGAGCCTGCTCCGCCAATACTCTAAGCTTGGAAGAACTTACCACAAGCCACAACTCTTCTGTTAGACATGTGCCGCCATGCCGAGCAGAGTAACATCAGGATATAACAAGCTGCTCCGCTTGATGAGAAAGACCTGAAAACTTCATCTTATCGACGGACTGTCGTATCTGAACATTTTCGAGAGTGCAGAAGAAAACGAGACGGAAATGCGTAAAGCGTAAGGGACATTTGTAGAGTCCACTAATTCGGATGCTGTCTGTGTAGATGGAGGAAATCCGTCGAACAAGGTAGAGGTGAGATGAATTTGAAGTTGGCGGTTGCGGACTGGACTTCAGACTCGAAGATGGATGTGAGGCGGGCTGGGCGGGAGCCAAGTCATCACGTGCAGCTCCCAGATACTGTCTGATGTCTTGCTAGTCCATAATAGTACTAGAGGCATACCTGCGTCACTGTGATTCTTTGCGTCGCCGTACCACTACTCACGCCGTGCCAAGATTTTTGCTGAGGCGCACACAAACGAAACCTGCGCACGTCCACCTTCACCTCGAACTTTCAACAACCACGTTCGGTCGACAACTACCTCCAATCTCTACGCCATCATGGGTAGAGTCATTCGGAACCAGCGCAAAGGGCGCGGATCCATCTTCAGTCAGTACCTCCTCGTCTACACCGCAGCCGGAATCTCTGCTTTGCGCTCACAAACTCTGCACAATTGGTTTTTGTCCCTGTACTGACGCCTCGCAACAGCCAGTCATACCAGGTTGAGAAAAGGAGCTGCCAAGTTTCGACAGCTCGATTATTCGGAGCGTCATGGATACATTCGCGGCGTAGTGTCTGAAATCATCCATGATCCAGGTCGAGGTGCACCGCTCGCGCGTGTCCAGTTCCGCTCGCCCTACAAATATGGCCTCAAGACCGAAACCTTCATTGCCAACGAGGGACTTTTTACTGGCCGTAGGTGTTCGCTGCGGCGTTATTCTTCGTCTTAGGACTCATAAATTGATGCAACGGCTGACTGCTTGGGGACATCAGAATTCATCTACGCCGGCAAGAATGCAGCATTGAACATTGGCAACATCCTCCCCTTGGGCGCAGTCCCCGAAGGAACAGTGGTTTCGAACGTGGAAGAGAAGACCGGTGACCGAGGCGCTTTGGGACGAACTTCGGGCAACTATGTGACTGTGATTGGACACAACCCAGATGAGGGCAAGACCAGGGTCAAGCTCCCCAGTGGTGCAAAGAAAGTTGTTCTCAGTTCTGCTCGAGGCATGATCGGTATCGTCGCTGGTGGCGGACGTACCGACAAGCCTATGCTCAGTATGTGCATGGCCATTGCCTATCTGACAGTCGGAAGGAGCTAACAAGAGGGTACAGAGGCTTCCCGCGCAAAGCACAAGTTCGCCGTCAAGCGCAACTCCTGGCCCAAGACTCGTGGTGTTGCCATGAACCCCGTTGACCATCCCCACGGTGGTGGTAACCATCAGCACATCGGCAAGGCCTCGACCATTTCGCGGTACGCGGCCCAAGGTCAAAAAGCCGGTCTTATTGCTGCCCGGAGGACTGGTTTGCTACGTGGTACCCAGAAGACCAAGGAGTAGATGTGATGTTTGTACGGGGGACTTCCAGAAAACGGCGTGGACTGTGTTACGGCTCTTTTACGGCATTTGCGACACCAGCACACAACACGGAAGTGGAAAAGGGTTCAAAGCTCCGACGTCCGGAAAAATGCTAATAGATGCATTGTCATTGAACAGGTGCTAGTTGAAGCTAGATAGCCTGGGGTTGCGGTCGCCATTTCCGCAATGAAGATCGGATTGAGACGATGAGAAGATTCTGCAGGGCGCGAGCAAGGGAGATTGCCGTCATCTCCAGAACCTCACAGTGACCGAAACCGATTATATGACAAAGTCGATCACCCCCTTTTTTTCTTTGTTGTAGAAGTCCTCAGCCGTAGACCGCGAATCTTGTGGCGTGTCAATGTTGGAAATCCCCCCTTTTCTTCCCAAAAGAAAAGGTGTCACGAGAACACCCATATGCAACTCAGACGTCCATGCTTACATGGCGGCCATATGCATGGTAATAATGCTTACGGGGTTCGGCGACGAGAAACGGCCGGGGACATACGAGCGCTCGGTACTGGCGGTAAGTATCGTAGTGGTAGAGGCCAGGAAAATTATGCCACAATTGTGCCCAGTCAAAGTCGACCATGGCTTCTTTTTGTCCCTGCGCCATTTTGGCAGCAGAGCGGACACGGACTTGTAGCTACTCGTAGATAAGCCAAGCGATGAATTTCAGTTGGTGGCGCATTGTTTCAGAGGGACACGAGCTGTCACTGGGCACCCTCAGGCACCGCTGGAGCTGCTGGCGAATCCCCCGCAGAAGAGTTTGAAGTCAGGGGCCGCTGTTGGCAACCAGTGGCTCTGGGCTGCTCTGGGCCTCTGGCTTCTCTGGCGTCCATCAACTCTCGCAGTGGACCTCGTGGACCTCGAAGTCTGAAGGGGTTCCGAAACTCAATCAGACTGAACGCATGTTTGCGCGTCGCTGCAACATTAATTGGCACCGAGACGAGACCTCCGCGACGGACAGCAGGGATTTAATTCATCATCCAGCATCCATCGTCCCCAGGGCCGCCTCGTTAGGCCTGATTCCTGATCCAGTTCTTGTTCCACGCCGTCAGCGCAGACAATCGTTTATTCTCCCTCTATATTCTGACCTCATTCACGCTGCTCGCCGGACTTTGCTTCTATCCCTTGCTCATCTTCCCGCAGCCCTTGATCAGCATTCCAATTGCGAGACTAGAATCACTACGCTGTCCGATCCGATCCCTCCGTTGCTCACCATCGCCGCAGACAGCGTAACATAGCACCTTCCCTTATCGATCCCAACATCAGCACTCTCTTATAATCTCCTCTCGCTCTCTCCCACACCCGCCAACGGGCATTGTCATCGACCGTCCTCAGTCATGAATGTCAACAAGAAACTCGATCGTTTCAAGCAATGGGCAGGAGAGCGCATGGGGGGTGAAGTCAAGACCAATGTATCCGACGATTTCAAGGCTCTGGAGGTGGAGATGGGCCTCCGCCAGGAGGGTGCGTATCACCCTCGTGCTGAACGATCGCAGGCAGAACAGGCGCTGATCGCTACACTGTGCAGGTCTCGAAAAAATGCAGCGATCTATGAATGCCTATATCAAAGCCATCTCCAAACGGTCCGAGGTGGAGGGCAAGGAGAAAACCCTTCCGATCGCTTACATGGGCGGGACCATGATCTCTCATGGTGAAGACTTTGAGACAGATTCAGAATATGGTCAATGTCTCAATAGTGGGTATGCCCTCTGCACAAGGAAAATCGCGTGCTAACCCTTCAAAGTGTTTGGTCGAACCCAGGAACGGATGGCACGCACACAGGAAACCTACATCACAAATGCCACCACTTCCTGGCTAGAGTCTCTCGAGAGGTCTCTGGTCCAACTGAAGGAATACCAGGCCGCTCGCAAACGACTTGAGACGCGCCGACTGGCTTATGATACTTCTCTAGCCAAGATGCAGAAGGCCAAGAAAGAGGATTTCCGCGTCGAGGAGGAGCTGCGGACTCAGAAGGCCAAATACGAGGAGTCGGCCGACGATGTTCAGCGAAGAATGGAGGAAATTCGCGACTCCGACCCCGAGAGCGTGGCCGATCTTGCAGCATTCCTTGACGCTGAACTAGCATACCATGACCAATGCAGAGAAGCACTCCTCCAACTTAAGAGCCAGTGGCCTGCCAGGTAGGCATTTGCTCCCCTCAAGGCGAGATCCCATCTAACACATACTGCGCAGAGCCCAGCTGTCAGGTCGTAGTGGCCGTCCCAATCCTCGATCAAGATCAAACACCGTTCGGTCATACACTCAGACAAGTGAGCCGGCGGAGGAGCCAGCAGTGATCGAAGTGCGCCCGACTATCAAGTCGAATCGGGGCGGCCGTTTTGCTGACCAGCCTACTCTTGAATATTCGCCAGCCCGCCCGAATTATGCCAGAGCTACCACGTTCAACGACTCCCATGCAGTTCGGGATCTGTCCCCCGCCACCCGGCCTGGGATTGCACGCATTCCCAGCGATTCTCTGATGATTCGAACGGCGCGATCGCAGCTGCGAAGCGTAGATGAACAGGATGTCTTTGCCGATGAATCGGGCTCGTACACAAACAGTGGCTCCGACCGCGGCTACGGGGATCAATCTGTATCCCCAGCAACTTCCCATGGCAGCGAATCAGTGAATCTTCTGAGCGGCAAGAAGAGTGCTGTTCCGCCTCCACCCCCACCGTCACGTTCAAAGAAGCCACCCCCTCCTCCTGTACCAGCAAAGAGAACTGTTCTCACATAAAGTATCGTGTACGCAGGGGATTACGAAGGCTGTTTGGATTGATAGACGGCGTCAGGCGCTGGATCCGGGGGCGAGACAGGTTTCCTTGCCCAGAGAGTGACTACTAGAGCCAGGCCCAGCTGAGAATGCATCACAGCGGCGTTGTATGACGTATAAACTGATTGAATTTGCAAGCATATCAATCTTTGGCCATTTGCTTCGGGACCGTACTCCGCGCAAATATTCCGAAACTGTATGCTTGTACTTCGTAGACCTGCTGAAGATATCTCCGCCCGGTCGACAAGAAAGTATATTTTGAGGACGCGTCGTTGGAATATCACGTGATAGACCAGTGACACGTGACTTTATGAAAAGACCAAGGTTTGCCGCCCGCTTGGCAAACTACTACTTGCAGACCTCGTTTGGGGTCACATCTGTTCTCCGTTACGCTCCCCCCCAAGACGTGAAGGCCCCTCGGCCGGGAAAATCATCATTCAACGCGTCGCATCCATCTCTTTTCATCTCAACTGAACTCTGGTAACTCGCAGCACCGCTTGAGGAGTGCGCCCGAACCCGGTGGCCGACTCTTCGTCCCCTCTTTAATCAGGCACCCTCACCTCAACCGCCCTACCTCGCCTCACCCAGGACTGCTACACCACGGGTCCCTCCCATCTGCCATCTGCGCCCACGTCCATCCACCTTCACGAGGCTGCGCCAGTCCTGTGCTTCCGCTGAGGACCGACAGCAACGCCACCCGTCCTGATTAGATGCTCAGACAGGACTTACAGCGTTCGCCTTGACCTGCAGCTGCTTGACTTTGCGGAATTCCTGGGCCGGCTGAGAAGTCACCATGACTTCTGTTCAGTCCGCGCCTGCGATGCAGGCCAATGTTCCCTCACTCCCACCCAACCTGTCCCAAGCCCAAGTGCAGGAAGTTTATCAGGTATGTAGGCTTCGCAAAATGGCCTTCCAACCCCAAATAACCATGCACTATAATCGACTGCTAACAAGCGCAACAGAAATTCCAGCGCATGAAGGCCCAAAATGTCCCCGAAAACGATCCTGAGTACTTGAAGGCATATCGATTCCTCACTGCTGTACAACAGCAGCAAAACTACCGCAAATTGCAGGCGCAAAAGCAGGCACAACTCCAGGCTCAGCAACTGCAGGCTGCCCAAAAACCCCAACATCAACCGCAACCGCCATTGAACCAACATCCCGGACTACAAGTTAATGGAAATGCCAATACTCCGACAACAAATGGAACTAGCAATGGTCAACAAGATTCAGCAGGCACGGTAATCAACGGGGCCACTTCCTCCACGCCGAGCGCAACTGGACCAAACTCAACACAAGCTGTTGCAGCACAGGCACAGCGGGCTACAGCTCAGACAAATGGCAGCTTCACAGCGGAACAGCTGAATTTATTGAGAACCCAGATTTTTGCTTTCAAGACACTTTCCAAGAATCAACCTTTGCACCCCAGAATACAGCAACAACTATTCCCTTCCCTAAAGCCACAGACTGCTACACCTACGGACAGCACTCCCTCTGGGGATAAGGTGGCAGATGCCGCTGGCGAAGCGAAGGAGGATGGTGCTTCGACCGAGGTTGCTCGAGTTAAATCTTTCTTCGAAACCTATCAGTCGCCTTACGAACTTCTCTTCAAGGCGATTAGCTTCTCAGATCATTCACAGCGCCCCAAACGACAAAAGATTCCAAGCATCCTGCCCATTGGCCTTGACTCTGATCAAGTTCGAGAGGAGCAAGAACGGCTGCTGTACAACCGCATCCAAGCCCGAAAGGCTGAGTTGGCAGCACTTCCTGTCAACATCGCATCTTGGGACACTAGTAAATCCGTCGATCCCACTGCTGACGACTCTCTTAAGCTCAAAGCACTAATCGAGTATAAAAAGCTATGTCTGCTCCAGAAACAGCGAGACTTCCGCCGCGAAATCCAGCAAGAGCTTTTCTACTACGACAATCTTGCAATGACCGCTAACCGATCAATGCATCGTCGGATGAAGAAACAGTCACTTCGTGAAGCTCGCATCACTGAGAAACTCGAGAAACAGCAACGCGACGCTAGAGAGAACAAGGAAAAGACTCGACAAACGAATCATTTGCAGTCCATTGTCGCTCACGCCCAAGATATCAAGAACAGTGCCATCAGTCACCGCTCGCGTATTCAGAAGCTTGGTCGGATGATGGTCACTCATCATCAACATATGGAGCGTGAAGAACAGAAGCGCATCGAACGAACTGCGAAGCAACGTTTGCAAGCATTGAAGGCAAACGATGAAGAGACATACCTGAAGCTTCTTGGCCAAGCCAAAGATTCTCGTATTACACATCTTCTCAAACAGACCGATGGTTTCTTGAAGCAACTAGCTGCCTCTGTCAGACAACAGCAAAGAAGTGCGGCAGAGAAATGGGGCGAAGACAAGTACACGGATGAAGAGGAAGAAGACGAGGGCGACTCGGAAGATGAGGAAGGACGTGGCAAGGTGGATTACTATGCCGTCGCTCATCGAATTAAAGAAGAGGTCAACGCCCAGCCTTCGATCCTCGTCGGAGGCACTTTGAAAGAATACCAGCTCAAAGGCTTGCAGTGGATGATCTCCCTATTCAACAACAACCTGAACGGTATCTTGGCCGACGAAATGGGCTTGGGAAAGACCATTCAAACAATCAGCTTGATCACTTATTTGATCGAGAAGAAGCGCCAAACCGGTCCATTCCTGGTTATTGTGCCTCTAAGCACGCTCACCAACTGGAATCTGGAGTTTGAGAAATGGGCTCCCTCTGTGAGTCGCATCGTGTACAAAGGCCCGCCGAATAGCAGGAAACAGCAACAAATGAGGATTCGACAGGGTAATTTTCAGGTCTTACTCACCACGTACGAATATATCATCAAGGACCGCCCTATCTTGAGCAAGATCAAATGGGTACACATGATCGTCGACGAAGGCCACCGAATGAAGAATGCCCAGTCGAAGCTGAGCAGTACCATCACTCAATATTACACAACGAGATACCGACTGATCTTGACTGGTACCCCCCTGCAAAACAACCTGCCCGAATTGTGGGCCCTTCTCAATTTCGTTTTGCCGACGATCTTCAAATCAGTCAAATCTTTCGACGAATGGTTCAACACTCCTTTTGCCAACACTGGCGGGCAAGACAAGATGGAGTTGAGCGAGGAAGAGCAGCTTCTGATTATTCGCCGTCTGCACAAGGTTCTGCGGCCTTTCTTGCTCCGTCGTCTCAAGAAAGACGTGGAGAAGGACCTTCCTGACAAGCAAGAGCGGGTTGTCAAGTGTCGCTTCTCAGCTCTTCAGACCAAGCTTTATATGCAGTTGATGACGCACAATCGACTGGCTGTGGCCGACGGCAAGGGCGGTAAGACCAGCATGCGCGGTCTCAGCAACATGTTGATGCAGCTGAGGAAACTGTGTAACCATCCTTATGTCTTTGAACCTGTGGAAGACCAGATGAACCCTGGCAGGGGGACGAACGACTCGATCTGGCGAACAGCTGGTAAATTTGAGCTTCTCGACAGGATCCTGCCCAAGTTCTACGCCACAGGTCATCGTGTATTGATGTTCTTCCAGATGACTCAGATCATGAACATCATGGAGGACTTCTTGCGGTACCGAGGCATACAATACCTCCGACTTGACGGTGCCACAAAGGCTGAAGATCGATCTGAACTGTTGCGGGTGTTCAATGAACCAGGATCACCATACTTCTGCTTTCTTCTTTCGACGCGTGCAGGCGGTCTAGGCCTGAATCTCCAGACAGCAGATACTGTCATTATCTATGACTCAGACTGGAACCCTCACCAGGACTTGCAGGCCCAGGACCGTGCTCACCGTATCGGACAGAAGAATGAAGTGCGCATCCTGCGTCTCATCAGCTCGAATTCAGTGGAGGAGAAAATTCTGGAACGCGCTCAATTCAAGCTTGACATGGACGGCAAGGTCATTCAGGCTGGTAAATTTGACAACAAGTCCACCAACGAGGAGCGAGAGGCATTCCTAAAGACCTTGCTCGAAGCTGCAGAAGCCGCCGAACAAGTGGGCGATCAAGAGGAGATGGACGATGACGACCTGAACGAGATCATGGCTCGCACAGAAGATGAGTTGGTACTGTTCAAAAAGATGGATAAGGAACGTGAAGAAACCGACCAATATGGACCCGGCCGACCGCTCGCACGTTTGATGGAAGAAAGCGAGCTCCCTGACATTTACGTGGCCGAAGACAATCCGGTTCAAGAAGAGGTCGAAGAGTACACTGGTCGCGGTGCCCGTGTCAAAACGCAAGTCAAATATGACGACGGTCTTACTGAAGAGCAATGGCTTGCCGCTGTTGATGATTCGGACGATTCAATTGGTGAGGCGGCCAAACGCAAACAAGCACGGATCGAGAAGAGACGCAGCAACAAGCTCAAACGTGAGCGAGAAGCCGCGGGTGTCGCATCGTCACCTGAGCCAGAACGCGAAAGTTCTGAAGAGGAGCCTCCTCCAAAGAAAAAGGGCCCGGGACGGAAGTCAGCGGGCCAGAAGCGCAAGGCTGAGGAGATTGAGGAGGAGACACCAGCCGCCAAGCGTAAGAGAGGGAAGCAACCCAACAAGCCTGCCATCGACGCGCTGAGCAGTTCGGAGCGATCTGCCTTACAAAAGGCTCTCAAAGCTGTGTTTGCATCCATCAAGGCTCTCGAAGTGCCGGACTCGGATTCGGAGCAGCAGTCCGAAGATGAGAGCGATGACGAACCGCCAACAAGACTGATCATTGGACCGTTCCTGGAGCTGCCACCGAAGAAAGTGTATCCGGATTACTACAGCTTCATCACTGAACCCATCGCTATGGACATGATTGAGAAACGTATCAACAGCCACCAATATACCAGCCTCAGGGACCTCCAAAACGACATTGCGCTGCTGGCAAAGAACGCCAAGACGTACAATGAGGACGGCAGCATGCTGTATAATGATGCAATTGCCATCGAGGTAAGGCTTCCATCCCCATCTGATCTGAAATGTGTGACTAACAACCTGTGACAGAATCACTGCAATGAGATGGTAGCCAAGCAGATTGCAGAAAACCCCATCCTCGGAGAGAGAGGGTTTCCGGACGGTGATTCCACAGCAGCAGGGTCAAGTGCGGGAACGCCCCGAGGATCCGTGGCACCAGCCGGCGGGACAAAGTTGAGACTGACATTGGGCTCCGGCAGTAATGGGATTGCGACGAATGGCACTACAAGTGGAGCAGCGAGCGGAGCGGAATGATAGATGGATGTGTTATTGTACCATAACGAGATAAATTGAAGACGAGGAAAGCGGTCATGGGGTGGATTGCATCAGGGCTTGCATCTGGACAAAGGGAGTGGCCGTATCATCCAATCTATGGTTTCTAAACATCAGGGTGGATTTGGACGGTCATGGATTGCATGGCTTTGGAATGGAAGAGAGAGAGGGAGAGAGAAGAGAGGTAGCGTGAGAAAGGGCTTTTTGTTCGCTCAGGAGATTCAGTACCGGGTACTCCGTATAGCTGTGAGATTACTAGTATTGCTTGTACAACGGATATTCTTGAGCCTCCATTCTTTTATGCCGCCTCGAGTCTGCCTCAGGGGACTGGGGCGTACCGAGTACCGAGTACGCTGGGAGGCATCGATGGGTGCGCAAAAAGGGGTACGGCGATCACTAAGGAGTCGGCGAGGACGGCACCCACGGCTGGATGAATACATCTGGAGGAGAATCCGCCAATGGTAGAGGGGGACAAGGAGCGTGTGGAGAGGACGAGGCGAGCGGGAAGCATGAACAGGTGCTCCATCGTAGTAGGAGGAGGAGGAAGCGGAGGAAGAGGAGGAGTTGGTCCAATACTCTGTCCTCTTTGTCCGTAATTCGTCCATACGTGTACAAGTGAGGAGAGAGAGGCCAGGGTAAAGACACTCTACATCGCATCCACTTGCGCTGCGCCTGTTGTCTCCAAACCTCCAAACTTCCAACCACATACGCCGCAGCCTACACTTCTCACCTGGTTGTCCGTACATGGTCTCTTGTCACTCCTGATCTGCCATCATTGCACACTCTGCCGCTCGTCCTGCCATGCTTGCGCCCTCGCTGCCCCCTCTCGAATGATACCTAGTTTGACCTCTGCGCCAACATGGCGTCAACGCTGGTGGGCGCGACGTTGAATCTTCTCCGTACCGCAACCCCTCGCCCGCTCTGCGAGACCATGACGCTGATTCTCAGGACACAGGTCGCCAGGTTGAAGACGTCGATCCAGACGGTACGCTGCATGCGCTTCGCCGCTCCCGATTCCCTTTCGGTTCCTCACTGATTGATGCTCGCGACAGACCCTCCCGAAGCTGGCCAGAAAGAGATCTTTTCGTCATGGGCACTCTTCATTCTGATCATGTTGCTTATTGCGGCGCTGTTTACGAGCTATATTTTGCAGCAGAAGAGAATACAGGCCGTCCATGAAACCGTCATATCTATATTTGCTGGTACTCGCTGATTGCTAGACACGTTTCTTCACCGCTGACCGCAGTGTCCAGGCATGGTCGTGGGACTGGTCATACGCATCACACCCGGCACCGCGATCCAAGACACCGTCAGTTTCGATTACCAGTTCTTCTTCAACCTCCTTCTTCCCCCCATTATTCTGGCATCGGGCTACGAATTACATCAGGTAGGCTGCCTTGCGAAGAGACTGGATCCACGCCCACTGTGGACATCAACTAAAAGGTTCATAGGCAAACTTCTTCCGCAATATCGGCACGATCTTGACCTTTGCATTCGCCGGCACCTTCATTTCCGCTGTCTCTTTGGGCCTGATACTCTGGCTGTGGACACGAATCCCCTTCGATGGCTTAACCATTACCTGGGTTGAAGCCATCTCCGTTGGCGCAACCCTCTCCGCCACCGACCCCGTCACTATACTGGCTATCTTCAACCTATACAAGGTCGAACCCAAACTTTATACGGTCATCTTTGGCGAATCCATCCTCAATGATGCCATTGCCATCGTCCTGTTCGAGACTGCCCAGCGATACAGGGAGGGAGCTGCTGGGAATTTGAACATCATCAGCCTGTTCGAGGCCATTGGCATCTTCTTACTCGTCTTCTTCACGAGCTTGGTGATTGGGGTGGTTGTGGGCATCGGGACTGCGCTCGCTCTGAAGTATACGCTTGTGCGCAGGTTTCCAAAGATAGAGAGCTGTCTCATCGTTCTGATCGCATATGCAAGCTACTTTTTCTCCAATGGCGTTCACATGTCTGGTATGTACCATCTCACCCAAGCCTCTGACTTCTTACAGCACACTGACTCCAGTCACCAGGCATTGTGTCGCTCTTATTCTGCGGCATCACCCTCAAACATTACGCATACTACAACATGTCCCGAAGGACGCAACTTACCACGAAATTCGTCTTTCAGATCACTGCCCAGCTGTCGGAGAACTTCATATTCATCTACCTTGGACTTACGCTATTTACGGAGACCGATTTGGTTTTCAAACCGCTGTTTATCCTCGTTACCGTAGTCGGCATCTGTGGCGCACGGTGGCTGGCCGTGTTCCCACTTTCCAAGGCGATCAATTATATCATCCGACTTCGAGCCAAACGTCGTGGTCGCGACGTGGCAGAAGAACTTCCGTGGCACTATCAGGTCATGTTGTTCTGGGCCGGCCTACGGGGTGCCGTCGGTGTGGCCTTGGCCGCTGGGTTACAAGGCAACGAAGGTCCCGCACTCCGTGCAACTGTGCTTGTCGTGGTGGTGTTGACCGTCATCATTTTCGGCGGGACAACGGCCCGTATGCTAGAGATTCTGGGCATCCGCACGGGCGTGGTCGAGGAGATCGACTCGGACGATGAATTCGATATTGAGACCGCCAACGGTGGTACATACTACAAGCGATCTGGCACTGGCTTCGGCCACAATCCCCGGCCCTCGGCTATTGGCCTTGACTACGTGGGCAACAGTCGCGAAGGAAAAGCAAATGGCTCAGCCTCACATGCTCGCAACGACAGAGGCTACAGCAGTAGCAACGGCCGATCTCCCCCACTTCACGCCGGAGGCCAGCGCAAAAACTCGGCGATCTCTCAGCGTGACCGCGAAATTGCCGCTCAGCAAGGAAAATTGCTGTCTGGCAATGGTAGCACCAGCGGCTCCACGTCCGATGACGACGAAGATGCCGCAGAGCTCGACCTCCCTCCCGCCGCACCGCGCAGAAAACAGTCTCCTTTGTCGCTGCCACCTGGAGCTCACGACACTCGCATTCGCTCTGCTCCTGATATTATCCTCAACAACGGAGATGGTGATCCCTTAGGGGCAGACCAGGGAGATATGGGCACAGCAGCTACCCAGCCAGAAAGAGCTTCGACGCCGCTGGCGGGAGCAAGCAGTTCGATAAGGAATCTATTACGGGGAGCAACGGCGGACCACACTGCTTGGTTCCGCCAGTTGGATGAGGATTTTATCAAGCCGCATCTGTTATTGGACCAGCATCAGGGGCAAGGTAAGGGGCCACCTCCTTCATGAGCACAGAGCCTTTTCTTGTTTCTGGAGGATGCTTCATTCGAAGAGGAGGTTGCCGGAGGCTGGGGGTTTATTCCTTGCATTGGGCGTCAGGTGTCGTTTAAAAGTGATTTTGAGATGACATGATCTTCGATTGAAGGGATTTCGAGGAGGATGGCGGGGCACATATCACAACGGCCATAGGGAAATAGAATGGCTGGGATGGAAGCTTTACAGGGCAGATAAACTTGACTGGCGTATATTTTCACCTTGTTCCATACAGATCCTTGTGTATGGCACGTTCGCATACCACTATGAACCGCGGACGACTGATTGCGCTCGGTCACGATCAGCCAGGTACTTCTCACGGATGCGAGTGCATCATCATCTCTAGAAATTATCGATTCTGGCAAGACATATCACAAGCAAAAGGTACTGCCTCTGGTATTTGCTATGGCCTTTACGTTCAGAGGTGACTGTCGTTTATAGAGACGGGTCGCGGGTGCTTTTGCATTGGGCCCATTGCCCAATACGACAGCCAAGCGTCAAGCATGTCAGCCTACAGGAATATTGCCACAAGCCCGCCCGGCCTTCAGCAAGACCTGCCACTACCGTATCCTTGGTGTCCCGCATGAGGTCCCGCCAATTCTCTGAGCGGCGATGTGACGTCTGAGATGGGTAACCGGAGTGAAGTTAGCCCGCATCCGAAAGGGGCATATGGATGATTTGATTGAGACTCGAATAAACTTTTGTATCATGTCGCGAACGATTTTGAGCTATAGATTTTGGCCGGGGTATTTATTTGTTCTTCAAGATTTCTGTAGGTCTGAGGAGTAGTCGAGGTAGAGGTAGTATTCAGAGCCATAAAGCTTGCGGCGCGGGAGGAATTTGATACAGGAAATGGCGGGACTACAAACACTATTCTTAAACAGGCTAGACATTTCTCTAAGTGGTATATTAGCTCAAACCTAGTGCCGGATTAGTATCATTGGCAATATCGATTCATGCCACTCCCACTGCCCTTCTTCAGACTGACAAAACCACATCGGCCTCATATCTCACTACCGCCGAAGAGACCGCGTCCCGCCTTAGATTCAAGCGGTACTGAGACAAATCGATTGCGTCAACCAAGCTAACCCCACAACGCATGCAGTCACATGGGGAAAAGGAAACGGATCAGGTCACACTGCCAGCAAGAAATCTTCAGCACTCATTGGACTAATGGCTCCAGCTATCAGAGATGGTCGCAACAGCCTCGTCTACATCTGTCAGCCAGCTCTATTGATGAGGAATTGATTCCCGCCAACGCCGAAAGGCGAGATGGACTGACGGGTATGGTGGCCCGCCTACGAATAAGTGTTGACCGACTGATATCAGCGAGCCCCCTTTCCAGACCCTCTCGGTATTTGTCCTGTCACAAACTCATCGGTCATTGCATGCGCGTTCACACGCTGTGAATGAAATACCGAGGTTCTAAAGAGACACAGGACTAACAATGTCCCGGTCGGACAAATGGCCCCCCGTCGACTCCAAGCATCTTGAGATATCATATTGACATGGCTTTTGGACATGAACCTTGTTTCTAAACCAATGATGCCAGACCAATGTGAAGCAGGTAAACCACATAGACTTGCTTCCGGGGTTGGTACACTGGATCTACCAGTCGTTCTCAGTTAGCCATTCTTTCTTTTCAAGCGAGCCAAGGCCTTTCACAGCTCGATGGACTCAGCGGCTTTTGAACCGTTGCTCTTGCCCAACGGAACGTGGCTCAAGAACCGGATCGGCAAAGCAGCCATGGAAGAGAAGATGTCCGATGTCCAAAGACACTGCCAACCGTCTCCAGGGCTGTTGAGACTTTACACCACCTGGGGCCAGGGCGGTGCTGGCTTGATATTGAGCGGAAACATCATGATCGATCCCACCGCCATGTCGTGTCCGGGCGACGTGCTTCTCGCACCAGATGTCGGTCCCCTGGATGAGAGTCGCTGGCGCGAGTGGATCCAGGTGACACGCGGCGGAGGCGCGCAGTTCTGGCTCCAGCTCAACCATCCTGGGAGACAGGTCCGAAAGGGCGCGGAGCTCCCTGTCTATGCGCCCTCGGCAATCAGACTGGACATGGGATCCTTCAGCAACATGTTCGAAACGCCGATCGCCATGACCGAAGCACAGCTCCACGATGTCATCGCCCGCTTCACGTGGGCAGCCCAGAAGGCCGAAGCGTTGGGCGCCGACGGCATCGAGATCCACGCTGCTCACGGCTACCTCATCTCGCAATTCCTGTCCCCCCTCTCGAACAAGCGGACCGACCGATGGGGAGGGTCTCTCGAGAATCGCGCTCGGCTCTTGTTCGAGGTGGTCAGGTCGGTCCGTGCCAAAGTCTCGTCAAGGTTCGGCGTCGGCGTCAAGATCAACTCGGCCGACTTCCAGAGGGGCGGCTTCGAAGTGGACGACCTGTTCTGGGTGGCGAGGCAGTTGAACAACCACCAGCTTGATCTGCTCGAGATTTCCGGCGGCAGCTATGAATCACCGGTCATGGCCACTGGCGTTGCACCGACCGAAAAGACCTCTGGCACCGCCAACCGCGAAGCATACTTCCTCGAGGTTGCCGAGCGGCTCAAGGAGATTGCCGCGATACCCGTCATGGTCACCGGGGGGATCTCCCGCAAAGCCGTCATGGAAGAGGTCGTCGGGGCGGGCGCCCGGCTCATCGCGGGCGTGGGGACAGCAATGGGACTGGTCCCCGACTTGCCCAACCGCTGGGCCCGTGGTGAAGACCCTGCGCCGGTCCTGTCACGTAGCAGGATCCTGCCAAAGCCCCTGGCGGCCGCGGCCAAGACGTCGAGTGTCCAGGTGAGCTTCCACATGATCGGGCGAGGCTGGCGGTGGCGGCCGTGGAAGGGTGTCTGGCCTGTGCTGGGGCTGTTGATCATGCGGGCCATCGAGTCTCGGCAGATGAAGGTCTACAAGAAATGGGTACACCAGCAGTTTGCACAGAAACATCAGTGACACTTATGCTTTGCTGCCTCTGCTGCCTTTCGCCCCTTTGCTGGCTGGCGACTCTAAAACTCTCTGAGAGGTTACTGCCGGGACCACCATTAGATGACAGGATATTAGACAGAGCTATCTACCCCGGCTGGACGGTTGCCGGTGTGAGGGTTAATTAGACGTTCGTGATCGGGTCAAATGCAATGTAATGCAAGAGCTTCCTTCCCTTTACGACTTATGGAGTAGGGCATCAACACCCGTGAGCCAATTGTTGTAGAGGCCCTGTGGTGGGTTCAGCCTGGTTGGGCGACTCTCTGTTCGATCAATATCCAACTCACATCTCTTTTTCCACATCCCTTCCAAGTACAAGAAGGATTGAGGTGCCCTCGTGCAAACGTCTATCAGTAACTACGGGCTTGAAACGTGGTGTCTCTGGAGTCAGGGACCGGAACGCTAGCGCAGTGGGCAGCTTGGTTGGTCCGTAGAAGCCCTCCTCCATTCATCGTGTATCTCCCCTGCGCAGAGCATCACCTTTGGATCATCTCTGTTGCTTTGGACGTGGGTTATCAAAGCTTCAATTCGGTCAAAGCCGTGACCTGTTTAGGGGGAATGTCAGTAAACGAAGGATCTATCTCGTTGACAACTAGAGCTCTTGTTGAACGTTTGTTTACCTTGGTATAGGTCCTCTCCAGACGCAAGGATTTGAGCAACCACTCTCCATTCTTCAACGCCCACGTTTCGTGATAGTATCCACCGCCCCTCATCTGGAACGGGGGCCTGGCCTCCCGCCAGATGAGCTGGTCCTCCATGGACCAGATCGCCTCGACCTCGTCCTCCTCCGGCGTCAGGTATCTCAGGTCGCCCGGCCCGAACATGTGCAGCGATTGCACCTTGGCCAGGAAAACGCCCAGGTGGGACGTGAAGGCGTCGCGAGAGGAGAAGGTGAAGACCACGCCGTCTCGGGCGAGAGGCTTGCCGTCGGTGTCGAGGAAGTCGAACGAGCATTCCGGGAGCGCCACCAGGGCGAATTGGTCAAATCGCTTGGTGTCGACCAGGCGGCCGTAGAGGGCCTTTTTCCGCGAGATGGCTTGGAAGGTGTCGGCGGAGACGGCCATTCTGCTTCTTTGTTTTGGAGCCTCGTGTACAGCTCTTGGTACGTCTTTGATTTTCCGCGGATTCGTCGAGATGGATGAAATAGGCCCGTCGGGGTTCAATCTTTGTCCATTCAAGCTTGGGTGGAGGAGCATACCTTGGTGTGCGCTATTCCACAGACCTGACATCGGGGAGATTATATGCGCCGCCGCCGTCTCAGGATCGGGAGGTGGTTTATGGCAAGGGGAGACGTCGGGAAACCATTCCGGAGAACCGCCGCGCGACATGTCTGAGGAGTTGGATTGTTCAACATCCGTGGATTGTGCAGTATAAGCGCATTATACAGCAGTTATAGAGCGCCGCATTACCAGTAATAGTGGCAGTTCTTGTGGATTTCCCAAACCGCTCGTCTCAAATTGCTAAGCGTGAATACATAGTGATGGAAGACAATATCATGGCGCTTTCGATGTGGGGATTTTGGCTTCAGACCGAACACACTCGGTACGAGATCTGATGAGCACATGTTGGTCCATTTAAATTCGTATCCCGCAACATTCTGGGAGTAGAGACGACTGCAGAGAGCACGCACAAAAAAAGATACTCGCCCTCAATAGCCAAAAAGTACGATTGCGCTGCTGTTAGATAACTGAGTATGAATTTGCTAATGTGCCGAGCCGCTGGAGATTTGATCTTTCGCGTGGGGAGGAGTGGGTGATGGCAGATTGCTGGAGGTCAAAAGATCAAATATGCAGCTGAGAAGAGCTTTTCAAATGCGGGAGATGCTGGGAGGAGAAACAGAAATATGTCCTCAAGAATGTGCCAGGACAACCTGGAGAGGAATTCGGATGCTGCGAGCTGCGAGCTGCACGGGGGAAGACAACGTCATTTCATGCTAAGGCTCAAACCCTCCTTCCGTAGGCAGTTGAAAGAGCACGACGGTCAGATATATTCTTCGAGGCCGTGGAGGAGAGATCCTTCAGGTACCACTGAATCACCCTCCGCTATTTCTTCGCACACTCTTTCATGCATGTCCATCCGTAGCCATGGTCCCATGGAAAGCGTGTCTTGAGATGCCGTCGCGAAGGTGCCACGGAGTTCCACCTTTTCCAGTTCGGTCAAGTCGTTTAGTGAGATGAACATTCTCAACATCACCACCAAGGGTTTGAGTCGCAGTTGGCTTGGGTCTCCAGGAGTCGAGGAAGCACCCACATACTCTTCAGACTTACTTCTGTTAGAGTGTACCTATGCCGTGCGAGGAACTGCAGGAGGTTGCCTTCGAGGTTGACCGAGTTCTCAAGCGTCAGACTGGTAAGGGAATAGAAGTTGCCTGTCATCAGACAATCTAACAGCTCTGTCAAGAGTACTCCGTACTTGGTAAATGCGAGATAGGAACTGTTAGATCACGTGTATACTATGCTTGGCGTGGAACAAAGGGGAGGGCTCCACTGGGGAAAAAAAAAAACCAAAGGAAAAAACAACGATTTGCCTGCGTCAGCCGGGACTGATAGTGCGGTTAGATTAACTTCTTTTCAACTGCCTACAGAGAGATTGAACTTACATCGAACCCGGGGCTAGAGCTCGCCTATGCGTATGGAAGGCTCCAATGTTACCATTACACCACCAACGCTGGAATTATGTCAAGATTTGGCAGTTATAAAATATATCTTGAACGCTCTCGGGGACGCAAATTCTTGCAATGATTGGACTCGCTTACCGCTTGGCAGAAGCCAACCCCACCACTTTACTGGTCTTTATTTCTCCAGAGGCACATTTTCGTACATCGTTGTGTACGGAGGGAAGATTGACCATTTGAACCTCCATGTCGCCGACCCCATGTAAAACCCAAGTGTTAATGCAAAGTCCGTTCATTGGCGAGGTAGGCAGGCTGTGACAGTGGTGTACTCCGTAGTATACACTATGCTCCGTGCAGTGCAACCGGCAAGCATCTGGAAGTAAAAATGGCACGGTCTGACGCATTCTCGAGATAACGACTAGGTAGCCGCCAGATCAACTAGCTGATATCGTCAAATGAGCATAGGGGTATCGCGGTGTATAATAACAGAGAACATATCTTTGCAAATGACTAGTATCTCGGAGCAAACACGCCAGCGCAACCACTATTAAGGGAACCCTCTTTTTGTCAGACGGACTTGCTGCCTCGTAACAATATCGATTATCCCTGATCGCCGTTGTACGAAACCGGCATCGAAGTAGCCGCTCTGAGATATTCTCCACTTTTCTTCCTGGGGTCATGTTGGGCATTTGACGTCACCCGCTAACGTGGCAGCCTTCCATCTACAAACATCACGAGGTAATTATATAGAACACTAATAATCCTTCCCCGTCTTCCAACATTTGCCGACCGATCGACTACTGCCAATCCACAAACCACCTGAGATCAAGCAACTCGCAATCGACCATGGAGGGTGTGCCAAAATTCAAAGAGCGCGAGAAGGCCCTCGAAGATGACTACATTCGCCGCAAGGAGTAGGTGCCCGTCATCCACTACACCAGGGAGAATCAGCTCTCTGGAGATCACGGAGACTCGAGAATAGCGACCCCCACCCCTCTAGCAGGACAGGATGCTGACAAAGCTCGTGAAGAGCCGAGAAATTCAAGCCACCAGCGCCAACTCAGCCCGGGAGCACCCAGCCCTCAAATCCAGAGCACAATGTAAGTGATCCAAGTGCTTCGATACCTTTGTTGAGGCTGTGCGTGGAATGACTGACCAAGTACAAGGTCCAGCCCAAGAAATGAGCAGTGGGCATCATCTGGAGTCGTCGCAGGCTGAAGCTGGTTGACCCCTTCGCATCAGGCCTGGGCTATGTATCATTAGGCCATCAAATCACTCTACATACCAAGAACCTCTGTCTCGTCTTCTATACCTCAGTCTCCTCCATTAATGCAAGTCAAGAACTTTTCATACAGTATCTCGTACTAGTGAGCGACTATGCCTGCCCTCCATCTGCATCTCACGTTGCCTCTCCCGAGCATCTACTCAGCACCGATGAATTCTTTAAAGTTAACCGGACAAGGTAATTTGACAGTGACGCGTAAAGGAGAGTGCAGGGCTCGTCTGATGGTGCATGGTGGAAGGGGTATTACAGATAACATTAGTGGATATATGGAATATACATATATGGGGTGTCTTTTGCCCTTTCTGCCGATAACCCAATTGGCACCCTGTCCCGAATGCCCAGGCCTTGCCTCCTCGCAGCCTTCTCCCTGGAAGTGTAGCTGACATGTACTGTGCACCGATACCCTTTGATCCATTTTGCAGCCACCTCCCCAAAGCCTGGAGGTCGAGGAAGCACTCATCTGAGCAGAAATACACAACGTCCGAACCCCAATCACTCCCCAAATGCCTGGAAATCAGCTACTTCGCCACCTCAGACTTTTTCCTCAAAAACACCCTCTTGATTCCCCCAATATCCCCTAGGCTCATCCGGTTGCCCTTGGATCGCGCGGTAAGGCTCGTCCGCCGTGAAGTCTTTGCGTCACTGGCAATGGAACTCGTGCTCGGGCTGGTGGAAATGGTCACAGGGCTCGAATTCGCATTTGAGCTCGGGCTGGAACCGAAATACGACGATGCCCGGCGAGCCGTGCTAGGAGGCGTGGAGGTGTACGTCGTGGTGGTGGTGGTGGTCGTCGTGGTGCCATTAGGCCCTTGAACAATAGTGGAGCTGCCGCCACCACCGCTGACTGCCCTGGCTTTGCCGACCATCCCCTGAACCCATGCATCGTTACTAGCGGCGGGTGTGGTCCCGTAGGTAGCTGCACGTCGCACGTTCATTTTGGGTCCAGCAGCACCAAGTGGAGTATAATTTGTTGTGGTGGGAGGAGTCACAACCGTCGTTGTCGTGACACCGCCTGGGCTGATGATCGTTGAGTACCTTGGGTAGGACACAGTCGCTGGATTTGGTTGAGGCTGTTGAGGTTGGTCCTCTGAGAATGCTGCGTCAGGGTCGATGAAGCTTGCCACAGCACCAGTGTCATGATCAGTGGCCGTGGTGAATGCAGGAGAGCTAACGGTATAAGATGAGGGGATAGGTGGCACTGGAGGCGGTGTCCATGTACCGTCACCCTTGCTCTTGCGATGCTCGGGGGAGCGATGTCTCTGGGTTGATGACCGCGTCTTGGGATTAACAAGCTCAGTCGATGGGGTGCCCTCGAACGCCGTTTGGGCTACGGTAGGTGACCTTGATTTTCGCCGTCCTTGCGAAGCCGGCGTTCCACTGGCAGATGTCATAGTGTCTCTGGGTCCGTTCCCAGGGAAGCTGGCAACCTCAAGGCGACCATCGACAGTAGCGCGGCTTCCGTGGTGAAGACTATACTCTCGCAAGTATTCTCCCAGATCCGCCCATCCCCCACCAACTCGAACCATGACACGATCCCCATCTCCGACGGTTCGCACAAAGAGCTTGACTGGAGGGGCCTCGCGACCCTGCCCTGAGCGTGTCAGATGATACAGTTTAATGTCAGGGTCAGCGAGGCTGCCTCTGCGACTTGACGGATCCGCCTTGGCTGGTGATAGCGTCAACGAAGCAGTGGGTGTGGAGGCACGAGTCGACGAGGTGGATGATGATTGAGCATCGGCATCTTTTGCCAACCGGATCCTAGTAGGTAGGCTCGTGAGGATGTCTTGGATCCTTTCGTCAAGCGATTCTCTCGTCTTTGGCCGTCTCGGCGATTGTCCCATATTAGCCGTCAGGGTGTCGAGATGCTCTCCCTCGACTCTCTCTTCATTGCCCTTGCTTGTGACTGGTGTTATTGGAGAGCCGTCGATTGTACTGTTGCGCTTGCTCGACCTTCTTGGTAAGACTGGTAGAGGCAGTTCTTGCCTCGAACGCGTATCTACAGAGCCGACCTCAGGTGGCAGAGGCACGAGAGGAAGTTTGGCTGTCGAAGCTTCAGTCGGCGGTGATGGAGTTTCGTGTACTTCCATTCCAGCTGGGGGAGCCTTCGATGTTGAGTCGGCAGCACCTGTCAACTGCGTCAAGGCCCTCGTGGGAGTACTCTCAGGCGACTCAGCCATTTGTGTAAGTATGTCCCAGCTGGCAGCCCGTCTTAATACCACTTGTTTCAATTTGTCTTTCGGAAAGACCTCTATGGAGGCGGTTGACGCTCTTTGGAGCATGGGCGGCTTCAAAGCCATCTGTTGCTGGGCTGCGGACGGTGATCCAAACCACGCTATCTCATCGCGGCTCGTTGGAAAAGGACTCTCCACAACACTGATCTTCGGACTTGGAAGGACGCTTGTGGTCCTGGCGTCCATTATCTCCGCGTTGGAGATGTCTGAGAATGTCGAGTACATTGAATCAGCAACCGAGACTTTTGAAACCTCACGTTTGTGGCCTTTTTGGTCGGCAAGATCAAGCTTCAGTGAAGGTCTGCGCTTGGTTTTGACTTCCTCCTTTTCTGATGGAGGAATATCTGAAATCGTGGCTTCAGGTAAGGCGCCAATTGTTGTAGGTGGTTGAGCAACCTCTGGCTGTCCGTCTGGTTCTGGCCATGTACTCTCCGGATTTGAGAATTCCAGATGTTCTGGACTTTCAACAGTATTTTCAGTCCCCGTATCTCTGCTAGATTTTGATGCCAGCTTATTCCTGAGCACAAGGTGCTCTGCCTCGACCACCCAGGTTGCATAATCGAGCTCGATCTTCTCGAGTACATCGATCCAGGCCTGTGGGAGCGAATCCTCCCGCCCTTCAAGCATGTCGAGAAATCGATCAATGCGACGCCCCATGTCCGACACCCGCTCACCAAGCGCTACTTTCTTATCGTCCAGAGACGGGCCAGTCAGCGTTTGAGCAGAATCTGGGGTTCTTATCTCATTAAAGGCTTGCTGAATTTCGGACTGGGTGGACTGCATAACGTCGAGAAACCTCGGAAGGTCCCTTAGCACTCTTAACCGCACATCCCAGGTGTCAAGCAACATATTCAACTTGGCAAGGTCTGGAAGGGCTTGGATAACTGTCGCCGTGATCAGGGCAGTAAAGTCGCGCATTCTTCCGTAGCTTGAGCGAGGACCAACCGGTCGAGAAGACTTTGTTGGACTCGTTGCGGGCAGATGAGCTTCAAGCACATGGTCCTTGATCTCGTCGATATCCAGGCTGTCGAGGTCATCCCTAATCTCCTCTAGTCTGGCCTCGTAGTCTTCCGCCACGGACTCGGGCAAACAGCCACGGTACTCTTGGGGCTTGCCGCTTGCAACTGTTGGAGGGACGAATCCCAGACCAAATCCCCTCTCTTTCTTGCTCGGCCATGTCCATTGTGACAATTCATTCTTCCATTCCCGCAGTTTCTGGGCGGCAAAAGCGGCTCTTATGCCAATTTCTCGCTCTGCGGGGGTTGCATCCGCAATACTCGAGGTCAGAGCATCTTCTTGTGCAGCACCACCGGAAATAGTCTCTGTCGCTTGTAGTGCCCTCAAAGTCGAGTCCGGCGTCAAATTTCCTAGAAGGGGGTCGAGCTCTCGAATGGCGAATTGAGCTCTGCGCCGAGGGGACCGAGAGGGAGAGCGAGATGGCGAGGGAGGATCTAAGCGAGGGAATTGCGGCGCAGTGGGTGTTGTGGGTGCCATGTTCTCAAGAGATGTATGCCCTCGATCTATCTTGCCAGCAAGCACACTTGCTTCTTTCTCAAAGAGTTCCAGCCTCCTGGGAAACCAATTGGCAGCATGCTGAAACGGCTGCCAACACCGCTCACGAGCGATAGTGGTGTGAGGGCATGTGAGACACTGTCTGGGCCAAAGGATAATGTGCAGAGCGATGGAGAAAGCAGTCGTGTAGGAGGACTAAAAGAGCGGCAGAGCAGGGGCTCAGAGGGATATGACCGTCATGATGAGGCGATTGGGACGGGAAACGAGAGGATGTTGATGCTGAATGGGTTGAAACAGGTTCCCGCTCGCCACCAACGAAGCTGTAGGCTGCAGGCTGCAAACTACGTCCCCCGGAAAATTGCCCCTTGTCTGTCTGCACCGCCTGGGCGAGATGCTGATGGTGTTCATGCCCGCCTGGCCGCTAACCAGGGTCTGCCCGTCTTGTATTGCGATAGGCGAGATGAGCGTCCAGCTCGTCAGTTCGCGTACCCGGATCAACGCGCCTTTTCCGCTCCCTTGGGGCGCGTGGAAGCCTTGAATGGTGTTCTTTTGCATGTTCCTCGAGCTAAACCGATTCATCTTTCACTAAACATTGAACGAATGCCTCTCCCTCCCTCTCACATCACTCATCACCACTGTCAGTCAACATTTCTCTGTCCGTCCCTCCCAGGAACAATGCAATGCGCTTCAAGAGCCAGATCAAAAATGTGAATCTACTGGCAAGTATGCGCCATCTACGCCCACCTCTCTCGTTTCAGTCCCATTAATAGCTTCTCAGAATTCTGCGCCTCGTTGGCCTCGTTGGGCCAGATTGCCTGGTGCCGACTCGACGACGATGGTGTTCAGTTCACCATCATCCCCGACAAGGGGAGTCAAGTCTGGTCCGTCTTGAGGCCTGAGATGATCTTTGAGACATACATCCTCCAGTCTGCGTCGCCAAAGAACACAATCAACCTTGAAGTCCCTATTCAAGCCCTTTCGCGAGCCCTCCGGTCGGCGCTTGGGGCAACTTCCACACAGATCAGGCTGACCAAGAAGGACAATGTCCCCATACTCTCGTTGACCATCGTGACCAATGCCTTTAGCAGCGGGAACAATGTTGTGGCCCGTCCTACAACCCTTGGGGGTCAGGGCGGCAACGGGGAGTTCGACTTCGACGATGCCGATGATCTGTCGTTCCACGAAGCCAACAATGGTGGATCCGGTGAACGAGAGACAATCATCACGCAAGATATCCCCGTCAAAGTCCTGGCTATGGCAGTCGTCGAGAGCCTCCACCAACCCCGAACACCGGAACCAGACGTGAATATCTACCTTCCTCCACTGACTCAGGTAAAGACCATATCCGAGCGCTTCACGCGATTGGCAATTGCCACAACCAAGGCATCTTCCGGCGCCAGTCCTCGGCTGGAACTCAGTGCCAATATGCATGGCTCGCTCAAAATCTCGGTCAATACAGACGCTCTCAATATTACAAGTCGATGGACAGGGCTTGCACATCCCCAGCTCGATCCAGCGCACTTCCCAGACTTGACGGACCATCCCACCACCAGAATGAAGGAGCTGGGGGGACCTAATGGAGAGAACGAAGCAGGATGGTCAAGGGTTCGGATTGATGCGAAGGATTGGTCGAGGATTCTCAGCGTCGGCCGAGTCTGTACCAAGGTCATTGCATGTTTCATCAATGAAGGAGCCTTGGTACTGTATGTCTATCTGCCCCCAGATGAAAACGGCGATGAAGGGGATCCCTGTCTTACGGTAAGTTGCAGACACTTGTCTGATATCGAGGGTGCTGACGCTACGCAAGTACTACATTAGTTCCTTCTCTGCTTGATCGTGAGCCCAGGATTGACATCGCCGAGGCTTGGTTTTCACTAGACTATGTAGCCATGTCGTGGTCCTACGTCCGTGATATGGTCACACTCGCAGTCATGACAGAGGTAAATGCAAGAGACAGCAAAATTGCGCCAAGAGTGGCCATGCGCTAGAATGTACAACTTCTCTTCGCACTATCCGGAATGCTGGACTGTACACTGCATGAGAGCCTGTCCTCGCTGTGTCAATGTCTTCTCTGGTCATGTGATCACGCCGAACCACCAGACCACGTGATGCTTGGCGCTCTCAGCAGCCTTGATCCCTCTACCACACTTCTTCCTTTTCTCGCATCACTCGTATCCTCGCCCAAACCCCCGGAAAACTGATTTTCTGCGACTTTGAAGCCACTCGGGGATTTCATAGCCTTCGATCTGCAAATTTCAAACTAATTTGGGCATATTTGCCATGTGGTGCCCTCACGCCGAGGAAGTACAGGAGACGGCAGGCGCCTTATGCGACCTCTTTCGCGGCCAATTGTATCTTTTTCTGGATCACCACTGGCGTCTCGCCCGATGTTTTTTTTTACCAACCATGTTGAGCCGCAATGCACATGAGGCAAGGCCCCCAATTGTTGCGCGGTTAGTCTTCTATACCTGTGGTCCCGATGATGATATGAAACGGTGCGGTCCAGAGGTCTGCCACTATTCCTGAGCTGGGACTGCTGAACCCCAGTTTACGTGGTATTCACGCTTGATCTCTAGATGCTGTTATTCGCCCACCTCATGCTATTGCGTCCGTCGGCTGAGCACTCGACCACACCTTCGACCAACCCGACGTCGCTTGTTCCGATCTGCGCCTCGAGCAATTTTAGATCTGCTACGGGACCCCAGAGAGCTTGATGTTTCAACTCCCAAATCGCCGGAACGGTAGGGCTGAATGAGGTAGGCCAAAACCCAGAAGGGAGCTCTCTCACCAAGCATTGCGAAGATTTGGCTTTGTCCTTTTTGTCGTTGACTTCCTCTTCATTGTGTTAGTCCAAGTTCCGTATCTTTCTGTGCTTGATACGAAAAATGTACCCTCAGACCCAGTTAATCCAGAATTTGCCCTGATGAGCTGTTACCCCAAAGGAAATACCATTTCATCCTCACTATTGCCATAACATCTCTCTGTAATGGCAGACCCGCTGGACCCAGCTTTCAGTATTTACCAAGGAGTCTGGACAGATTGGTCAAGGGGCAAGACATGGGGTCTCACGTTAACCCTGTGTCCAACTCATGCCACTATCTTGACCAATTCATTAGCAGTTTTTGTCACCATCTGCGGAATACAGCTGTGGAACATCGTGCGACAGTTGATCTACAAGTTCTGTACCCCGGCTAAGCCGGAAATGCTCACTCCACATCTCCGAAAACAACGAGCGGTATTGAAAAATGCGGGCTCCGATATCATTACGACTGCAGGCCGTATGCTGCGTTTGGCCTGGGGACATCGACGGACAAGCACCGGCAAGCCCTCTCTCCGCTCTTATTCAATTGGTGTATTCGCCATTATCTACGCCATCCTGTTCTGGACAGCCGGAATCTTTTCCAACCGAGCAATTAGCACCGGCTCGACAAACGGGCCCTGGCCCGCCCTTTCCAGGAGTAAACATTGCGGGATCTGGAATCAGACTTATTTCGAGATAGTGAACAACAACAATGTCTCTACTGAAGAAAACTTTGGACTTGTTGTCCAGTACGTTGCAAAAGCGGGGAAAGACGTTCAACAGAGTCTTGAATATGCCCAAGAGTGCTACGGCACTAATTCACCCGTCACCAGCGTGTCGTCTACCTGCAATACCTTCAAGACTTCAAGCCTCAACTGGACCGTTTCACCTGGTACATGCCCGTTTCCAGCGCAAACTTGTCTTAAGGACTCCCCTGTCAAGGTCCTAGATACGGAGGAGATTGACTCCCACGAAGATCTCGGTATCAACGCCGACCCAAAAGACAGGCTGAAATACTGGAGAAGAACGACATGCGCCGTCCTCGACGGGACTGACCGTATCAAGGGATGGAATGGCACAATCGTGGGCAGCCCAGATTCTCGGCCTACACCAGACACGGCTCATGCATATTACGGTCCTTCGCTCTACAAGGACACCGAATGGACATACGCCTACTCAAATTTTGCATCCTTCTTCGACAATTTCACCGCTCAAGTGACCCTTCCATACCAGCTGGATGTAGAATTGGCCTACGCCCTTTCTGATTCAAAACCAAGCCCCAGCGATTTCCAACCTATCGAGGAGTTGGTGCTGAAGGATGCCGACTTGAATCTACTTTTCCTCAGCTACACCGGAATGTACTTAGAAAAGGTCGACGACCCTTGGTTCTCCGCGCACAATGAGGCATCGTTCGACAGCCAATATCCCTATCTTCAAACCCGCTATTACCGCGATCTAGCCATTAGCACCCTTGCATGCACGGAGCAACATAACTTTTGTACATATGACAATAACTGCACCGACTTTCTAGGATTCGACCAAGTCCAAAGAGTCGCCTCTTTCAATGCCTTACTTACACCGCATCAAAATGCTACTTTCGATCGAATGATGCGCGCTGTGACGGAGTCAAGCCTGAGGAATATTATTCAAAGCCTCGCGCTGACCACTACTCCAATGTTGGCGAGCAACAAGACAGCGGTCGGGGCCAGCGGCGCTGTCTTGTCGAGCGCTTTGCCTCCGGACCAATGGACCTCTGAGCTAGTTTATTACCACTCGGTCGCCATGGCACATCTTCAGCGGACAATCTTTCAATGGGCCACTGGGTCAGTCGCTGCTGTACCACAGCATTTCGAGTACCTACTCCCACCTACAGAGGAGCAGGACATTTGGTACTGCAATAACATGATCGTTCAGTCAAATGCCTATCAGTCGTTCACTTTATTGATCATCATATTGATCATCATCTTCGGCACATTGGTGATCTCTGCTGCTGCAATCAGCAAGTGTTTTGCGAAACCTCCGAAGGACGATCTGCTTGACGACCGAAGTCCACTGAGACCTAGAACTCCGCCACTATGCAATCGCAAGGTTGGGGGATCGCGACGCAGTGACCCTCTCGGAGCTTTTGAGTTAGTGAACTTGGAGTTGGTACCCAACAACCACAGAGTCTCTTCTCCTACTCTTCCAGCAGAGGATCGAGAAATCTCTATTCTAAGTTCCTCAAGCAATTGCGAAAACGGTGGTACCCGGCTCGCAGTCCCTCGCAGGCCAACAAGAGATTCGTGGATCGCCATTAGTCTCAACGACTTTGAATCATCGCCACCAGAGCCGCGAATACAGATGGGCGACTGCAATAGCAGAAGGCCAATGCCGAGGCCATTCATAGTTCCACCGCCCACCGCCCACTTTTCAGCCCGACCTTCAGAGCGGCCTAAGAATGGGATCATTGATTCATGGATATGACAGCCTCCTAGTCCGGTATCCAACCCCGATGAGAAGATATAGTACCAATATAGTACCAAGCCGTGACCTAGCCACTGATCAAGATCAAGGATTGACGCGAGAGAGACATGCATTTCCGCGAGTCGTTTGGCTGAGAACGCCTTTCCCTCTAGGGGCAAACGCACCCAGAAAGCTGATTCCAATCTTGCTACACGGTTATAAGCAGTAGCAGCTTGCGGCTCTGAGTTGATCGTTCAATCAACCTGGATCAGAAATCGCCGCTGCCATGGGTCCGGCTCGCACCACTCACGCCGCGGTCGACGAGCTCATCTCTCTTGAAGTCACCGCTGCCATGGGTCCGGCTCGCACCGCTCACGCCGCGGTCGACGAG